TTCGATCCCACTTCGGTTTTGTCCGTTTATTTTACGAGAATTAATATGGAGTATATCACTAACGTTTGGAAAACTCCCACTAACTTATTGACGGTTCTTGTATCATCCGCAATAGCACAGTCGGTTAAGTAATTACCTAATGTATGAGAGGTCCGAGGTTCGTTCCCTTCTTTGACATTCTTTTTTCTTATTCCAATTTTATTTTAGGTATATTTTAAAGAAAATTGTCAAGCGCTTGCAAAATTGTCTACACGAAATGAAACAACTAAGAAACACTGAATTGTCACATTTTTTTTTGTATTTTTCAACACTGAAATTACTTTTATTGATTATAACCCGAACGAATTTTCAGTATCAATTATATACAAAAATATCGTATTTACAAAAGAGTACAAAGCATATTAACAACAGAACAACCATAACTTCAAAAATTTTGAAAATGGTTATGAATAAGGACATACACTGTCTTGATCTTACATGATGTAGGACATTTTGATATTATATACCCGTGGTTTACCCTATTGCGCTATAACGGTCAGTGTAACTAATTTATAGAAACTAGATTAATTAAATCACATCTTACTACGTACCTCTCACGGAATTTACCGAACATTGATCGAATATTAATATATTCTGTGCATTGACCGTATAATAAGTATGGAATTGACAGGTTAATAAAATCAAACAAAATAGTTAAACTTCATAAAGTATTATATTACTCTTAAACTGTTGTTTGTGGTTGTTTAGTGCCAGTTTGACAGTATTGCAGTTAAGGGACATAACTAGTGCTCCTGTATTCTTTACAGTATTTTGTATTCAGTTCTCCTCAAATCAAAGTAAACTTTTCTACCTAAACCGGTTAGAGGTGAATGTACAAAACAGTTATTGGGGAAATTTAATCTTGAATCCGTGCTCCGACCCAAAAAGCTTTCTTGTTTTAAGGTTATCTAGCTAGAATGTAAATAATTGTCGTAAAATATGACTCGACAACCTTACTTGTAAGTACCATGTTTGGTTTTAAAGTGTATAAATAGTTGTTGATGCATTGCTGTGTCCTTAAAGTTTGGAATTAGAGTGCATGGCATCTTTTTTTATGTAGCAAGACTCTTTTCACCTCAATATATCTTTGTGCGGCACTAAGCTCACCAAAACACATAAATTGGCTTAAACCCACGCTCCGATCTCTTACCGCTTTCCTGTCTGAGGTTATCTGGGAGGTTTCTTCATTTCCTCGGCTATTACCCAATGTAAATATCACGGAGGTAAATGAACACCACTCTGTGCTGACGAACTAAACCTTTAAGGGCAAAATCGGTCCGTATACTTGATAGCGAAAGCAACATCATTTAACATGACTATGAACATAATTATATTTCCCTAAACGGCACTTTTAAAGTTATAAACAATTTTGTCAAATTAATGACTTGCTTTTGCAGAATCTGGCGTTATTTATCATGCATGTACTAGAGAAAATGAATTGTGTCAGGTTTGCTTAATTGTCTGCTCATTACCCCTGGCAGCGAGATAAATTTTGTATAAAGTTAGGATGCATCCACATTGGTTATACACGAATAACACGATATTGTATACTAGTATGATAAGCTTTTAATATTCATTAACATCTTAAAAATCATCATCGTTTGCTTATTTTATTTTGATTGTATTCTGAATACCTTTCTGAATTCCATCATATCCCCTTGAAAAGTATGGATTTAACGATTCCACCAGATTAATCCGTTGAAGTTTAACGATATTGTATATATACCGTGTCCGATGAGAAAGGTATATAATGCTTAACTTTTTGTTAAAATACATTCATAACATGAATTAATGTTGTAACAGTTATCTATTTTATTTTTATTTTACAGACTTCGTGATTTACTTATATTTATTTTTCACTACTGAATTCATTATCATTGTATCGTTCAGCACATATGTATCGAAGATATTACATTTCTGCTAGTATTACTGGACATTATGTTCAGTGTTCGGTGAAAAAAAGGAAACGCTAAACTACCCCACTTCACGGGAGAGGAAGTGTTACACGAGGGATGGAGTTCTTATGATAATTTTGTTTTATATGTCAAAAACCGATTCATAGGCCATTTTTCATCGCCTCTAGCCAAAAATCTGGTAGTTTTGTTTATTTGCACATCCATGCCAAACATACCTAATTATAATGCAAAATGCAAACAGAAAGCCCCGGCTGACAAATGTATACCCGATTTTTCAGATGTTTCGGAGTTCTGGTGATAGATCAAAAGCTGTCCTTTAGTTCTTATGATAATTTTTCTTCACTGCCAATGTGTTTCTTGCGCTAAATCACGGCACGCTTTAGCGTTTTATATTATACAATAAGGTTGTAAATAATTATGAAATGTAGGTTGCAGCTGACGAGCTGAACTTCTAACCTGCAGCGCATTCGACATGTGTTCTATTGGATTTAAGTCAGGTGAGCGAGCTGACCAGTTCATGCGCTAAAAAAAAACCCTCTCTAGGTAGCCCTGGACCACCCTGGCCCTATGGGGGCGGACATTATCGTCCATTAGAATGAACTGATCGCCGACTGCTGCAGCATACAACCTAATCTGGTTGTCTAAGATGTCGTCTATGTATCGTTGACCTGTCAATGTGCCTCTATTTAGCACAACCAGGTCGGTTCGTCCATCCAAACTGATGCCTCCCCACACCATAACTGACCCATCTCCACAGCAACATTTGCCGCCTGAAACCGTTCACCTCGTCTTCTCCAGACTCTAGCTGGCCTATAAGTAAAGTCTATGTAGAACCTGGACTCTCAAGTGCTGCATGGTCCACCGTGTATGCTCCACGGTTCATTCCAAACGGGCCTGGCGATGTCGACACGTAAAAGGTATACGTTATATGCAAGGTCTTCTCGACCGCAAATTACCTTCATGCAGCCTTCTACGTACCGTCTGCGTGGAAACACAGAGCCCAGCAGCATAAGCAAGGTCATGTCGATGAGAAGTTGCTGTCGAAAAAACCTTGTACGACGAACCTGAACGACCAAAAACCGATCTTGAGCTGGTGTTGCGACCCTTTGCCGACCTCCAGCATGCCTCTTGACGGTTGTAGCATATAGAGCTGGTATCTCTCCAAGACTGGTATGACGTTGTGGTGTACACCAAGCGCCGCACTAACCTGGTGGAAGATGGCCCCTTGCTGCGCAATCCCTACAGCCCTCCATAACTCTGCTTCTCTCAAATGCCGCCTAATGTTGTCATTCGCCAAATCGAAGTGACAGATGTAAGAAATGTAAGCCACTGAATGACAATAAACCGGTAATGTCGCCGTATAACAAGATATATGATTGTACACTCATCAAAAACATGAAAATATTAGGGTGCATGCTTTCCATGCTACCTATACGAGTTGTTATGAATAAGTCAACCGGGACTAAATAATAAATAATTTAGTTTAATAAGTCAAAACATTGCTGAATCAGAATTTTTAAAAATTGGAAAGAAATCTGTTTTACACTTGTGATAATATAAAAATTAACTTATGGTGCTTAGCAAAATTCGAGTAGTATACAAAACCACCAAAGGTGCGCCGACACAAATGTATGCACACACACCCAGGCATAAAGACATACTTCCTTTGTATATAAAAATATTTCCTACTTGTGATTATAAAGGCCCATTGCACGTATACTCTATCTATACTCTATCAACCAATTAACTTCACATTCGTTAAAGCTACATGTCTGCAGATGAGTCAAAATGTTTCAATTAAATCAAACCTGAGAAAATTGTACTAAGATGTCAGGAAAAGAAATAAGTTTCAAGATTCAAGTAATATTTTACATATTATGTGCGATTAATGACTGATTTTTTCAGTATTTTTAACTATATTCTTACTGCGTTACTAACGCAGTCAAGGCTATTTATGCATATTTTGACCACGTTTTAGTACTTTACGTGCCTTGTAAGTGCTATTGATAATGTGTTAACTGCTTTCTTTTGGTTACTTCACATTATTACACATTCAATACATTATCTAAAATTTCATGAAAATTAGCCTGAATCTGGAGGCGTGCTGCTTAAGAATAAAGCGCGGCGCAAGAACCACGACTTAAAGTTTAACGATAACCATACCAGTTAACTCTGCTTATCAACAAAATTTTTGCGCTCAAGGGAAATAACTCAGTAAAATGTTTCTAGAATAGCATCGAGCGAGTTGCCAAAGCGCGTTGTTTCAGGCACATGCTAGTGATCGGTGGTAGAAACTTACAAATCCGTCACACAAGATTTGCTTTTTAACTTGTTAAAAAATCACCTACAAATATTCGGGATTCAGTAACTGCATGTTTCAAGTGAATATTTAAGTATTTGCAGAGAACTTTCATCAATTTTTTTTTCAAGAAGCATCTTACTCTGGGACTCAATATTATTATCAACACCCAGAACCAAGTTTAATGGCACATTATAATGATTATGCCTCAGAAACGATATTTTCCCCTTTTTTTGAATAACAAAAAGTACCACGTTTGAAAAATGATTTTAGAGCATGTTAGATGCCGATCACCTAAAGAAAGTGGAATGTGAATTATTTTGTCATTCAAGTAGCAAAATGTTAACAAAAGTATTTTCATTTTCATACAAAATATATCACTTTATCTGTACTAATTACCTAATTATCATTTCTAAGGCATAATGATCCCATTACGTGGGATTTTCTTGAAGATGTATGCAAGAACGTTCTTTAAATACATATTCATTTCATGCAAATAGGCATCATTTTATGTGATCAAAACATGGAGACTAAAAATCTTTAGTGTTATTAAAATTGACCACAGTATAACGATTCACTGCTTCGTGAACATAGTATCTTTCAACTTTCATAAACCATATCTGATTTCAAAACCAGCTATTTCAGATTTTGTTGTTATTTTCTCGTTCTCTCTGCATTTTTATATATTTTATTGTAAGGCACTATGCTGCGGAACATACAACTATGCACCGAATAAACAATAAATCTTTTCAATGTTTTTTTCATTTATTTACAGATCACATATCACTTGTTTTCTTTGACTTGATCTGGGCGGCAATTCTGTCCAAATCACGTCTGCCCTGTGAGGTCAGCCTGCGGCCACTGGAAAATAAAACATAACTCAAATAAATAAATATTAAGTATGTCAAACAATTACTTGTACTGTTTTATAATTGGTTTCTGCAAATAGTGTGCATGTCACATTTTGTACCAACATTTGTAAGCAACTATTAGAAGATCTGTTTTTGTTGTTTTTTTTGTTTTCTTCAAAGAAAGCTGATGATATCATATGTTAACAATGTGACCAAGATGACCCTATTTTAGTTAAATGAGTATTTTATTCACTAATTATTATTGCAAGATGACGCTAATTTAGTTAAATGAATAAATCAACAAATTCTTTATAATTTACATTATAAATTGGTCAAGTATTTTAATTTTGTTAAGTACATGTATTTTAAATGCCACAAATGGTTGTTAGCAAACAAATTTGTGAGCACAGCAACATTTTTCCAGACTCAATAAGAAAGAAATGTCAAAAATCTTGAAGACAAGTAGTCATCCCATCAGCTCAACTTCAGCAAAAGTGTGCACAAAATTTATATACATGAATTCTGTATTTATGAAATCAAGCTCACAATAATTTTCAGCTTTTACTTTCATTTATTTCCAATCAGACTCATTAAATCAGTTTTAACTCTCACAGTTGTCAAGATTTAAGAAGTTCATCATGCTGGAATACAATATCTTGATTTAACCCATCTTATAATCTTAATCCACACTGCATTTGCCTTCCAAAAGAACTATTTATCATTTTGCAAGCATGCAAGAATACAGTTTCAAGTCCAGCTATCCTTAAAGTGACATTATGCTCATATTTTCATAAAGTTGAGCTGAATTGACTTTATATTTCAAAAGATTGACTGTCAAAATGGTGTTTGACCAACCGTTGATATTGGAAATCAATGATTGAATCTTTCAAAGATTAAATATTATCTAACTTTTAATAAAAGTATGGCTATACCAATATATAAGCTAGCCTGATCCCTTTAACTATAGCATTTCCTCTAATACTTAAATTCTTCAACATAACCCTTTTGTGAAAAAAATTACACACTTTGTTATCAATCTTTTGCCACAACCAGTTTTTTTTGTCGAACGGCAACATTTCCATTTCTATTGTAAAGGAAGATCACAATAAGCCAATGGGCTAGCTTTCTCATATTAAAGAACCTGATCCTTGCAGGGCTTGAACCTACATCCGTGAGAGGGCAAGTGGTTTAGTCAGCGACCTTAACAACTAAACCCGACTACAACAACAACACATGTCCATTTCACAAATTGTATAAATGTAATATCTAGAAATGTTAACTTACCCATTTGGGTCTTTCTCCACAATCTTCAGGTTCTCAAGGCTCTGTAACAGACGTCTGGAGATGGATCCAGTGGCCTTACAGAAATGACTTGGGGCAGTTCCACGTCGGCGGCGACCTATAAACAACCAACTTATAATTATTCTATATAATATATCATGACATCATAATGCATTAGTATGGTAGATATTAATCAATTCATTCAAGAATTTGAACCATATTTAATTTTTGATGAGGGATTTTTTTGTTTTGTTTTAATTACAAGTAATACAGGAATGACTATTAAAGGGCAGATCCATGTCAGCATAGACCTTGAAACAACAAATGTTATATAATAATAAAGACATTTTAATATATTGAAGAGTATAATATATGTCTTAGTTCATCATTAGATGTACTTTCAAGATTATGAACCAAACTGAACAAAGATGACTTTCTTACTTAACATTTTTAAACAGAACTAGAACTCTGCGAGTCGGATGTGTCGCCTTGTGAACAATATAGTTTATGAGAAATGGCCAGGACAAAAATGAAATTTGAAAGTCAACAAAGGGCAATAACTCAAAGAATTTTGGGTTTAGGGGCTATTTTCTTTGTTTTCTTAAGGGCTACTAGCCCATAAACCCTTTGATCACGGAATGAACCTATTGTTCTCTTTACTGCTTTATAGCCCCTAAACCCAAAATGTTTGCTCGGACAGACGGTTCAATTACTATATGTAATAATAAGAAGCGCAGAGTACCGGTTCTTGTGCACTGTACTTCGGGTCATTATAAGAAGCATGCATACCAAGTTTGAAGTCAATTTCGACATATAATGACCGACTTATGCTCCGGACAAGCTTAAGGGGACGCTGACAATGACACCGCCGACAAAAGTAACCCCTATATGTCGCCTTTTTCAAGGCGACACAAAAATTATCAATCCAGAATTTATGGGACTTTGTGCATTTTTTTTCTTTTTTGTTACAGAAGATTTGATCTAATGTAATAAGTAGTGCACTTTTTTTTTTGTTACAGAAGAATTAATCTAACGTTGTAAGATGTAAACTATTTTCTCAAGTAAGCAAAATTGCTGGGAAGAATCATTTCTCCGAGTTTAGTAAAGATGTGTGACTTTCTCTTTCAGACTCATTAAATCAGTTTTAACTCTCACTGATTGTCAAGAAATAAAATTATCATCATAAGAAAAAGTCACATTATTTACATTACTTCCATGATCCAATACAATTATCGGTATACAATTATTTATATAAAATTAAAATATGCTATATACTGTACTACGATTGTCACGCCCTACCCCTTGATCAAATAAATTTAAATAAGTTGGTAAGACATATATGCTCTACTTTAAGAGGCAAATTGGTAGTCTTAAATATGTCTATATGCAGTAAGCGTTTTCGCTTAGAGCAATGTCAAGTAATAAAGTTTATGCCTTTTTATAGACAAGATGTGAATGTTTGTTTGTTTTATTGGGTTTTACGTCACACGACACAGTATAGGTCATATGGCGACGTTCCAGCTTAAATGGTGGAGGAAGACCTCAGGTGCCCTTCCATGCATTATTTCAGGCTTGAACGGGTACCAGAATAGAACCACCGATATTTCGTAAGCTAGCTGGATAGCTTCCTCACATGAAAGAATTCAAAGTCCTTATTCGGATTCAAACCCACAGCGGTAAGAGGCAAGTGGTTTGAAATCAACGACCGTAACCACTTGGCCACGGACATCCACAGTTGTGCACGTAAGAAGTTGTAATCTTTATTAAGAATCAAAGCAGTGTCAGATACATTGTAGGCTGGTCTTCTTAACATTGAACCCGGTGGAAAACCAATGTTTAAACATAGCTAAAAATAATGACAAGCGTACCTCCGTAGATGGTCTCAAAAGCTCCGACTCCAGCTGGTGATCTGATGTACAAGTGTCTGCAGATAGATGCTGAAAATACAACACACGATTCTCAATGAAGAAAGAATTTAACCCTTTTCACATGAATGACTGATTCCATGTTAAAGTTTAACTGCCTATTATATATTTATGAAGAATTCTTTTTAATATCAAAAATGTTTTCAGGTACTTTATGGCTACAAATGAAGTGTGGCCGCAACTTTATCTACTTACATTTTTTGTATCAAATATTTTTTAAACTTAAATTTGTAATATGAATGACACTGAAGTACAGAAAACATACAAGATACGTGTTCACATTTCAAGATTCAACAATTGAGTTTTACCTAATGAAATGTAGAACATGGTATGAAAAAAGAAAGAATACTATTTTCTGCAAGTGTTCCAATATCAGAATTAAATCAGTTTGAAATCCTCTCACAAATGGTTGATCAAGTGATTTTTTTCATCACCAGAACATTACAGAAACATTTATCTTATATTGTATTAAATGTCATAAAGTTCATTAGAAAAAAGTACATGATAACTCAATATTTTTTTTTCTTTTTTAACACTCGTGACTATATATACATGTTTATCAACAGGCCTACTCTACCAGTGCAGAACCTTGCAGGCTAATTCAACAATGAAAAGCAAAAATACAAAGGGAAGGAAATCTATCTTACAACAGTAACAATGTTTCACAAGTATTGCACTAAAATCTGGCAAAACTGTCTTATAATAAATACTGCATTTTATGATTTATAAATTCTCAAACAGGCCAATAAAAGTCATTATCCTAAATGAGACATGGACTGGTTAATTTGTTAGAAGAAATGGTGTTGCTATGCAAAACAAGATAATACGAAAATTCTTTCAGGCTTATAACAAAATGGATGGTAAAAGTTCCGTATCAGAATTAAATCAGTTAAATATCCCCTCATGGAGTATCACGTCATTTTTTATTCATCACTGGAACAAGTTATCAACATTAAAACATGTTAAGCAATGTCATTCAGACTAAAAAGACTTGAGATGTTCTGAATGATAGTACTCCAACTGTCTTTTATTCACTTTTCAAATTTAAAAATATTCACAGGTCACCATAACCATTTTGCATTTAAGTAAAATTTCTAGATATCATTGCCTTTTCCCCCCACAATAATCTTTGCCTTCTATAGAAGTAATGCAGCTACTTTTTCAAATTCAATGTGTAAATAAAGAATCTTCAAATTTCAAATCTGTTATGATTGCTACACTACTAGCTATTCTCAAATTTTAGATGGCTACTATAGGATCTATGGATAATGTAATGGCAAGAAGCCTGGGAAGAATCATTTCTCCAAGTTTAGTAAAGATGTGTGACTTTCTCTATCAGACTCATTAAATCAGTTTTAACTCTCACTGATTGTCAAGAAATCGAAATTATCATCATAAGAAAGTCACTCTGTTTTCATTACTTCCATGATCCAGTATGATTATCATTATCTGTTTATAATTATCATTAAATAAATACTATTTCATCTCCTTTATAGTGCAGTATCAGGTAAAGTTCTTTTAAATTTAATAGGAGTTAACCAGTTATTGCACTAACCATATATACTGAAACTATCAGGCAAGATAAATTATATATTGAATTTTGATACTACACTTTTTATATTTTAGTATCAGTTTGTCTCCATTGCTTTGCTTTTTTTTTTACATTTTTAAGATACCAAGTTACAAAGCAATTTATTCACAAGCAGGGCCAAAACACTATTTTTGGGGAAGACGCATCAGCCTTTTTCTTGGGGAAAATATGTGTGATTTTGCATACTTTGCATTGGGAAAAGGGGTCTCAAATTTAACACAAACTTTTAACAAGTTCTTCAAAATAGAAAAGCAAAAAGCACTGGGAAATACTAATAAGGCAGTAAAAGACCTTAATTCAACACCATCATTTAATTTTGTTCTAAATTCTATGGGAAATTTCAAAAGACTGGGGAATTTTGAGGACCAAACTGGGGGAAAAAAGAGGCTAGTTTGGTTGGGGAAGCAGCCTATATTCGGCCTCTACAAAGAAGGTTTTTTTTGGCCCTGATAAATGATTATTTTGTGTGAATATCTAGTCAGACTCATTAAATCAGTTTGTACTCTCACTAGGTATCAAGATATAGAGATTCATCATTAGAAATTCACACTATTTTGTAACTATTAAGGCCTAAAAAAAAAATTGATGTGTTTCTGGTGGCGAGGCAAAAAAAAGTAGGGTCGGTAGGTCGGACTTTTTTTTTTTTTTTTTTTTTTTTTTTAGTCAATCAACGATTGTAGATATGTCAGATACGGATTATATGTACTTTAAATTATATTCTATAGCATATAAAAGTACTTAAAATGTTAGACTACCAAACCTAGTCTTCAATATTTTATTTTGAAATAAATTTTACCAATGGCATGACTCGACTTTCGTTTTCATTTTTTTTATTCTTACCGAACAACTGGCTTCAATTTTAATATTATCACTCTTAACATGACCATGCACGTCCGAAAAATGTTTTGAGCTGTTTTGCTGTGGTCTATTAATTTGATTTCCTGTTTTGCCAAACTATGATCGTATTTTTAAAGAAAATCGCCAGCAGTGACACTTCGGCTGCTTGTTGTGCCGCCATATTAGCCGGTGCGCGTTAATACGTAATTGGAACCCGAATCGTCTGTGCCTGACATTGTTGTCGACTCGCAATACTAAAACCTGTCTTCGGTACGGGCGCCATTTTTTTTTTGTACATCGATAAAAAACTTTGGGTCGGCGCTAAAAAATAGGGTCGGTCGGGCCACCGGAAACACAACATTTTTTTTTTTCAGGCCTAACTATACAGAACACCAACTGGTGGTTTTTCTCACTAAATTTTAAAGAACCTATAGCCCGTTGATTTTGGGAAAAAATATTGCTAATATTGCTTATTTGGGAGCTTAAAAAGATGGTTTTAGTTCAGATTTTATGGAAAAATTGCTTAATTTGAAAGAAAGTTTTGACCGTTTTGAAATTGGCAGAGCAGATAATTTTGTCACTTTGAAAACAAATTCCAAACGAAAGCTAGTAAAGTTTTCAAAGGAAAGCAAGAGAGGAACTATTTTATACTAAAAACATTCCATACTGATCTCAATGAAGTACCATGTTAGGAACACGCAAAAATATTTTCTAAAACTAAAATAAAAATTTTTTGGTCGTGGACGGGAAACAGCAATCTCCTGGATTAGACCCTTACGTATATTTAAGGAGAAAAACCTGTATATAATTAATAGGGACTGTTCAAGGACTTTGCTGGAAAAAACATTTTCATTTTTGGCCTTGCCAGACATCAGTATAGAGCCAGTGCAGCCTCTTTTGAAGTGTTTCGACTTTGAAATCCTATAACTTTCAAATTCAGAATATGACAATCCAGTATACAAATTCTGTAGATTAAGGTATTGAGGTAAACGGTGAACATGTCTCCCTATCAGAATTAAATCAGTTATAAAATACTCTCACTTTGTATTTCAAGACAGATCTTTCATCACATGGAGACATTACATTAAAATATGAAATAATAGCCTGAAAATGGCTGAAATAGGAAAAAGTGATTTACCAGCCCTAATAAAATACCAGTCGACATCATAGGGGGATAGCTCCTTGAATCTTCCGGTCTTGATAAAGTCAGTCCACTCTGGCACCTTCATTTTACCAGACCTAAAGTAAACAATCTTCTTTACAGCATACAAATCTATTTGATTTCAAGTATATATCTCTTGCATACAAATCTATTTGATTTCAAGTATATATCTCTTAATGATTGATCTTATCAAGATTATATTGAAACTTGAGCTATTTAATGTGAAAGATTTTAGGAACGTTTTATCAGTAAGTTTTTATGCTGGTTTACAATAGAACAAGTGCAGTACGAGTATGCAATGTGAAGCCATTTATATTTTTCTTATTTTTCATTGATGATTCCAGACTTAGCAACAGGAAATTAACATTTTTCAGGGGCAAAATAAGGACTTCACAAATTAATTTCCTGTTCAACATTATTAAAAATAGTTATACCTTATAAATTTAATAAATTGGACTTTTCATACTGAAATTCACTAAAATTTACTTACTTTTTTAAAAAGGCAGCAAAGGCCCTAGTAAAATCATGTGCATTGACATCCTTCACTGAGATCCCCATCTGTAAAATATGATAAAGATAAAAGTCAATTATGACAAGAATAAATATTAAGTACAATTTAGATATGACCCAAAATGAATACATATCACAAATTAAAAATTTTATGTAATTTTCAGCCTCAGTAGAGGCAAGTATTTTTGTGTCAGGGATCGAAAATTCCACTCGTCCTCTCGTATTTACAAGTAGACATTGATGCAGGACGAGTACAAAATTGTTGAATGCTCGTCCGGCAGGACAAGTGTAAATTTGCCGATGTAATAGAAATGTAGAATTCTCAAAATCAGTTTGTTTACATTTAAGGATGGAAAACCGAAAACAAATCTTGTGTTTTAGGTTATGTATAATTTAAGCTCTTAACGCACTGTTAATTGGATACGGGCGTAACTAAAGTGCCTGACAATGCCCTATAAAGTGCGTGAGTTATACATAACCTAAAACACCAGCTTTGTTTCTGATTTTGGTTCGTTAAATTTATGTAAAGAAATCAACTATGAGAATTTTTAGCGGTCTTTTTGCATCGTCAAGGTATTATTGCATAGGCGATGTTTATCTTAAACATCGACAGGGCACTTGTTTGGTCGTTTTAGGGGCTGATTATGGGTTCCGTTCAAAACTTCCCCTCTCAAAATCATATGTATTTTTCCCCTATCTCAGAAAAAAATCCCCTCCAAATTCTAAAATAAATCAACTTAAAGTAATTTGTTTGATTTGTTAAATAGCTATTGATTTCAATGGTAGGAAAATTACAAACTATTGAAACCAATGGTAGGATATCATGTAATGAGTAGTCCAATATATTAGATGTTACAGGCTTGTTATAGTTGATGTCGGTCAAGCCTCGTTGGTCACATTTACTCATTACACTAGTCCTATAACTAAAATATGACGTCGCTTTGAGATATATTTTTTGCTTCTGGGAAAAGCAATGTCATATCGAAATTGCTCAAAAACCCATAGCATGTTCGGCCAGAAAATCGGGCGTAACGAAAAACAATCAAGACAGCTTGTATTTACATTAGTTTTGACCTATTTATGAACAAAACTAAAAAATAAATACCTTTTGTCAAAATAATAAAACTGTTAGGGTAAATGTGATAAAAATACACTGAACAGCTGAATACATGATCAGGTCTAGGATTTCATGATATTTATGGACTGTCCGTAAATTTATAGACAGTCTAGAAATTTAATGATTTTTCAATCCATAAATTTACAGATATTCAATGTGAAATTTGATGTTTTTAGTTTTACAATAAAATCCGCAGCTTTAGACAAGTTGTTTTATTGATTGTTTATATTTACAAAGGTAATGGGGTGAGTTTCATCTTTGTATGATGATTTTGAAATTTTTGTAAAAAATGAAAATTGAAAGTCATCAAACTGTTCTGAATCTTAACATACTGTTACATTTAATCGTATGATACCTAACCTTATTTATTTTAACCTGCGGTTTTAAATTTTAATGCAACTTCTACTATTTTCTTACTTAATGTCTGTAAATTTACAGATAAGAAAATCTGTAAAATTATGGATCGTCCAAAAATTTACAGACTGTCCGTAAATATCATGAAATCCTAGACCTGATGGTATCATAAAATTTCGAATTTTGCCTTAAAGCGACGCAAAATTACCCTTCCTTAGGGTATGGGTACCTGTCCCCAACAGATGTCTTGTGCCCTGATCGAGGCAAAAATACAGAACGTGTAGCAAAGCATGCAGGACGAGTAGAAATTTGGATCCCTGACTGTGTGGGCACAAAGTTTTTTTTGAGTATAAAAATGTTTTGTTCCCCAAAATCACGCCTTAAATTAGGTCTGCAGTTCGCGACTACATCTAAATAAAGGATATAACCGACTTGATCTGAGCTTTTGGCAACACACACCACTAAATTTGCATGTAAATAAGCGCTCTTCCGGTCGAAATAACTGGCTATAAAATGAGAACTTGACGATCTACGCGGTACAGTGTACACCAAATATAAATTTACACTTTAATCTACACAAATAAATTTACAAATCAAACAAACTACCGCATATTGATAAGTGCAAATTTTAGATAATATATTATTGCGATAAATTTACTTTCTGTCGCACGTCACGTTTGCGGATGTTGAAAAGAAAGACAGGTGTTTACATAATTTTGATCATGGAAATCGTGAATCTTCGGTCTATACATATTTTCGTACTCTTAATTCTTTCGCCCATCTAATTTGCACAAATACTGTTTAAAAGAAACTTTTTCCGTTTAACCTATTTTTTTTTTTTTTGCTTTGCGTTATTTCTTTGCCAGTTTGAAACTAATTTTTAGGTTCTTAGCTTGTTACGTATTTAAAGATAATAAAATTATAAAAATATCAACAAACCGACAACAATCTCGATTTGTCAGGAGCGTGCCTTGGCCTTAATTAATGTGAAGGCCAACTGTTTCCCTGAATTGTCAACAGGTCGCTTTGCGTGAGAAAATTGAAGGTAGCCAAATAATTTGTCCCCATGGTTAGGGTGATGCGAGAGCAATTGAGACACCAACGTTTGGCAGCAATGCATTTGTGTATAATTGCCTGATTCTATTTAAAGATTACCAAATGTGCACTTGGTAAGCACTTATTTAAGTAGCATTTAAGGTGCATTAGAGTAGACAGTGTTATCAGTCAAAGCGTAGGGACTGTCTGAAAGTGTTGGGAATTCTGTAAATGAAATGTATAATTTAGAAAAAAATATATACTGTATACCATTGCTGAGTGTTTTGTATTCCAAAATTTATCATGGCAGGCTAAGAGAAAAAAGGTGAGGCCTCTACCGATCGCTGTATATTTTATCTGCCGATCCTGATAAATTTTATAATATCTATATGTACTTGTTTGGTATTCTATTTATCATGTTTCCAATTTTAATATGCGTTTCTTTCTTTAAAAATGAAACAAAAACCTGTTTAAAAAAACCTCGAGTTCATGGCAGCGCACAATATTAATATGACAAGGGTCACATCTGTAAACAAAAAGTCCAAATGTTTTAGTCAAATGTAAAAGAGACTTTAATATTAAAAAAAAAATCTGTCCAATACATTGTTTATCAATTTAATATTTTCAAACTAATAAGAGGTAACAATATTCCATTCTCTGAAGTGTCTAGCTGATAAAGCTGGGGGAGACTAAAGCTAAATAATTTTTGCACTTTATAAACAGAAATTAATGTAATGACACGTTAAAACCGCGTTCCTGATTCTACCACAGTTATTGTTAGATAATATTAAAACATGAGAATCAACATTGAATTGAATGAGGAACACTTTACAGGAAAAAAAACACAATAGGCTTAATGAAAATGAAATAAGGATTTGAATCATACTTTCCCGACAATATATGCAGTTTTTAAGAAGCACAATATCGTGCCGTAAAGTCAAAACAAATTAAGAAGCCTAAACTCCAATCGTAACAATAAAAGTATTGTAAACGTTTTTAAGGAACACCAAACCCTGGGGGCTCAACACCGAGAGTGGTTTGTGTCGTTTAATACGGGAAACTAATTCCTTTATTGTTAATTCAACATACTTTAGTATTTGCATATTATATGCTCATTATGACGTTTTACCAACGTCGTTACAGTATATTTGACGTTAATTTACGTCATTAGTCATTGTCACTTAGTTACAGGGCGATGACGTCATCGGCTAAAATGCCACTTCTGTTCCAACAGAAATTGGTTACATCTAAACAGAAAATTAAGAAAATGAATTAAGCCTGAGAAGGTGATAAATTAAATCAATGGTGGGAACCCGAATTTCTGGACAAAAAACTTTACCCTGAGACCGACTGGTCTTCCCGTTCAGAGATTGTAAGTTTGTCTAAATATTAAAATCGTTAATTTTGAACCGAGAATTTATTGATTTACTCTGTTTTACGGTAAATTTTATTAGAATACTTGAATACCAATTGTATTGTAATTCAACATTTAATAAGTATTTATAATCAAATGAAGTCTCTACTTTGCTCTACATCATACTGCTGTTAAAATCGTTTACGATACGATCACTCTTAGCAGGTATACATTGTAAACATTAGACAATTAATAAGATACAAGGAACCCGGGAACCAGTCCCTTTGCTCTTATTGAATAAGACCCCTCGGTTCTTTTACATGCCCAGTGTATAGCACTGATACATGCGAGGTAGGAAATCACCGAAAGTGTCTCTGAAAAATCCGTCAAGGTGTAACCCAGGATCGAACCCGGACCTCAGGAGTGATAATCAGAATGGTTTAATTAACTGAGGCTTTCCGCGCCACTTTATATTTATCTTCCTTTTATCTCAACACTATCAAATATATATTCCGCGCATAAAATGCCAACGTTGGACTAGATCTAAAATAGAAAAAAGTAAACAATTTCAAACAAAATGAAATGAATTCAATTTTCAATATTCTTTTTGACGCATTTCAATCTTCAAAATCTGCCAAGGACTTAGATTTTGAAGGTCAACAAAAACCTATAAGAGCTTAAAATGCGACAAGTACTAGTAGATTAAAAGATGCGCTAATGAAGTAAACAGAAAGAAAAGTAGAAATAAAAGAAAGTGAACAGAGGGCAAGGTGTAAATTAAGGATAAGAACATCTCAATATGGATTACAATGGACCTCCCAGCTGAACACGGGCCGGCAACGACAAAAAAAAAACTGAAAAAGGGGTGATCCCTCGGAAGCGGTAAAAACAACAATTAAATATAAAAATTGCAGTCTCGGTTTGATGATGAGTCTGTTCATGCAGAGAATAATTAAAAATGCATTGCATCTCTCAATGCCCCAACTTAAAAGTTATTCAACGTTCAATCACTAACGTGTGGGAATCAATGACCCCGAAGCACCAAGAAAATAATTATAAATAACACTGAAGAGAAGTTAGGTGCAATCTCACACAGCTGCCACAAACAGCATTTGACTTCCTCTGTTGTGAAAAATTGCACACTCGGTTAGAAATGTCCGAGCCAAGCTTCACTACGATGAGGGCTTGATGTTCGTAAGATCTTCGGAATACATTGGACTTCTTGAGAATGAAAACAACTTCAAGGCTTTGTAAATCTAATTAAGTTTTTTGGCCGTATAAGGGCGTCGCACGGAATGGCACCATTTCGCTTCCGTACGTATACCTTAAAAATGTTCGCACGTTCTTTTTTTACATTTTCAGTTGCGTAAGGCGGTCGGGTTTCAGGAAGCTCAAGCTACCTTTAGAGACATATACAGACACCGACTTTAGTAAAGATGATTGCAGGTAAAGTACATTTATCCCTCCATTTTTCCCTTTCCATTGCAAAATGGAAAGCGATCATGCTATGATAAAATCGCACATCTGTCTATTCATATTAATTCGTTTGTTCCTAGACTTTATCCTAATTTTCTTCAACGCTATTTCGAATTCCGAGAAAAACTTTATAGGTCTGATCGGGGACTTGTCTGCGTCTAAATAATTTTTTTTATCACCGACAAGATTACGCCCGACCTCCATGGATTAATTGTCGTTATATAGCTTGATACACTGCATTGGTAATGTGGAGTAAAGTGCATTAATGTCATATATAATGCTAGTCCTAAATCCGACACGAAAAATCATGCAACTATTCAAATGTAGTTGACAAAAAACATTAACATACATGTACTTGTTTTGTAATATCATAACATGTTACATGTACGTTTTTCAAACAATCTATAATATTATTAGGTCTGATCGGGGACTTGTCTGCGTCTAAATAATTTTTATCCATAGGATCTAATTTCGTTATATCAAGCTTTTGATACTCTCTGATTTTATGTTAATGTGAAGTAAAGTGCATGTAGTTTGTCATATTCAATGCTAGTCCTAAATGCGCGACACGAAAAACTCATGCAAGTTATTCCAAATGTAGCTTGAACAAAAACATATATACATACATGTACATTGTTTACATGTAATATTCATGAACATTGTATACATGTACGTTTCTTTCACCAACAAACAAATATATCGGTACAATATCGGTATAAAAATGTAGCATGTTTCTGGTACAATTTCTGCTTTATTAATGTTATATTACCATTAAATTTTATTGAGTTTTCTTATCATTTGGCTTAAGAGGGAAGTATGTTTGTTTACCTTTTAAATACTGGAGGGTTAAGAGTTTTAACAACTTTCAATGATTTTGTAGATCAATTTTGATTGATTTTATCTTTGAAAGTATTTGATTTGTTTATTAATTACGACTGACAGCAAATAACCGGAGGTATAACACGTACTTGTGGGGAACTACCCTTGTAAATGACGGGAACGTGATTAAAGAAGTTAATCTGAAAATCGCATCTAGAGAAAGTGGGTTTTGTATGTCTAATGAAATGACACTTTCTTAAAGAAACGAACATTTTTTCATAACGGATTTTAACGAAATTTTACACCCACATCTCATGCGAATATTGTACAGTTTTTCACAAGCTGTTATCCTTTAAATGTGACTGAATTAATTCCGTCTTTGAAAATATTCACCAGCCTCTAATTAAGTTAGTGGCTGGGGCGGTTCAGCTTAAATATAGTCTATTAAAACATATAAATCATTTTTAATCGGCCGGGTTTCATTTGGAGTTTGTAGAAATCTGTAGTTTTATGTCTTCAAGATACTCCGTGTTCAAAGCTAACTCAATAAGTTAGATTTTCATAATTCATATTCAAAGCCTGATTAGGCTGGGAAATAAAAACATATTTATCATTATTTACAAAGTTTTAATCTTTCGCTTAAAATGGTTTAACTATTTCTGAACATATGTATGCATTCACCTCAAAGAACTTGTGAAATTACTGCGCGCACACACACAAAAAAATCCCACAAGATAACATGGGCTTCGAACAAAGTTAACTTTTACTGTTTAAACAGTCATATCTGTACGTTAAGCTGTGACTATTGAACAGTTAACACGCTATCAAAACTTGCTTATATTTCGGTTGTTTGATATCATATACCCAAAAATCACCTTGAATATGAAATACAATAATCGAAACGTTTCACTCTAGTGAAATAAAATTGGTGTCACGAGTCGCCATGTACAATTTAAACTTACTTTTTAAAAAACAATAATCGATTATAGAGTCACTTTTTCTTAATGAATAAATCATTAAATGACGCGAGTATTATATCCAATTTCAGGCTTTTAAATTTTTTAAACAAAATTTAAAACGTGAATTTATTTAAACGTCTTGCACGTGAAGGTAAACCTAGATAAACTACTCACTCTCGATGAATTTTAAAATTAAAAAAGGATTAAACGTTTTCAAAGAAAAAGTTTAGCATGGATTTAGTGACAAAAAGCAATAAAGCTGGATAAATCATTTTCTACGTTGAATTTGATAAAATATAGAAATATTCTCACTTGAAAACGGGAAAAATGAGCGGGTAAATTTTCGATTGCTCTGGATTCGGAAATAAACATTTTCGGATAGTGAATTTAAATACTGAGCGTTTTAAACAAATAAAAAATGACTTCGTCGGAGAGTGTCCAACTTATGGCACCAGCGGCCACTAAAATAACACTTTTGCCGCCAAAGTGCCCTCCCTCCAAGTCGGTTATAGTAGGGCGTGGGCAACTCCGAGTACCTCGATCTGTACAACTTCAGTTGGCTCGGAGCTTGACATTTGGAGTCCTTGGTGACGACAGGTAGAGATTTTTTCTTTAGTTATATATATTATTTACTGAAACAAAGATCGTTATTTGCACGCGTAATTACATATATTGCACATATTTATACTTTATACTTTGGCCAGTCCGTTACTGAGTGATTATGAACTTTTGACTTCAAGCCACTTGCCTCTCACCGCTGTGTGTTTGAATCCCGCCAAGGACTATGACTGTATTCTTTCATGTGACAAAACTCTTCAGCTAGCACGAAGGCGCACCACAGCTCTTCCTACACCAGTAAAGCTGGAAAGTCACCATATGACCTTTGCAGTGTTGGTGCGACTTAAAACTCAACCAACAAAAAAAAAACCTTTTAACTGTCTAAGTTAACCAATGATCACTCTTATTCAATACTTATTTTAATGACACGTGCTTCCATGGCAACATAATACCAATCCGCACTATTATTCTTTTTATACATCATACCGGCTAAACTTTTAGCTACTATAGTATAAAGCGCCGTGTATGGGAGTTGTAAACTTGACTTTTTTCCCCAATTATAATGTGAAAATCGCCATGAGAAAGTTGTCAAAGCTTTATGTAATCGTACATTAAAAGATTCACATGTGAAATTCCAATGGAAGTAAGCACACCATGCGAAATGAACGAGACAAACGCGCTCGTGCTATTGATAATAACGACCCGGAATCGTCTGCACATTAGCAACGGTGCTTTAATTTTTAATTGAATTTTCATGCAATCTCACGCGCATTACCGTGCTCGTAAATCTTGCAAAACTAATTTAATTTAATAAGATAAAAGTCAGAATATGCAAGACATAGTAGTTTTCTTGTATACTTGTATAAAATTTAACAAGGATATATCAGTATTTTGACGATATAGTTAAGACCGTTCCTTCTATAGTTTTAAAGCCCCCAGTATTTTTTTCCTACGGATGTATTTTAAGCAGGTGCTCAAAGTAGTTTTATAATTTACGTAAATTGGCTCCATCAATGATTCATATACAGTGTAGTCAGAAAAGAGTGTTATAAAAAGGTTTAGTCCGTGAATGTTATATTTAGTGATGACACAAAGTTAAAAAGATGTCAAATATTGGAAAAAAATGACAAAGTCGCTATGGGTCTTTAAAAATTGAAATCCAGTCTTAAATATTTGTATGTGGGGTATCCGAGGCCAAGTGGAAATGTCATTGACTTCGTATTGCTTGCCCTTACTATTATGGTTTGGAAACTTCTATCGAAGACTATTTTGCCAGTTTGTGAAAGACCGGTGGTTCTACTTAAAAACCACTAGCCTAAGTGGCACCTGAAGGCTACTGTAGTTACACTAAGTCGAGTTGGAAGCTATAAGCTTATTGAAGCACTCTGGAATCCATTCCTGGAACCAACCAGTACTAGGCAACGAGTGTAAAGTTATTGCTCACCGAAACCTTGGCTAGCCCCTGACGGGATTTGAACCCACGCGGCAATAAAATTAAGCGGCAATCATTTTTAAGGATAAAATCTGTTTTTACATGTTCAGGTGACTGTTTATTATTATTTATTATTAACATATGTATTTGTCTCATGTTTTTTATATTGTGCATGTGCAAACTGGGATATATATTCGATAAAACTTGAAAACTTCAAATAAAAACAACAACTACAAAAACCGATTACAAGGCCTTTAAATGAAATGAAAGCTTTTCGAATCATGTGCCAGATGAGATATGAAAACCCAAAACTAGTGGTATTTGTTTATGCACAGAAATTGGATTATACACCTAATTATGACCATTAGCTGTTTAAACAAATACTTTATCTTTGGCTAATTCGGCGTAGTAATCATACATGAAACTTTCATATCATATCATGTAAAATCGCTTAAAAAGTTAAAATTCATCCGAGAAATATAATGTTGGTCACATTTATGTGTGTTGTTATAACAGAAAGTTTGGAAAATAATTATTATTACTATGAGATATTATTCAGATTGGTAAGTATGAAAAGTTATTTCGCAATTAGGATATTCTCGAAACAAGTTTAATTACCAAAACTACCCATTTCTCAGCTGATAGGGAGCACGCTTATCTTTGATCCATTGGTTTTTTTTTCTTAATCTGTGCACATACATGTACATCTATTAAGGTTCTGAGGAAAAAAAAAACAAGTTTTCTTTTGTTTTTGAAAACTTGCTAATATCGAATTGAAATTGGATCATCCTTATTGTTGGAACCCGGAATATGCAAAACAATCAGAGTGACTGAAATATACTAATTTTATAATAAAGTTCGTGGGTCAGATTCATTTTTTAATCTGCGCTAGCATTAACGGTTGTCAAATGAGTTGCCCCTTCGCTTCGTTCCTATTAAATAGCTCACTTCTCACTTCTGCTTGGTTGGGCGGATTGACTGGACATTGCTTTTGGAAGCAATTTTAATAATCTTAGATAGATATAATATAATAAAGAAACAGTTCATAGATAAACAATTCGATTTTTTTGTTGCAATTGGTCTCCACTAAATCAACTTTATTTTACATTTAAGCATCTAATTATCCTTAAATGGATTTTCACGCATTATTAAAAAGCTTTTTGCAAACAGTTACGGCGGTATTGATGGAATATACAATTGATTTTTCACTTCGCATTATATCGATAAAATATTGATTCGGATTTTCAAATTTTGGTGTGAAATTTCTTGTGAAAACATTCACAGTTGAATATATGAAACGACAATCTTTTCCGATAATTGCCCGATTATAACTAATGTAAATTTAATATTGATACAATATATTGCTGGCCGATATCAAACAAAAATTGTTCAATAACGACAGTGTGGTCATTCATTTTTAACAACAGTGTTGCCATTTCGCTAATATTTGTTTGTATTTGCTGCATTGTATCCACATTTCCAAAGGGTATCAAGTGCCTTTTTAAATGTTAAAACTTTATAAAGCCAGTGGTATAGTTTCCTGTAGGCCGTTTAAGGCTGCGGCCTACACTTCATACACTTTTTTTCCCGGAAAGCGAAACGAATAAGAATAATTAATTTTATTTCTCTAGCACCAGATTATTATAATCCCTTGAACATATTTATGGACTAAATATCGCCTCAAAAAATACATTTCCGATCATTCGCAGCATTTTTTTTTCAAATCTCGGGAGTGAATGTCGCAGACACTACTCATTCGTTTGAAACCAGCTACATTCACACTGTTAAATGCGCGGCTGACCGTCTTACATACATTTAAAAAATAATTATGAAAATCTTTTCTTCTTGATTTTTTTGTAGTTAATTCGCGTTCCTTTGAAGACCTAATTATTTAAAAACGTATAAGCGTCACTTTGGTAGGTAGTTGGTAGTTGAATATTCGAATAACCAACTATACCTACTAGCTTGTAGTTGTTGATTCACGCGAAGCACCACCTGGATCATTTGGTTGACGTAGGGAGCCGCGGAGATACCATTTGGTAAAATTAATCTATCTTGTCATATATTTGTAACTTTTATTCTGAAATATCATTTTCTGTTGTCTTTTTTAGGAATACATGTAATGTTTCAATAACCAACTACCTTTTGGCTGGTAGTTGGGGATACACGCGAATAACCAACTGATTCCCCTATATGGAGACACATGGAGATAAGGTGATTACATGACGAAGAACACATCTATCTTGCTATATATCCGTTGCATTTATTTCTAAAAATACTTTCTGTTTTGAGGGAAAACATGCTAAGTTCGAACAACCAAGTACTGGTTGGTAGTTTTGGATTCGCGCGAATATTCAACTTGGTCCCCTCCTTTATTCTGTTATGTTTATGTTCGAACACAGTGGATGCATGGTCTGTGAGTCATGTTTACTATAGCAGTAGTGCCCTGTGTGTGAAGTGCCCTGTGTGTGAAGTGCCATGCATGTGTGTGTAAAGTGCCCTGTGTGTCAGGTCAGTCTTTCAGCAGCGTCCTGTTTATCAGGGTTTAAGTAGTGTTCTCTGTGTCAGGTCAGTGTTTGAGTAGTGTCCTGTGTGTCAATGTGTGAGAAGTGTTTTGTCTGTCAGTCCCTGTGTTCTGTATGTCAGTGTGTGTGTGTTTACCCTGTGTTTCAGGTCAGTGTTTAAGTTGTGCCCTGTAAGTCAATTTGTGAGTAGTTTCCAGTGTGTCAGTGTCCTGTACGTAAGGTCAGTGAGTGAGTAGTGTCCTGTGTGTGATTTGTGTCCCATGTGTGTCAGCTCAGTGTCCTGTGTGTCAGTTGCGAATTGTGTCCTGTGTGTCAGTGTTAGAGTAATGTGTGAGTTTTGTTTTGTGAGTCATGTCAGTGTTTGAATTGGGCCCTGTGTGTCAATGTGTGAGTTGTTTCCGGTGTGTCAGTGTATGAGTAGTTTCATGTGTGTTCGTGTGTGAGTTCCCTGTGTTTCAGTGTGTGAGTAATTTCCTGTATGTTCGTGTGTGAGTAGTTTCCTGTTTGTCAGTGTGTGACTAGTTCACTATGTGTGAGAAGTTTCCTGTGTGTTCGTGTGTGGGTAGTTTCCTGTGTGTTCGTGTGTGAGTAGTTTCCTGTATGTTCGTTTGTGAGTAGTTACCTGTGTATTCGTGTGTGAGCAGTTTCTTGGGTGTTCGTGTGTGAGTATTTTCCTGTGTATTCCTGTAGTGTCCTGTCAGTGTTTCAGTTGTCTTCTGTGTGTATTGCACTAGTGTTCTGTGTGTCAGTGTTGCAGTTGTGTCTTGTGTGTCATGTGTCAGGTCATTGTTTCAATAGTGTTCAGTAGTGTTTTCTGTGTAAGTGTCTCATTAGTGTGTTGTGTGTCAGTGTTGCAGGAATGTCCTTTCAAAATCGCAATAATGTCATGTTAGTGTCTCAGTAGTGTTCTGTCTGTCAGTTTCTCGGTAGTGTCCTGTCTGTCAGTGTTCCAGTAGTGTTCCAGTAGTGCCCTGTTTGTCTGTGTCTCAGTAGTGTCATGTCTGTCAGTGTCCCAGTAGTGCACTGTCTGGCAGTGTCTCGGTAGTGTCAGTGTCTGTCGGTGTCTCGGTAGTGTCCTGTCTGTCAGTGTCTCAGTAGTGTCCTGTGTGTCAGTGTCTCAGTAGTGTCCCAGTAGTGCCCTGTCTGTCAGTGTCTCGGTAGTGTCCTGTCTGTCAGTGTTCCAGTAGTGTCTCGGTAGTGTCCTGTCTGTCAGTGTCCAGTAGTGCCCTGTCTGTAAGTGTCCCAGTAGTGCTCTGTCTGTCAGTGTCTCGGTAGTGCCCTGTCTGTCAGTGTCTCGGTAGTGTCCTGTCTGTCAGTGTCCCAGTAGTGTCCTGTCGTCAGTGTCTCGGTAGTGTCCTCTGTGTCAGTATGTCAGTTGTGTCTTTTGTGTTGGTGTTGTGTGTGTGTGTTGTGTCATGTGTGTTAAGCGTTAATGTTTGAGTAGTGTGTAAGTAGTTTTTATTAATTAATATACGAAAGAGTGTTAGTGTTGTTAGAAAGATTTTTAGAATTTTAGTGGAGTAGCGGGGGATCGAACTCGCAACCCCTAGACTTGTAGTCAGACAGTGTTACCACTGCACCACAGCGCCCGCTCTGATTTATAACTATTTTGGAAGTTCCTTTATACATTATCACATTACTAAACTTGAAATTGAGTAATGCAATTTAATTTTCACACCTAAATAGTTAATATAGCGGTAATGTCTAAAGTGTTTTACAATGGCTGACATTCGTGTCCTTGTTCGAGGCGTTATGATAAAGGACTTTACACAAACGAGTAAGTAAGACTGTTGACAGGCAATAAAAAAACATACAAGAAAAAAAAAACATATTTCGTTAAATAGAATCGCAGTTGTTATATTGACAATTAGTAAGTGAAATCAATACTTGTTGTTAATGATAAATGATGTTTTGAGACAAGTCTTTTTAATCTTATTTTCACATGTCAAAGATAATACTGTTGGTGGAAATAAGGTGAAAAAAGGTATGTTAAAGCAGCAAACCTCCAGTCTCATGCTAATTTTTATGACAATTTTTAAAAAATTAATGTAAATTAAAGGAAAAAAAATTTCGAGTGAACAAAGAAAGTAATTTACATAATTATTGCAAAGAACACTTTCAATCCACGTAAATTACCAAATAAATTTCAAAATATGCAGAAAACACCAACAAAACAGATATATCACAAGTTGACAGATGAATTCTACCAAATTGTATCAACCAGAACTCTAGGTCGGCAAAGACACACAAATGGTTATTCGCGTGAATCCACAACTACCTACCAGAAGGTAGTTGGTAATTCGAACTTTGCATGTTTACTCCTAAAAACAGGAAAAAAAATATTTCAGAATAAATATGACGGATATATAGCAAGATAGATGTTTTCTTCAACATTAAAACACCCTGTCTCCCTATGTCCTCAAGGGTACTCAGTTGGTTTTTTTCGCCAGTATACAAAACTACATACTGGAACGTAGTTGCTAATTCGGATATTGCATATAGTCCTCTGAAAACAGAAAGTATTTTTTCTAAAACAAATGTTACCGTTATATAACTAAATATGTATTTTCTATAATATTATTATGGTAGCACCCCCTTCATTATAAATAGACCATATATATAGATACATTTAACTTTTTTTCGAACTTACTATCTGATTCTTTCATAATTTATTACCCTTCAACCGGATGGATCAGAAAGAGATAAGCGTTTGTCGCCAGTATAGAGCCTTGGCCTGTATGTCCGTGCAGTCTGACCAGGCACTATACTGTTAGTAGCTTTATTTTTCTTAACCCCCTAAACTTTGAAAAGGCTGTTACAAATTCAAAGCAGACGCAAACTCAGCAGGCCAAAGGTTAAAGGTTAAATAAACAGTAAATACATTCAGTCAATACTTGTCTTCGTTTATATTGGTTAAAATCAATATAACTTGTTGAAGTAATAAGACATTTTATAGAAAACAAATATGTAAATTAATTAAATATCCATGATTTAAACAACACGATAACCTAATGTAAAATTATTTTTCTTTTTTTACTGGTATTTTTTTTATCGGAACCTTGTATATTGATAGATTTTTACTAAATTACTAATGCACATAAAGCATGGGTATTGCAAACAAGTACTTCAAACCAATATAATTTAAATGAGTTTTTAGAAATATTTATTGGTATTAAAAGAACTATTTAACACTTATAAGTTCGAGTTAAATGAATTGGTGTTAATTCCATTGTTTTTCTTTTTATTCTTCTAAACAATTTAGGGATGAATTTGTTTGATGAAATTGAAAAGAGAATGTTTAATTAATCACATCAATATTCGTTTATATATTACATATATGTACCAAATCGTAACTTTTCGCCCATTTCCGTCATATTTGCAGCACGCCGCTTCATTTTAAAAATATTTTGCAGCTTTTTATGTTTCATGCAAACAAAATTACCAACATTTACGAAACATCTATAAAATTGAAACCTTAATAAAGGCCCACATTGTTGCTCTGTTTGATTAAACTAAGTTGAAAATGCAATCTTAAGTCCACGCACCCTAGCAACGATTTATGCAGAGCTTATAAACATCACTGTGTCATGTTCTTGCCATTCCATGAAAAGCGGTGTATGGTCTCAAAGAAAAAGAAATTTGTGTGTCCTGAACCCATTATGGGGCGAAACTGATTAAAATGGTAAAATGGAATTTCGATCGTCTGCTTCTCAAGAAAGGGGAAGTTACTCCAGCTGAAATAAATTTATACTCATAATTATCCTTTGCTATATATACAACTTGCTTCAATGCGAGTGGTCTTTTTTTTTGCAGCTGTGGAAGATTTGTTTAATTTGAAAAATGTTTAATAAATATGCAGAATAGTTTTGTTACCGGTTATTTCTGTCAGTCTCTAATTAGGAATAATCGGCGAGGTGTTTTGAATTTAAAAAGAAGCAGGACAAGTTCGGTATACGGTTTACTCGGTCATACAATAGTGCTTGGTGATATATAGCTATATTGGCTATATAGCTTTTTCTGTTTCTATTTTTCGAAACATGAAATAGTAAAACGCTATACAGAAAACAATAAAAAATTAAATTATGAAAGGCGCTTGTATTGTCTTGTCATTGTATAATGCCATATAAATGCTGTATAAAATGTACGGAAAAAATAGACAAGTATATACGTAGCAATTCTCCCATGGTATTTACATAGCCCCTGTTACTCTTCCGTAGTTTTTGTTCTTCGCTCTTCAGAATTTTTTTTCCGGAACACGTTCGATAGTGGTGTTTACTTAAGTTTAATTTGTATTTGAGTTATTTCATGTGAATAATTTGCAATGGTCTTTAAAATTTAAATCGATGCCATACCGTGAAAAACCATTTTGGATTATGTGGACGCCAGGGTAGCAAGATTTAGGCTGAATTGAACGGATAAATATTTTAAAAGATGGGAACTGAATGACAGTTGTTTCATTTATGTAATTTTACAGCTTTGACGTGAACCTGTGAGGCTATGGCTTATGGAAGTAACATGTAGGGATTTAAAATATATTAAACACTATCATTCAGAAAGTTGTTGGGCCGTGAAAGTAATTTGTATTAAGTATATGATATGCAGGGATCTTACAGTGCAGACAGATTATAATGTAATGCAGTTGAGATAATCCCTTTAATAATCGGGGTTTAGTCTTTGACATCGTGGCGTAAGATTGTTAGTTTTCGTATATGATTTCTTTTCGTGGTTTTTTATTTAGACATAAATAAGCTCGCTTTGAATGCTTGGCGAGCCATGTATGTTCCTTTGATAACGTAATTGATATTTTTCCAAGCATGGGAGATAATGTTTATTCTCATGTTTCATAAGTATATTTCTAGCTTGATTTTATAAAGTTGTTTTTTTAGAATAAAAAAAAGGAAGCGTCGTGATTTTTGTACGTTTTACGGTGATTTTTCCCTTTGAAAGATCAACTTTGAGTACATGTAGAAATCATTTTTTGTTTAAAACTACCTTGGTAAACTGCTTAGTGAAAACAATAAACGAATACTAATATACTTTATGATATTGTAAGTGTGGTGTTAAGTCTGAAGCGTCAATGTTTTAAATAGATTTTCGGATATTCCAATATATTTCAGCATGTGATAGTGGAAATAAAAGATTTTAGAAATGTTAGATTACATTAAAAATGTCGTAGGAAAAGAAAAATACTGAATACATATTAATTATTTAATGTTGGGCGATTGCAGTAACCTCTACCCGAGTTCGAACTGGGTCTCGGAGAACAGGGACAATTATGCCGGCAGGACGGCGGATGAAGCTGCCCGAACGAAGCCGGACTTTATGATTACGTCATTAGATACGAGAAAGCACAACCCACAGCCAACGCAGATTTATCATATTAGGAGAATTAACAAACAGGTAATACATGTAGAATGAGATTGTGTGGTAATATATGTAAATGTGATTGTGTGGTAATACATGTACATGTAGAATGTGAAAGTGTGGTAAAACACATAGAATGTGAGTGTGTGGTAATACATGTAGAATGTATGTGTGTGTTTATACATTTTGAAGGTGATTATATGGTTGTACATGTAAAATATGATTGTGTTGCAATACATGTAAAATGAGATTGTGTGTAAAATACATAGAATGTGAGTGTGTGGCCATACTGTACATGTAGAACGAATGTGTGCGGTTATGCATGTAAAATGTGATTCTGTGATAATACATGTAGAATGAGATTGTGTGGTAATACAGGTTAAACGTGATGTGTGGTTACACATATAAAACGTGATTGTGTGATGATAATGCAGAATGTGATTGTGTGGTAATGCATGAAGAATGTAATTGTTTAGTGAAACACATAGAATGTGAGTGTATGGTTATACATGTAGTAGAATGTAATTGTGTGGTAATTCATGTAGAATGTGATTGTGTGGTAATACACATGGAGAAAGTTGTTGTGTTGTAATGCATGTAGAATGGTGAGTGTGCGGTAATACATGAAGAATACAATTGTGTTGCAAAACACATAAAATGTCAGTGTGTGGTAATACATGTAGGATGTGATTGTTTGTAAAACATAAAGAATTAGATTTTGCGGTAATACTTGTATAGAATGTTATTGTGTGGTTAAACATGTAGAATGTTGTTGTGTGGTTAAGCATGTAGAAATGTGGTTGTGTAGTAATTCTAGTAAAGAATGTGATTGTGTGGTAAATCATGTAAAATGTTGTTAGTGTGGTGACACATGTAGTGTGATTGTGTGGTGACATATGTACAATGTGATTGTGTTGCTACACAGGTAGATTGTGATTGTTTGGTAATGCATGTAAAATGTATGTGTGTGAATGTCACGAACATTCTATTGAGAGTTTGATTCAATTTGCGCGAAACTGAAGAATTAGAAACTTCTACTGCGCAACATTCTAAGTGAAGAATTTAACCAAAATTCACAGTAAAATTTTCTACTGTTCTGTACTGTGTGATTTGGTTAAAAAAATAGTTCTGGAACCATGGGGTGTGAAAAAAAAAATATTTTAAACATATGTAAGGGGAACGTTTCTTTTGGTTAGCTTATCAACTATTATATTTATTTAACCTTATATCGCATGTAATCTAGCTAAAAATTAATGTATGGAAATATACATTCTATTTCTTTAAACTGTAATCTTCAAAGTGTTCTGAAATTCTTAAGTAAACGTTGTTATAGTTTTATCTAATCACAACTTGGAACCCTGTGAAGATTTATAAAGCTCGAACACATGCACGTGCCCTGTATGAAAATTACAATCATTTTGAATAATGATTAATTTTTACAGAGCAATGTCAGTGCAAATTTTAATTTATCAACATTTTTCGACAGAATCCGCGGTTTTGTTTTCATAGTTTTTAAAAATTATAATAAATTTTTTCACGCCTCTATCTTAACCCATTACCCCATGAGCATTTTTGTGAAAAATGGCTATTTTCATTGAAAAGGCTCCCGTTACAAGTTCAAATTGCTATAAAACTATAAAAACTGCTTCAATGCTAATCAAACTTGGCGCAAATGTTGACTGGACCATTGCCTTTGTAACAACATGCTCAGGCTTAAATTTCTAGCCACCATGGCAACGAGGGGACATCTCAAAATTGCCAAAAATCACTATTTTGTGTTGATTTTTTCCATCAAAATTGATTTCAAAGTGCTGCAACTTCTCAATGGATTGAGATAGAGTCAAATGCTTTTCAGCGTTGATTACACGTTACCTTATGATCAATCTGGGGTCATTTTTAGCCTCTCAAAAGTCCAAAATTTTCTTGGCGATGAGGGGGACTGCCGCCCCCCTTCAAACCCCCCAAACAGAAGGGGGCACATCCCCCTTCTGGCAACCCCCTGATGTATCTTTTGGCTGGGGGCCGCGCCGAAAAAGTGGTCACTTTTTTAAACAACATTTCTCAAACAAAAACAAGTGTTGGGGGCTTAAATAAGGCATTTTTTCACCATTTGAGGCGACTAAAAGGGGGGGGGGTGAAAAGGCGTAGAAAGGCGTATATATCTGGTAATGGGTTAAATCTTGATGATATTTTATTTCTTTCTTCTTTAAGGTTTCAACAAATTTCTTAATTTACTGATTCTTAAATCTTTCCTTTAGCATTAGCTGTCATGTCTGAAACCAGCTTATCTATCCATCAATTTTTCATTCATTCGTTCGTTCGTTCCTGCGCGTGCTTCCTTCCTTCCTGCGCGTCCTTCCTTCCTTCCTTCCTTCCTTCCTTCCTTCCTTCCTTTCTTCCTTTCTTCCTGCCTTCCTTCCTTAATTCCTTCTTTCTTTCTTTCCTTCCTTCCTTCTTCCTTCCCTTCCTTCCTTCCTTCCTTCCTTCCTTCCTTCCTTCCTTTATTAATTAATAAATTCATTCATTCATTCATTCATTTATTCATTTATTTATTCATTCATTCCACATTTCAGCCAGTTTGCAACGTTCAGTCATGGGTAAACGTTGGGGAAAAGAAAGAAGAAATACCGGAGTCATCCGTGTACAAGGTTTCATATCAGGACCGTCCATCCCAGCCAGTTAATATTGTACACAAACAAGACTTGAATAAACCTATAGAAGGAATAGGTAAATATAAAGTTTGTTACAAAAATACTTACAGCTGCATGCCTCCAGATGTGCCAAACTATTTTTTTAATCAACCTTAATAAAAATGTACTAAGATTTTAGGAAAAGTAAAAACGTTCACAATTTTAGAATTATTTACATGCTATATGCAATTAACGACTTATTTTACAGTATTTATCATCAAGTTCTACAGCGTAACTTACGCAACAACTTCCCCAGTAAGAGAACGGGATGGCATACATTTGCCACCATACTTATTGCAACGCGTTGTTTTTATTGCAAGAACTGCTTTCTGATAAAGCAGAGGCTGATAAAATAATTGATTCCATGTCGTTTAATAAGAACAACACTTGATTCAGAATTCTTATCATTGATAAATTGTTTTATTGTATTTTGCAGTTCCAGTTAATATCACAGGTAGTAAATTTGACGTGCGATCGGAAATGATGTTACCGGTTTGTGATGCCGTAAGTTAGAATATTTCAATTCCATCAAGAACAGCTACATATCACGTTCCCGATTTTAAAAATATGTTTCATGGTATAAATCTCTTTCTGAGATGTAATTCACTTCAAAATAACACGAGAGTTGTCGTCTGCTCTAGGTCTAATGATATTTTCAAGCTGTGAAGTTATTTTTTATATTCAAATGATATGCACCTAATTTGACTTTAATCCATTTTTTAAACAGTATATATATATATAAATCACATCTTTGCCCTTTCTAAAACAATATTCATTTCTTATGCTAAATGTGCCTTTAATAAATATATATAGCGAATAACATGAGCTGTGATATCATTTGGATTTATGTCAAACATCCCCACAGTAGTAACATGGTTTTTGCCTCATGGGTTCGAATCTTTCCCAAGTCACGGCCATGTTTCTTTATATGACACCGGTAATGATAAGTTCAAGGAGGTTGACTCTATAGTGTCAAATACTTCATGACAATCGAACTAAAATAAGTATGTATGTACATGCCAGCATTACTTTTGTTATTCCAGCGTTAATATCATTTCAGAGTAGGATGCCATCTGCGCCAAACCCCCATCGATATCTGTTGAGAAAAAGAAAAGTACCACCGCCTTTTAACAGTAAGTTTTTACCAGTAATACAATTACAACTATTTCATTATAGCAAAGAAAAGAAAATTACTTTATTGTCAGTTTTTTCTTCTTTTTGAAATTGACTGGCGTACTCAGTTTGTGTAAAAATAAACTAAAAATAATAATTATGCACGAATTTCACGAATTTATTTTTAAATATAAGTGATGGAAATTTGAAGTATGTAATTTGTGTTTTTAGCACCACGTAAATTTTGTTTTGTTTTTTATGCTTTCTGCAGCACACACAACAACGTACACAGGTGAGATATAGCTAGGTCCTGTAGATAGATTAGATGAAATATACAAGTTTTAATATATAGCTTAATATATAGCTTAATATATAGCTTAATATTTAGCGGGATACATACTTTTTTATCATTTACCATATAAAAGGTCGGCTCCGTTTTGTACATATGTTTGTATTTGTTTACTATGAGAACATTATGCATATTTAAGTACAATACTGAATTTTATTGGACGAGTACAGTGCTGTCAAACCTATATTGGACGAAGCTCAAGTCGAGTCCAATATAGGTTTTGCGGCGCAGTGTATGAGTCTGTAAGAATGAGAAATGTACTCAACAATGTATATTAATCTGTTTATTTCACACCATAATTTTTGACAGAAATGTTATTTCGAATAAAAAAGGATTTGATGTGGACTTTTGGACTCTGAAAATGAAAACACGGCTAGACGAAGTGCAATAGTGATTTGATATGGATTGTTTAGACTCTGAAACTAAAAACAAAACTATATGCAGTATAATAGGGATTTGATATGAACTCGTAGACTCAAAAAATGAAAACAAAACTAAAAGATCTAGTTCTGTTCTTTTCTACTTTAAATCAACACACGAGGTTTTGTTGTTTTTTATCATTTTAATAAATTCGAGCGTTCGTCTTAATGCAGGGATACTGTGTGTGAAAAATGTTCATAAAATCAATTTTTAAGCGGACGTTTACCTCAATTTGGATAAATAGCAATCGCTTATTTTCGGCTCTTTCCGTCAGTCTTCGGGTAACAGTCGAGGAGTTCTGATTGCCTTAATAGTTCGACAATTTAAAGAGCAAAAAATCTTCAAACAGACCAATAGTTTTGAAAAGTCTCAAAAGAATTATGTAAATATAGTTATAGATTTTACAATTTTTAAATGAACCGGGCTATTGAAAATCCTTTGACAAAATTTCTTTATGGAATTTAGTTGATCAGACAAACTCTAGATAACAAAATTAAATATTATACTGTATGAATTATTAATTCTTATTGTCATAACTCTCAGAGTTTATAGTTGTATATGACTTTTTTTTGAAGACCACCCTTTAAAATAACCCTTTGCTGAACGGCAGCGAATGGTTCTCGTAGGGACTTATATGTCTTAAAAGAGTGTGTGGTCGTTTTGTCGGCGTTTAACTGTATCGTGAAATAATTATGCATCACAAAATGTCGTGCATCTGTACAGTTGTGTTATTAACTAGTTTTAATTATAAATTGTACGCTCTTTATTATCTACATGTATAACTATTTCCATAAATAGATGGTTCTATTTTTTTATCTATAGATATTTCCATAAATAGATAGTTTTTGATTTTAACAATATCTAGCTCCCTTGACAGAAATGACAGCCATTTGCAATATAATAAGAATACCCACATCTTAAACGTTTTATAAGTTTAATTGTTGATGATAAATTATGAGAGAATTTCATCTTAGTTTTAGCATATTGTACCTAAAATGATGTGAACAAAACGTATAGATTTATTATATGTGTTAATACTATCTTATTAACTTCTATAGGCATATATACATAGAATATAATTATCTTCTTTATCAATCTATCTCCCATTCATTCCTCTTTTTAGCATTTTCTGCATGCTCTTAATAAATATCCGAAGTTCAGACTGCTTTTTCCTTCAATTTTCAATATTTTGATCGGGTATGTGGCCGGTAGGTTAAGGTGTCTGTCTCTCAGCTCAGGGATCCTGGGGTCGAGCTCTACAGTGGTCACGACTATGTTGTTCCCAATATCACACCAGTACTGGTTAGTTCCAGGAACGCGTGGACTCGAGAGTTATTCAAATAAGTTTGAACCTTTCAAAAATGAATATGTGCCCAACAATATATAAACATTATATTAGATTTTTAGGTATTTAGCTGCTTCAGTTACTGTTTTGCTTAAAGAATGATTATTTCACTGATTAAATATTGTAAATGTATTGTTACTTTGCATATTTCGCTGACTCTATCGCTTTTTTGCCGTTATAATAATCACATGGCTAAATTGTATGCGTTTACAGTATGCCCATTTGGCTGACGTTTATGCTTAATTCACTTTTATGATGTCAACTTCACTGTTTTTCACGTAAATTATGTCTATTTTGCGAAAACAAAATGTTTTGATTTAAAAAGGTTTATTTTTTTCTTCATATCATTAAGCATACAAAACACATTGTTCTGTTCTGTTTTGTTCTAATGATAATTCAACAAGGCAAGTCAAATTTAAAAAAAATCACAACAACTTTGTATCAGAGAACTTTAGAACATTGTTGTAGCTTGTTTAGTAACTTGTTATTCTGCTTTACTTATTATATAGTAGGATATTGAATGAGTGTAGGTTCATTACTGAATTTATTGAACAAGTTGAATAGAATTTTATTATGCCAGCCTCTGGTGAGTTCAATAAGTTCTGTAATGAACCTGCATGAATATACTACTCTATTTATCACATACCCAAAACGAAGACTGTGCGCCTCTAGTGTTATTCTTACATTTAGCGCGTCTAAAGTTACGCTTTGTTTGTATAACGCAAATAACGTCACGTCAAAATATATGCAATACCATTTTTACGGATTCGCAAAATCGGCACGGGTATGTGATAAATTTATATATGTTTATCATGTTACATAGAAGTGTCTCTCTTTATTATAACTCTTGAAGACAAAAATGACAGCAGGCACGAAATGTGTCTTTTTTAATTGATGGAGTATTTTTGCCCAGTTTTGTTTACGTTCTTTAAAATAAGAAATGTACACGAACCCTAAGAATATTTAAGCTTACGAAACTTTATCTTCTTTTAAATGCGGATGAATTTTAAAAATGGGGATTATTTAGATGTTTCTTACATATCTATTTTTGATTACTTGTAATAATCATTGAACTGATTCAGGTTTAAATACCGGTATGTAAGTCCTACAATGTATCAAAATTGTCAAACTATTGTGTTATAACTAGGGGATTTATTTCGTTAAGTACAGCGGATTTTTTTCATACTTTTATACGGCCGTTCAAAAACGTTATAACCCTGTGTGCCGGATATATTGCTTAATACATTTGTAATCTCAATACGTTATTATTAAATGTACAACAAACACAATTATGTGTTTAAAAAACTGGATTTAATTCACGGTAACTAATTTGACGCAATGCAGCGTTAAATTTCTTTGATTTAATGCAAGGTTCAAAAATACATTGTCCAGAAATGCCCCTCTATGCTTATTACTAGGCAAACTTTAAAGCGTCTGCAAAGTAGGTCATATGATCAGGGTAACGTTATTTCATGGAAAGTCCTTCTATACAAGTGAAATGTAGGAACTTTTATTGTTTCCGAAACCCTTTGTCCGGTGGAAATCCAAACAAACCTTAAGCAAATGTTACTTAAATGAATATATTTTTTGCGAGTGAACAGCGCAATTTACAGAGAAGCGGTGTAATGCCTTCAAACATCTGCGGGCATCTTAAATGCCGTTCGTATTCATATTCGCTGCAATGCTTCTTGTATGTTGGCCTCCTTCCTTTATTAATGTATATTTTCTTCTTCTTAAACTATGAGCATTTGGTTCTTAAACAGAGTGAGACTAATGTAAGATTGTATACTTTTTAAGTTTTAGAAATATTAAATGTGAATCAGCTTTTAAAAAGCAATAGAAATGAAAAACAACAAACTCATGGTGATATCTGGATTCCACAAAATAATGCGAAAAAATAATCTTCTGTTTTTAAAATTGATGTTTTCGTAGATTTTTTTTTAAATTCAAAATTCTGTCAATCTTAATAACCATTACACTTGTGTGCAAACGTTTTGATCTTTTAAATCATTTTTTCTTCAGTATAGTACATTGTATATATTCATTTATTAAACAGCAACGTCCGGAATTGTGTATCCGAATCTCGAGCATTCAAGAATGACGTCATACGATCCCGGAATGCAACAAACTGGTTCCCTTCCTTTTCCGAACGAATCACCGCAAACAGTCGTACCAAAGGAAACGTCAGACAGAACCAGCGTGAGCAGTTTGTCTGGTTATAGTTTCAGCAGACGAAAATATATACAACCGCCCTCGTGTCATATTTTTAAAGGTTAGCTTTTAACAATCACAGTATAGAAATCTACTTCCGTTCAAAATAGTGTTTGTTTTTACCATGTACATGTATTTGTAGTAGTAGTCTTGTCCTCTTAACCTAAACATGTCTTTTCTATTATTTTCTTTTCTTTACCTTTTCCTACTCTTACTTTCTTCAAAATTTGGATTGTGTCTGTAATAAGCGTTCCAGCTTTATGATCTGTAGATCACTGGCAGTAGGGCTTACGGTCAAGTTTCCTGTCTCGCAACACATATATTGCAGATTTGTTACGAGCATGTTATTTATTTTGACACCAGAACGTCTAAGTTCAAAAGCACTCGGAAGTTACAAGAATCTGTTTCATAATCAAGTGTACATGAACACGTTCAAACTAATTTCTGCTTCTATTTGTCTCATATTTCTTCTCTGTCCATATTCTACCTTTATTATTCTATCAACATTATCTTCTTTAACCTCAATCTCCGTTTTTCTTTTATATGCTTTCTTTCTATCGTCTATCCTATAGCACTGCGACCGGAATCCCCGGTTTGTGTGTCAAGTCTTGCTGGAAAAGAGTTCTCTAGAAGACGGAAAATAATTCCGCCTCATAAAGAGTTAAATTTAGGTAACGCGCTAAAAATGTTTTTGTTCTTATGCCAAATCGACCTACTTTTATCATCAAAACTCTCGATCTCTATTTCTCCTGATATCTTTATTCCTTACATGTATTGTGAAATAATTTCTCTCCCTGACTTAAACCTCTAATTGAAATAAATTGAAAACCAAAGCGTGAGACGTTCAGCTACAATGGTTCTTTCGTGTTTTGTTTTTGGAGTCCTTGAAAATACGGATGTAGAGAGGTTCAGCGGATACTTTCAGTATCTTATCTGCTGGCTTATTACGTTCATTATTTTCAGCAGATCAATTGATTGCTAGAGATACTGGTTCTACTGTATTAATTAAATTTTATTAGACGACCCTTTAAGATTCCAGAAATTCTAATTGTTTGTTTGTTTGTTTGTTTCATTTTACGCCTTTTTCCAACAGTATTTCAGTCATATAGGCGGGTAGTTTCCTAACCATCGTTCATGGAGAGTTACACCAGTACTAGACTACATTTCTCCGGCATCTCCCGGAAATTCTAATTAATCAATGATTACGATCAAAAGTACGTCATATGTGACGCCATCGCACTAAAAACGCCAAGGAAATAATAATTGTATTTCCGGATGTCATGCCGAGTTTATAAGTAAAAGCATTTGAATGTGTGTCTGTTGAAACAGATATGAATTTTAAACATTTGTACGCAATTGCTTGCAACACGACTTATTGGTCACATGCTTTTTTTGAAAACAAAACTCTTACCTTTTTTCCAGGTTTTGACGGCGGAATCGCAGAAACTACCAGTAGGAATTTTGACGATAAATATTTGCCTTTTATAAGGGCTAAGACAATTATTTAGAGAATCGAGTTTGTACTTTATGTTCAACATAGTATGTTTTAAAGTTTGTTTATATAATGCATTTTATTGTTTTGTTTTAATGATAATTTATATAGAACTGCTGCAGGTTTATAAAGTGTGATAACTTATATCTTATTTCTATCAGATTTGTTTGTTTCAGTTACTTAGTAATGAAAAAATAAATATACAATATTTTGCGAACTGTTTATGGTTATGCTATATCCCAAACTGTGACTGTGCGTAGCCCGAGTGATATAATGATGCGCATTCGAACGACAAACAGTGATTTTATCAAGCAGTTAAATCACCAATTTGGATATATTATTTCGATTCTAACACGACATCAACATAAGAATGCTGCCGTGCCTGATACTATGCTCAATTACGCCTGATTCACGTTTTAGTGCTTACGTCACGTGTATAATGATCACGTCACACGTCTAAATATAGACATCAAACAGTGATTTTATAGCATAATAACACACACTTTTGGTTCTTCTATGTTGAATGTCGTGTTAGAATAATTAAGTTTGTACTGACACTGATTTAGAGAATATATGGAGTCAGTACTCTTCATCTGTCTGAAGTCAGTTGTCTTCATCTGCTCCTCAAACATTAATGTGTTGAGAAGTGGCAGTTCCTTGTACTTGCATTGGGAAACAATGTGTTGGTGAAGAATGCAACGATAGATCAACTATGTACTTATTTGGAGACTTCCAACGGTATATGACTAAATAACTGTGGAATTGGGCGCCACTCTAAAATGGACAAACGTTATGAAAAATGGTTATAGTTTCATATGATGAGAAGAATGTTGACATGATTTTTTAAAACTTTCAGTCCCCTTTAAAGGTAATTAAACAGCTTTTTTGACAATATCATTGATATTTTCTTAGCCTAGATATTTAAATTTGCATTTTACTAAGTCCAGAGTGCCGTCCAAATAGAATAAAACTAATTACCTAAAAACCTAGGGATCACTTATTGCATTGTATATCGTTATTGTGTGTTAAATGTACGAGATTGATCAAATATTTGCCATATTTCAAAGGAAATCACATATTTTTTGTTTGTATTATCTCCCTTGAACAAGAATACTTTAAAACAGTTATATTTTTGGTATGGTTTAAAGTCACACCGACACGTTGAAGCTACACACCAAACGATTTTCTACTATTTTTTACGGTCCGAAGAAAGCCAGAAATAAACTAAGACATACCTAAACATGTCAATACAAATAACAATGACTTATTAATTATTCTTATCATTTATTATGTGATGCACTGATTATTAGGATATCTATACTGCGTACCTTCTTGGTGACAAGATATGATTTATACAATTAATTGTATACATGCGTCTGGTAAAACTCATTACTGGTATTATGTAACATGAATACGTCTTAACACATATGAAAGATTTAACAATTTGTTCGTTTTTATTTTATTTATTTTTTCTTGTTTTTTTTTTATTGCGCCGATTTTAACATAACTCGGCGGCCGATAAATCTAACCGGCTACCAGTTATAATCAAATTTTCCTCAAGTGATGGACTACTAAACCAAAAATGATTCTGAATCAGCGGTGAAAGACAAATGGCGATTTCTGAATTCAGTTGTCCCGAAGAAATTTCGCCTTGCACGAGGATCGTACTAGCGATCCCTATTTTATAGATACTCTTACTATTGAGCTTAGCGGTCAGACCTCATAACTTGTATTTTAGATAGATAAGGAAATATTCATTTAACTCACGTAACGTACACTGTCGGTTTAATCAAACAAAATACACATAATGGCGATCAGAAAACATATTCTTCTATAAAAATTTGTGTTTATACGACTGATGCGGAAAAGAGTTTTTTCTTCTATCGAGGAGAGTAAATTTTTACAAGACCATTCCAAGAACCAATCCACAAATCGCCTTGTTTGTCAACAGCAATACTGCATGGCGCAATGATTCCCTGCATTTGACACGTCTGCAAAAGTTGACCTTCTTGCGAATAAACCTGTACACAGTCACGTTTATAGTCCGAGATAAAAATGAGTCCGCGATCACAACACAGTGCGGCATGTCTGTATACATTGGATTCAAAAGCGTATTTAATCTCACATTGGCTGTCAAAAACGCCAATTCCTTCCGAACCAAAATCGGTCAAATATATATCCTGGGTTTCGCTAATGGCAAGTTTCCATGGATCATTGATACGTACGCCAAATCGAAATCCAAAATGGCGGATATCGAATTCATGTACCGCTTTTCCTTTCGTGTCAAACAGGGCCACTCGTTTCGCTTCCCTAAAACTAATAATGAAAAAATCCCTTTCATTTATTTTTAGGTCACTCGGCTCGTGCAGCAACTGAAAGAGAAACTTTGCATTCATTTTATTTGTAACGACCTTGACACTTGTTTTACACGCAGTGAATACTGTTCCATTAGAGTTAGCAGCCATCCCATACACAAGTTCCCCAATATCTACTCTTGGTCCAAACGCACCATCCTTGCTACAAAGCTGGATGTACTTTCTAAATGCAACCCATGCTTTCAGATCATCAACTGGGTGTATACAACTTATAGATTTACCTAGTTGCAAAGAACCGAGTTCTACGTAATGAACAGGTCGTTTCAGTATGGCTTCCATGTTGACGCGTCCAACTGAGGACCTCACACTGTGGACCAATGGTTTATATTTTATCTTGACGCATTTGGCTGGAGGTGGTTTACAAGATTTCTTAACTTCTGATATCACTGCTTTCAAGTTATTACTTTTATTGATAAGTTCAAGGTCACGTGTTCTGTCAATCATCTGCTTCAATGTTTCTATCGAAGCAAATGAAGCCTTTTCTCTTGCCTCTGCATCTTCAATATTTTTCGCCATAGTTGCCATCAGAGAAACTTCTTTCTCAACTACATCTTTAATCATATCTTTACCAAGCTTATCCAGCTCATCTTTGAGTGCCTGTATATGAACTTCTATAGAGTTCACCGTCGTTTGTACATCTGCTTGAATATTTGCCTTTTCCTTTAAACATGTTTTCGTGTATTCATGAGCATCTCTTATAGCACGCTTTGTTGTCGAATCTGTTAGTAAAGCTTTCAGTTCCTTTCTCTTATCTGATGCAGTTGCTTGAATATTCTCCGCTATATGGTGATTGTGTTTTTGGATGGCGCATCGTCCACAAATAGCCTCGGAACAAGTCAAACAAAATAGTTCCAGTGTAAATGGACTGTGTTCTTCACAAACGGCACTTAGTGATGACTTTCCTAACATCTCGTGAGTAACATTTATGACGTAGTGCGATTTTGACGTATCTTCATTCAGGTGCCCATGAACGCATTCCGAACATAGATTTTGTCCGCAATCGGAACATCTGCAACTCGGAATTTTTCCTTTGCATTTATCACATCTGTCATTCTCTGTAACCGAATATTCGGAGAAATCGAAATACCGGTTATCTTCAAATCCCTCAATACCTTTGCTGGGAATATGTGTTTGGTTTTTACAGAGGTCACATCGGAACCATGATCTACTGAAATATCAAGTCAAGAAAAAGGTATCAAACGAGATTAAAAAACTTTATCTGGAATTACAGTTTTATTTTGACAGATTAGTTAAGGCACATATACATGTATTTCAACAAAGACTGGTCATGATACCTATGAATGATAGTGATTGATTTCACAATGAATTTAATATATATATATATATATTCGTTAATGGAAGAACGATAGGTGTGTGCATGTAACTAAAATACATTTAAAATTTAAACAGGATTACAGTAAATTGATCTTATTTGACTCACCTTGGATTTTCTTGTACTTGACGCTCCAAACATTGTCGGCAGAAAGAATGCAGGCATGGTAGTAACTTAAGAATTTTCCTATCTTCTTTACAAGTAAGGCATTTCTTCAGATCAACTGGATTAGTGATGCCTATACTGTCGTCAGCTCGGTCGGTCTCCGGTATAGAACTGATTTTCTGCCACTGAACTATTGGTATAGCTCTATTAGTGTCTAACGGTGTCTGCGTGCTTTCTTTGTCACTAGAATATTCATCATCAGAAATCTGTGAGCTACGGTAATTTTTCAAAGTTTTAACTGAACGAACTGAGTAATCTTTATCCAAACTTATGTCATAACCAGCTACAGGCCGGATTGAAACGTCCCTTTCACTTTTTGTGTCGCGTAACACCGAACGAAAAGAAGCATCACCGTCATTTCTTAAGTCTTGCCAAGTTACTGAATGTAGTGTAGCATCTCTAGCTGTCCTGGCATCCCGCCAATTTCCTTTATTTGATTGAAACGGTAAGGTCGCATTCAAACGCTCACGATCGGTTTTCAATTCTCGGCGAATTTCAACGGTACGGTACTGTTTCTGTCTGCTAAAAGTAGATGGTGGAAGCGGGATTTGTAAGCTTGAGCTACTCCTTTCCGAGGATCGCGCAGAAATAACATGCCTTGACATCGTTTATGATATGGAACTGGTTCTGCAAAATAAGATTTAATATTTTGATTATTATTTTGGGTAGAGAAGTATTAGATAAGTATAAAGTAATTACAAACTATAACCATTTACGCTGAAATTGAATTTAAGAAAAGGTATAAGAAAATGAATATAAACAAAAATCAAAAGTTGTTTAGGAAACAAGTTACACTGAATCTACTAAACGCCGTAGCATCTAAATATATGTACTCTTAAAGAAATTTTAAAAATTATAAAGTTAATGAATATTTTAAAAAAATCATTATGGAAAAAAATACTTAAATACTTGCAGAAACACTTAATTCTTAATCCGTCCGTTACACCTACCTAAGTAATATTCATAAACATTTATATTTTTTTAAAGAAATGAAATAGAAATTTAATTTCTCACCTTAAAGATTTAGTAATTTTCCATTTCTTCTATTAATCTTTCCGCTTTTTTTAAAGATAAACATTTCATGATAAGACTATGAATAATGTAATTAACAAAGGCCTTTAGGTACCTATCTATAGAGAGTTAATTACCATAAACTATCGGAACAAAGAAACTTTAACTTTACGCAATTAGAAAAGTTTGTTTTGTTTCTGATTTAACATGTGTCAAACTAAATCAATTAATTGGCTTGATCGCGCTTTGCTCTACATATACATGTACACCTAAAAGGGAACATTATGCCCTTGCACGAATTTTAGATCTGTAGAACATATGTACTTGAAATGGCGGTAAGACATGCATTTTGAATGTTAGTTTCCTATTGTTTGGTAGATACTTTGTGAAATTCAAACCAGTCCGGGTATTTTATATCAAGATCTTAACAATATCTACGATTTAATAGATAATAGACAATACATTGATAATGAAGATCTTTGATTAAAATGTAATGTATCAATAATTGCACTCGGATTCGATAATTTCCGTGTAACTACGTAAATTTACGTTTGTAGTTCGTATTATTTCGGTATGTTTCGAATTTCATTTGTGATTTTAAATATCTATACACAGGTTTGTTGTAAGCTACTGAACATAAATCTGAAATGACACGGAATCCACACTGTATCATAAATTTAAAAATGGTTTGCACGCTAGAGTATTTTGATTTCTGTATATTAAATTAGTATGATTTGTGCCACATACATAAATTTATCACAATTCAAGTATCAAATACACCTTTGCATAAAAAAGGCCTAAGATTTACTTCTAAGTTTAATCTTGTTGTCACTAAAAAGCACTTACAGATTCTGAATAAGTACAAGCACAACTAAGATCTAAGTCTAAGTTTATTATAGAGCAATGACATAAAGAAGCACTTGTGAATATTGCAATGAGCACGTGTACGGAACTTTTTCCACACTTAAATCATGAACACCGTCCATGCCTACTGCCTCTTCATGTATTTTGTTAATATTGCATTTTTTGTTATAAATCATCCGGTAACACAATTGAAGGTATAGTGGGAAAGTTTGTCTGTACGTCGGACGACGAATCTGAATAATTCACATCCTGTTTATTGCCAGTATCTGTTAAATTAAACTCTCCCGATTCTGAAAGGTTAGTAGCACCATCACTTAGCAAGTTTTCTTTCGTGTCAAATTCAGTTTTAAGCTCAGTCATTTCAACCTCCTGTCCACTTTTATCTGGAGTGACTGCATCAGTCTGTTCATTAACGTGGAAAAGTTGAGAAGTTTCAGTCTGGTTTATTGGAAACATTATTTGTTTAAACGTTTCATTTGTTTTTATCATTTCTTTAACTGATGTGTTGTCAACTGGTTCAAGTCTGAAAAAGAAAACACACAAGTTTAAAATATATAAGACAATGTATAAGACAAAACGCTTTACGATCAAGAATAGGCAAATGAGAGATTTTGCTAATCATTTAGCTTTCTGTTTTGAAATAATTGCATCAACGTTGCAAAAAATCCGTGCATTTCAGGCCATTAGTGTTGTTTGTATGGTTATATCGTATCAGTGACTTAAATAATTTCTAAGTCGATACCAGAAAGCATTAATGATGGTGCAATTCTTTGTGTGTGTGTGTGTGTGTGTGTGTGTGTGGGGGGGGTGTGTGTGTGTGTGTGTTGTTTTTCTTCCGTTACCATTCGCTGCATGCATATTATTTTCTAATATTAGGATACAAAAAAAAGCTTGAACAAAAAGTAGATTAATTAGGTCCATCATATTGATTTAAGAAATGGTTGGTAAAATATCACTCAACCTGTCAACATCTTTATCTTCTTCGAACACATCTTCGTTGGGATCTTCCTCTTCTTCATTGGGATCTTCCTCTTCTTCTATTGTTGTTGGCAGTGGAATTTCTCCGTCACCAACATGTGGACATTCTTCCATTGTTTCAAGCGAATGTGACGACGGCGATGGAATTAGATCCTGAAATCATATATTATATCATATTGTCGGTCCTTTTTTATTAGTAATATATAACTTCCTAGGGCAGAAAGTGATTTGTCTTTGGCACCGGTAAACAGTTAAAGCCAGTATGCACGTCCGTGCAGTCCGACTAGGCTCTATACTTTTGGTAGCTAAATTTCTGCGTTTTGTTACATAAATCCCTTATTTGATAATGAACTGTACCAAATTTTAAGAATAGGCATATCCATCACTCAAATTCAATAGGTTAAGAGTTAGAATATTTATTATGACATGAAGATTTTTTTAAAAAAAAATCAGTTTTCTCCTTTGTAGGAAGATGCAAATCTGAAAGCTTTGTACCAAAATTGTGTATTTCGACTCGTAGGTTTTATTGCTTTTTACAACCAAAGTATAGAATAACAGTCAATAAAAATATGATTAGTCACCTTCACACTTCGTATAGTGTTGCCTTCTTCAATAGCGGAGAGCACAGGTGGTCTCGATACTGCCATGTATCCCATATGTTTGTCCAGGAGTTGTTTATTTCTGGCTTGTTTAGATGCATCGATGTGGCTATTATCACCTGGTACTGACTCAACAACAAAACGACTGAAAACAATTAAAAATGTTTACATTATTATTTCAATTTTCATGTTGTGGATTATTTTACATACATCACATTAAAAAAGCAAGGAATCATGGGGTAGTCCCTTTGTCTAACTACGTTATTAAAATAAAACTTATAATAAGAAACTAGATTATCAGTAGCACGCTACTGGGTACGCACATTAGAAGAATCGGTATGATTCTTGCTAGAATTTTTTAGCAGACGACAATTCATGGATACCTTCGTTGCAATGGTGGTGTAAGTAGCGGCTCCATATCCTCTCCTGTGTATTCTTCTGATGCAGCAGACGACACAGACATGCCTCTCTCTGAGATCTCTCTTTCTCGTTTCCTTCTTAACAAGCTCAATGGGAAGCTCCATTTTCTCTCTCGGTCATTATCAATCACTCGCTGTAATGGCCGATGCGGAGCATCCGTAGTTGCTCGCGCACGTTTCAGAGGTACGTACTCAGGTGGTAGATCATTTGGTGGAAGAGACAAACGTGAGCCCTGATAGAGAAATAACTTTGGATTTCCTTTGTTCAATAGAAACGAACACATGAAAATAAAAGAACTATTTTGATTTCAACATATATTTCACATAATTATGATAGTGGTTTAATAACAATGATACTTCCAAAATAAAATTAAAATAACCAAATGTATGAAGAGTCCATTAAGGAAATCCAGCGTTTAAAGAACTATCTCGTCATTTTGAAAGTCAACAATGCTCGATTGAATGTATAAATGACCAAATGTACACACGGTTTTGAAACAGCTTTGCAAATAAATATCAAAATGACCGACGTTGGCGGTTAAATCAGTGTTTCTAATAGGTACTTTATTGAATAAATGTCTGGCTTTATTCAACATTTATATTCACTCCACTTTAATATTTATTATCATCATTGACTTAATGGATTTGTAATGATCTTAGAACTTTTAACAGGTTTTATATGGTCCATCCTCCCCATACATACCAGACTGCTTCGGCTTCCCCTACTGTCTCTATGTTCACGTGGCTGGTTAGAAGTATTTAGCGGTCCGAAACCTGCATTACCGTTCATCATGGTTGAAGTTGATTTCAGAGTGTCGCGGGATCCGCCAAATCCACCTCGACTACAAAGGCATACTAAGCAATTTAGAATCTTAACAAGTCATATCTGTAAACAATTCCACTGAAGGGAAATTCTAAGAAATGTCAGAAATAATTTAGTGTAGCGGAAGGAATATGATTCCATGTAATATTCAAGTACATTTATTTGAGAGTAACAAACAATGAATACGTTTTAGATGATTTGATAATCATTTAAAATAAGATAAGATTGATGCACCTTTGTGAAGTTTGAAGTTAAAATAGGACCTTACTAGTTTAAGACAAAAGTATAATAAATAAACTAGATATATGTTTAATAATGCTAAAAAATATATACATACTGTAGATTAGGTTTAAATCCAAATAAACTCCAAACCGAGCCTGTGTTATGTCTAGGTCCTGTATTTGACCTTTGTCTGAGCGGGGCAGCTGGATGCCCCTCGTGTCCACCCACTAGAGGAGACATCGGTAAGACCCTTTGATCTGATATAGACGGCCGCCTGAAATTGGTATACAGGTGGCTTTAAGAAATCGCGTGACCGTTTCTTTTTTAAAATGACATTGTTAGTGCAGCAGAGGAGAATCAAGAAAAGAGTAAAGTAACAAACGAAATAGCATTGCTTCGTGTTCAAAGTAAAACATTAAAAGTATTCATATCATATGTTGATAATAATCACCTGACATAAACACATAAAAAAACAAGAATAAAGATCAACAAGGCAAAGGCAACGTTCACAGGACGCGGCCCCCGACACACTCAAGTAGGGCACCCAGGAGGCACCAAACAAAAACCTGGAGTGGACAAAAGGGTGAAAGGAGTGGGACATGTAATATAAACGGTAAAAGCACAAGACATCTTGTATATCGGGCCATATCTGTATAGGGACCACACATTTTATCTATTTTCGATCATCCATTTATACAAAATATCTACTCACTCCAAGTTGTATGTTGATCCCAAAAAGTTTGGTCTCTTTGAGGACATGGCTGCCTCTGTATACGGTAATTCCGTGCTTATCTCATTAAAGTGGAGATCTTTAGTCAATGGTGGGTAGTTTGCGTGACACTGGTCCACTAGACACATTGCAACCTGCAATGACAATATGATTGGTTTCGTCAAATGAATAAAAGTCGTGCGATTCTCAATGGTATAGTATAGTTTGAGATAGTCAATCCCTAAAAAGACGAATACCGGTGAAATTGCACTTCATGAATTCACGATATCAACTTCGTGAATTCGTGAAGTTGAAATAGTGAATTTGTGAAGTTGAAATCGTGAATTCATGAAGATAAAATCGTTAATTCACGAAGTTGAAATTGCGAAGCGGAAATGTCCTTACCGTGTTTCATAAATAGTACTTATTCTTCCGCCATTGAATCATTTTATGACTGCAACGTTTTTATTTTTCTTTTTGGTTCAAGTTCTGAATAAAGTTTACATATCCATAGAAAGATATAACATGGTAATATAATCACAGTCTTATAAACGTTATTGGCTTTAAAATATTGATTTCAAATAGGTCAGCATTACTTTTAAATCTTAATTCAATCAAAATATAAGTTCAGATAAACAAGGAAGAGCACCGTTCAAAGAATATTTCGCTTATAACATAAAGCCTAGTCGCTTTTAATTGAAAGCACAATAACACAAAGGAATAACATACAGTGGGACACGGCATTCCGCAACTGCGTATACATGATATTTTAATTACAGAACACTTTACGTTTGATATAAATGATTTTTTTATGCAAAGTAAATACATTCTGATTTGAAAATATATTTAAATAGTCCATGGATAACTTAGAACTTACAGCAGTATGTCGGTCAATGAGCCAGTTCATGTCAAAATCGTCGTCGTCCTCTCCAAACGGATTTATCATCTGTTCCGCGACCTTTGAATGATAAAATAATGAAGTAGGTAATACTTGCGACAATAAGTGTCACATTCATTAGTTAAAAAAAAACACGAAGACGGCTTATGAAGAAAGTAACACGACATTCACCTGGCATTTATAAACATGATCTTTATTGGTGCTGCTATTGTTGTCGTCGTCATCATCATCATCATCATCATTATCATCATCACCGCCACCACCACCATCATCATCATCATCTTGGGTTCAAGTCCCGGTCAAGCTCACCTTTTTCTCACCCTGTAACACTATCTTCTGTTTCAGGTTTATCTTTTGAGTTATGTCTATGCATAAATGTTTTATATATAATGTAACTTGCGTCAATGCTCTTAATTTTCTCTGAGGGCTATTTTTTTCCGCGCATTATTACTTAAATTCGGGAAACCGTTTTAGAGTATAATAACCAAAGCAGCGTGTCGCAAAAATGTATGATATATCAATATAAGAACATTGCAAATGCTCAGATGAAATAAATCTATGTATCTTACAAAATAAGTTGTAATGAAAACAGCATCCTTCTGAAAATACATGTAATACATTTCACAAAAATACCAAACTTTACCTTCAGCCAACCCATATAGAAGAAGAACTGTAGCAAGGTGAAGAAAGGGATGTAGAAATCTGGATTATCCTCGTCGTCCTGAACATATTGTCGTCCAATCAAACACGCTCCGAAAAATATATGTACAGACAATGTAACTACCTAAAATAAGTACATTTCCTTATTAGAAATGAAATAGTCATACCAAAACAAAAACATTTTATTCGTATGTCTTCAAATGTAAAAGTCATCATTAGGAAAAGAGACTGAATTTGATAGTTTTTTTCCATTACAAAATAAAACTATATTAAAATTTTTTAAGAGGTGTAAACATTCATAGTTCGGGAAGTCTCAATTTAAAGAAAAATCTAAACATCAGTTACGAAACTAATACATGTTTTGGTGAGCTATACAATACTAAAATATAATCTGGACCATGGCTGCTGCTTTTCATTGATGTTCCATATCCGTAAAGTATTAAAGAATGGTGCTATTTTTTTCATTTTTTAAATTGGAACTATTTTCCCAAGATAAGTGCACTTTTTGATGTAGGTCTAGACCAACCAACAACTGGTGTGAAAATTAATTTTCAGATCAGAAAAATCATTTTTATCGTGCAATGACTCAACGCTTGCAATGCTTTTCATTCAAATCGGGCATAGAATCATTTTGACCATTTGCAGATTTTTTTTCCATTTGATGTAAGTAAGAATTTCAAAGTGTATGTTTTTACGCGTTTTTACTTCATTGGAGTTCCTTTCATTATATACTAAATCGCCGTCCAAGTATGACGCTTTCATATAATTCTTCGTTTAAGTGTTGGATTGCTGGCCACGTGGCTTCAAAACGCGTGAGCCGTTGATTCCTTGGTCCTTTGCTTAGTACTGAAAGTTAAAGGGCCGGATTCGAGGGTGTGTTTTTAAACTTATGGCTCCCTTTACTCAATCGAAATTAAATAACCTTTTGTATAAACTTAATTATACGAGTAAACAAAAACTAAAGCAAAGATTTCGTTGTTACCTGTGTATACACAAGCGGGATGGAAATCCAGTCATATACAAAACACAACGAACACTTGTCTCTAAAATCCGCTATTTGCTGAAACGATAAAATATTTATGCTTAAAAAAGTATATTCAATAAAATGAAATTATAAAAAATTCTGAAAGGATATATTTGGAGTTTTATTTTGAAGGGATTATCTTACATATACGAGCGGTGGCATATCTGGACAATTTCTGAATTATAATTAAGAGTAGGAATTGAAGAACAAATTGCTATTTTGAAAGGGTAATATCAATTGAAATGCCAGCCTTCATGGCTCCATCGGTTAGAGCGCGATACTTGTAATCTCGACATTGTGGTTAGTTTCACGGACTGACCAACTTAAACTACTAAACAATCTTTCGTCCCGTGTATGAGTGCTTGAACACTTGGCACACGAGAGAACAGGAGAAGCTTCTGAAATTATGTCATTTTTCTGTACAATCCTCCAAAAATATAAAATGACTAATACATTTCTGGAGTACTCGTCCATATGGGAACCCGGTGGAGAGTGTATCAAATAAACTCAAATACACACTCATAATATCAAGTGTAAGTCTATTTTAAAGGTATTATGAAACACATAATTATTTTAATCATTGGAAAATGTTGTGCCAAAAGTAAACAGCCATTTATAGAAGTCCTATTATAAGCATTTTATTGTATAACATTCATTCTATCGGATTTCAACTTCAAATTGTTATACACGTATTTGGTATCCCCAAAAGAGATTATTGACAGATAAATGTTGGACTGATTCGTTTCATTGTTATACTGAATTTAGTTTTTTCCTGTGTTTTACACATACCTCCATGATCAACCTAAAGCCAATTTCGGACTCGATCCGGCCTTCCTTCCTGGCTTGTGTAAGTACACTGTTAGCCCAGACCAGTGGCACCCAGAATTTGTTAAATTTACATTCCACATTTTCATACATGACAACTTCTTCGTGTGTAACAAATCCTAAAATAAGGAAATATATTTGTTAAAGGCCCATTATGCTTCAGAAATGATATCATTTTGTATTTCTAAAAAACTGTTTATTTGTTGTATCTTGTTACAGTTTCCAATAACATCCTCTTTTGCTCTTGACACGAACTCCCTTTTGCATCTTCAGTTCTGTTGGATTAGTATTGTATGTGGAAGTAAAAATTTTGCTACCTTCACGACACATAACTACATGCTCAGCGCTAGTTTTTTTTCAGTTGTAAAACATCTTACCTGCTCTTAAACCATTACATTTTGTATTGAAACATTATTAATCACATGTTTGATATTTCTAAAAAATAAAAAAATATATGAAATGTAAGTTGTAACTAGTCACAAACATAATATTCGCAGCAAATATTTAATTCTTGTTCACGTGACTTTGTAGATGTAACACGAAAAATTGTATTTTGTGAAATGAAATCTAAATAAGGATGAGTGTCGCGACAGTAGGCGTTCTAGTACAATTGTCTTGTATTTAAAATCCCATTTTTGAGTTTAATATTTACCTCATGATGTTGGCAAGTTTTTGTAGTATAACTTTTATTTACTGAGAAAACTAAGTATAATTCCAACATTGACATTATGACCACCCATGGATATGTAGTGAGTGAACAGGTGAAAGTCAAAATTAGTTAACATTTTGCCATAATTCCTTTCAATTTTATAACGTAGTTCGTATGAACGATAAATAGCTCGAATGCCTCAAATATCCAAATTTCCATGTAACGTTAAATTTATTTTAAAAAAAGTGGGGTGATGTTTTTATATTATAGGTAGATTTGTATTTTATCCTTATGCTTTTCGATATTAACTGTTGGTCAACTACAATACCAATATTACTTGAAAAGACTCATCTGAAAATATAGTATTAGTTAACAGCAACAATTTAAAGGGCCTCCACTGAGGTTTAAAAGCCTAAAAACATAACATTAGAATTTCTTACATAAATGAACTGGGGCGCTTTAAACAGAAATATATGCAAAGATAGTTAAGAAATAAACTTTAAAATAAATCAAAATCGTAGTTTTATGCTTTCCTTAGCCTAATTTGAGTGAAAAGCGTTTAAACGCTTTTCATTTTGGGTCCATTTTTTACAATTTGAATAATTATTATGGAAAAACGAAGTGCGCGAATGATCTGAAAGTTTGCACAAAGATTCGTGGTCTACACCTACACCAAATGGTACGTTTATCTGGAAAAAATATTTTCAGTCCCATCATGTCAAAAAACCTCAGTGGAGTCCCTTTAACATAAAATACACTTTCTACTTTAAACTTTTACACTATGTGTCTCAGTTTTGTAGTCACTGTAAACGTGAAGGTCTAAAGAAAATCTCACGTTTACTATAAACGTATACAACGTGCGTTTTGTACGTTTATTTGATAAAATCCCAATCCGTCACGTTTTATTAATTAATAAATACCTTAAATTTTTGCACTTTGCAGTTAATGTAACAATTTTGACAGGCTCCTTTATCAGATGATGAATACATTAATATTGTCAGACGTTAATACTTTTTTTGTCAAAACTAATATCGCAAATATTTTTTGCTAACGTCATTCGTAAACTACTGACGGATCCTAATGAATCCATCGTTATTGCCTTCGTATACATATTTCTAAAATAATTTCTGTCACGTGAGATATTTTTTTTCCACTATGACATCATAATTTGAAAGAACACCAATATGGAGACTCTCTTTAAAGTAAATGGCGACATCGATAGATTTTAACGACGAAAATTTGAACAAAAGTATTGCTAGACTTTAGGGGAAAAAATAATATTATATTTTAGCCCTTATGACAATAACTATTTCTCCATTAATTTATAAAGACCCTACAAAAGAATAATGTTAGTTCAAGGTAACTTCATCAGTGAGTATTTGAAAAATCTATCTTAAGCCACATAAACCTAGACTTCGACACTATAGACGTAAAACAATTCCAAAGGATAAAGCTGAATGCAATGTTACAACATAACTTATATATCAAAGATATCGGTCAAATTCTGCTGTTGTAATAATTAATACACAGCAGTAGTTAAAACATAACTTTGCATAAAATGTGTCTACTGAATGTCAAATAAAAACAAACAAAAATTGTCGGATATTTGAGCAAGGCGATCAATGGTAAGTGAAAGTATTATAGAGGCTGTTCAGCGTCCGAGTTCTCACCGTGATGTCCCTAAATTTTGTGTTTTAAAATAAAAGTCCGGCAAGTTGTGCATAAATAATGTTCTAACTTGTACCATTGTGTGTTTTGATAATGAGCCTTGTACGGTCATCACCATTACTTGTTATCAGATGAATAAATTACAAAGGTTGCATATCGTTTAGAATGATTCAATGTCTCCAGGGTTTACTGCGATGTCACATGTGTTCTCATTTCACGTAACTCTTACAAATATGTATTTTTGTGGTTTTGAAGATTTATTATCTGTCCGTTTCAAGGTGTCAGAATTAAAAAAAAAGTGTCGGTTTCGTTTTTACAGTTGGTTTTCGGTTTAATTCGGCCCGAAATGCTTTTTTCTCTGTAAATTAATTCAGGTCTTAATGTCACCTATTGCCTGGTACATATCATCTATTATCAAGGTAGAACTTTTTCCTTCGAGCGAATAAATACGGTGTATATTCATTTGAAATACTGGTTCAGATCTGTCGCTCGGTCTATTTAACCTTTAACATGCTGGAAAGGAAATGATGTGACCATGTTTCTGTTTTAATACAGAATTATGAATTGAAAGCAAGGCAAATTCATTTTGAAAATTCAGCAGGTTACGGGTTAAACATGTTAGTATAAATACTTCACGTGTAAAACTGCATTTAATTAGAGTTTCATCTTGATTTTATATGTCCTACACATTGTGATTTGCAAAGTTTTTAACTGCGTGCATGTGCAAACGGGTTTTAACATACAGTCATGTACGTCAAATCTTTGTAATTTTACACGCAAATACGTTGTACTTAGACATTTTTCTTGTTTAATTTGAATACAACGATCAAATTATTAATAATTCGAATTATCAATAATTCGAAGTATCAATAAAAGGTCAAGGTCTTGTTTATAAAAGTGTCACCCCTACTGAAAGGGCCAGCCATTTCTGACTTATGAGACACATTTTGCTTGCATACCATGTACTTCCCAACACCACTATGTCATTTATTTATATATATATTTTATTATATATATATCGTCTTTCATATCTAAAAAAGTTTTATTGAAATAAATATCTAAATATCTCCATTTGGTTACAGGGCAAATAACATCAGTTTGATATATTCGGTATTACTTTTTATGATGTTTGATAAATATCTACAAAAAACAACCAAAGAATAATTTGCATCTTAATAGTTAACTATCTCCCATTTCTAGTTATATATGAAATAAACAATGCCTTTAAACATGATCAATTATTTTGATGACTTCTTAGTTTAAAGTGACAGTATGCCCATATTTTCATAGTCAAGTTGAGCTGAAATGACTTTATACTGACAAAATGGTGTTTGACCAACAGTTGATATTGGAAAATGTTTTGAATAAAATTATAAAACTGCCTAAAATCTAAAAAGACTGCCCCATTCTTTTTATAACCTAAGCGTTACATGTAAATTCTAATGGATATTTACAGAAATTTCGTTGGGATCTCTGCGTTAATTATTGTTTATGCGAACTTCATTATTAGATAAAAAGGGATATTAAATCAAAATGAAAACTTATTTTGATATTCACCCGTTCACTCATTATAAACCCTTGGATGGGCATAATGTCACTTTAAAGCAAAAATTATGCCTTTTGCTGGTACAATGACTACTTTATAAATGCACCTTACACTGAATAAATTATTACTTATTTATTAGGTCCGCGCTGAAGTGGGTGGAGCTTGTTAATATCAAGATGCAACACAAAACTTATTTTACATCCAGACAAAATACTCATTATCTTAGATACAGACGGACAAAACTGTAGCAGTTGCTAACATTAAAACCTGACATATAAATGAAACCTGCATCGACAATATGTTCCATTGTGGGATACCTCTTCATCACAGACACGCTGACGGACCGCAGAATAAGGATAAGTCCGAAGAGCATGTATCTTGCAACGGTGCGTCTATAAATTCGTCCTTGCTCGTCTAGTCCCACAAGGTAGCTCCCAAGTATGTACAGAGTTCTGAAATTGTCACTTACTATTGTATGTTTTAACATAGAATATTTCGGACAGCTGCCCAGTTTTATTGATCATAAGAATTGTTCCAGTGATTTAAAACTGCCATATAAAACGATTGTTTGTTTCAAATTATGCCAGATTTTTATCGGAGTAGCTCAGATTATAAATAAATAATGATATCTGCATTGATTAAAAATTTGACTTTCCTTTGAACTTTGATGTTGCAACAGCTGGTGTTAAGTGCTGTGTGACAGCTGTAAAAATGTTGTCCCCTACATTACATCTTTTCAATGTTGTTTTATTTTTCTGATCCTTTGGGATCACTGATGAGTTGGAGATTGAATGCTGCTTTGGAAAGCGTGAGGTATTGTACTTTAAATAGGTTTTGCCTATTCAAACACGAAACTCAATAAAACCAAGTTTACGATTTTCAGATATTTATTTCTATTGTCCTTGCTCTCTAAGATTTTCCTGCTTTCAAGAGATTTTGTACAATATATGCATTAAAAATTTTATTTAGCAGATTTTCCCCTTGATCTAAGTAAACCGTAACAGGCATGATATATGGATGTGAAATATGGGGCAATACTAAAGAAAGAGCACTCACCTGTCTGGCCAAGGAACGTTTGTAAATTGTTGCCACCATCTTGTCACTACAACACTCACGTAAAACCCGAGCACGAACGATACTGGTATCAAATTTGTATAACTGTTACAGTACACAACAAGCTTCTCAAACACGCTGTCAAATAGAGAATTAATGTCGCTGATAAATAGAGAATGAAATAGACTTTCAAATAGAGAATAATAGAGACTGTCAAATAGAGAATCATAGAGGCTGTCAAAAAAGATAATAGTTGAGGCTGACAAATAGAGAATGATATTGGTTGTCAAATAAAGAATTATAGAGGTTGTCAAATAAAGAATTATAGAGGTTGTCAAATAGAGAAGGATAGAAGATGTCAAATAGAGAAGGATAGAGGCTGTCAAATAGAGAATTACAGAAGCTGTCAAATAGAGAATGAAAAAGGCTTTCAAATTGAAAATGATAGAGACTGTCAAATAGAGAATGATAGAGGCTGTCAAAAAGAGAATGATAGAGGTTGTCAAATAAATAATTATAGAGGTTGTCAAATAAAGAATTTTAGAGGTTGTCAAATACAGAAGGATAGAAGATGTCAAATAGAGAAGGATAGTGGCTGTCAAATAGAGAATTATAGAAGCTGTCAAACAGAAAATGAAAGAGGCTGACAAATAAAGAAAGATAGAGGCTGTCAAATAGAGAATGAAAGAGTCTGTCAAATAGAGAAGGATAGATGCTGTCAAATAGAGCTGTCAAATTAAGAATTATAGAGGCTATCAAATACTGGTGTGGGAGATAAACTCAGTAGAGAATGATAGAAATTTAGAGACAGAAAGAGAATACTGACATTTGAGATTAACATGTACATGTACTTAAAAGTCTATATATCAGAATTTAAATTATAATTATTATAGACTCGGGGCTTGATAGTTGGTCTAAATAGGAGTAACAATATGTATATCATTATAATGTGTAGTAGTTAGTATAAATTATAGTATATACATATGTTTTATCTTAGGGTAAAATACTTATGTAAGCGTGCTGGCTGAGTGTGTGGTCAAGTCTATGTTGACTTATGATAGAGAAACAATGTAACAAACAGATAAAAATAGATAATACATAATAAATTTATACATACTAAGCTGTTATCAAATGAAATCTCGGTGCTCGAGCGTTCATTTAACATATGCATAGGTAGGCATATAATTTCATAACCGAAATATTCTTATGAGTCAGCATAGTACATTTTCTGAATTCTGACCATACAAAATTGGTTTTCCGCAAGTTTATTCAAACTTGTCACTTGTTTAATAATACTTTATTGCATATATTTATAATATAAATATATATCAATTTTACATCAACATTTCTACATAATATACAAAAGGGTTGGGTCAAAAGGCTTTGCAAATTTAGTGGTATTGTCCGAGGGATATCACCCGTTTTCCAGATTTTTAAAACTAGCAGATTTAACCTATTGAAAATACAAGCAGCCACTGTAATCTAAAATAAAACATTTTAGGTTCACACAAAATTAATTTTACTAGAAAGCTTGAGTTTTCCTTGATGGAGATAGCAAATTTCTAATTTGCTTTTTGACTAATCTTACAGGCTCATTCTGCCTCAACAATCCATATTTTTAATTCTTTAAAAATGTCAAACATGTGTTTAAAATGTTTGAATAATGGATTAGGTGCATGTTAAATGGATATCAACTGGAAAAAAAAGTAGCGCTGAAGATGAGATATGTGTCCACAAAGATAGGAAAATGTGAATAAAGTAGTATTTTGACTTCCATACAAAATATTAATTCACTATAATTATTCCTATTGTCCAACAGAACTAAACATGCAAAAGATAGAGCATGTATGCAGCAAAAGAGTACGTGTTTAGAAACTGTATTAAGATAACAAAAATAAACATTTTTGAGAAATAAAAATGATAGCATTTCTGAGGTATGATGGGCCTTTAATCATATTTAGACACAATTGCTCAGACGTCTTAAATCAGGGTAATTATCATTATAGTATTAAACAAATGATGATAAAGGATATCAGGAATTTCTCAGACATGTTGTGATTCTTTCATTCTCCAGAAAGAGGAATCCTTTGACTCAATTCGGACACCATATCCATGGCCGAAGTATTTATGAAGAAGAAATGGGGATATATGCTTGACCTTAATGCCGTATACCAAGTATTAGTTACACTTGTATCTTATAACAATCGCCGGAACCCACGGGTACTTGTTCTGCTAACTACATTCATCACGAATAAAGCATATTACAGTGTACTCCTGGGTTACCAAGGATGATCTAGATGAGTTTGCGTCATGTTTTCAGTCAGTGCATTGGCGAATTCAACTGCATCCAACTGACACTACTTTTTAATAAGTGACATGCCCAAAGAAGCGTTTGAAAGAATTTTGTAAAAAAAAACATAACCTACCTTCTCTGATAACCATTGAGAGCTAGTCTATAAGTGAGACTTATAATTGTATACAAGGCACAGAATATTATGGTCTCTTTGAACATCAACTTGTACACGCTGCCCCTCCATCGCCGTAGTAACTTAAAGAAGCCGAAAAATGAGGTAGTAGCTACCTTGTATTGGTAAATTATAGTCATCCTCCTGAGTTAAACTTTACTATCACAGAAATGACACAACTTTGAGAGTTAAAATTTCTTTATGAATTGTCCTTGTTATTATTATTTCACTTGCTATTTGTATTTCTGTTTCTTTTACTTGTTTGTAATCAAGTCCTCTTGCTAATTTTTCAAAGTTTACATAGAATTTATAAGTTTTTTTTCTCTCCAATAACTTTTTCCTGGACTATGTGTTTGATATTAATTGTTTTATTTTTCTGATACTGATACATTTGGCTCCCTTACTGCTTGCTTATATGTTCCTACTTTCGTCTTTCTTTAGTCTTTGGGTCTCTTAGAGTTAATGAGTGCTTTTTGCAACACTTGCTATAGCATTAATCAATCTAGGAGTAAAGTCTTAACTATTTATGATGAACTAGTCTGATGTTGCTGTTGTTAGTTATTTCATCTCTTGTATCGTGTTTATAGTAATGTTAAATAAATTGTTGTTTGATGATTTTCATGAAATTGGCCACTGTCTTCGTCTTTACGTTGGCTGTTTTTGGTGTAATTATGGTATCAATTTCTTTCTTTCTTTTTTTCCTTGCTTTTCTACTCGCTATTGAATGTTCTTTCAGGTCATTGACACTTTAGATAATTCAACACTCTATTTGTACATGTAGGATTCACACTAAATTGTGTTTCGTTTATGTACAATAGTTAAACTTTTAACCTATTTGCCACTTATAGTTATAGTATTTATCCTAATGTTTTTCGTTGTTGTAGCTTATTAACAATGATGTTGTTTTTAATGTCTTAATAATGATGATGGTGACGATAGAGTTTCTACTGCTGCTGTTGCTTTTGTTGTTGTCGTTGTTATTCCCATACAAAAACTTGACGTTGTTGGTGATATGGTCCCGTTTATCTTAATTGAATGAACTGTTCAAGTAGCATCTGTTGATATTCACAATATAATACCATTATGGTGACAGTGTTGTTTGTGTTAATGTTGCTGCCACCCTTGCCTATACTGGTGTTACTAAGTACTTATACATGTATAAGACATGGTTGTTGTTAATATATAAAAAATAAATCCAATTTCAATTACAACCGTCCTTTTAAACTTATCATATATCCCATTTTTATCAAATCCTTTGCATATGTACATGTATATACGTATGATACATGTAATTATTTTAACACGGAAACTTTACATAAACAAATGATGTCATGTTAATAAATCACGTAAAACAATGAAAATGAACAGGTAAATGTATGTTGTTATTTATATAATGACTGATTTTTTATCAGTGACAACTCATCGTTCATCATATAAAATTGTAAAATAAACATAATCCATCTTACTTTTGAAAAATAGCACCGTCACGGTGAAAGAAACATTAAATATGTTAACGCCTTTATTGTATGAAAATTTGATAGCTACCAATTAGTTAAGTCCGAAATTGGTCTTCACCAATTAAAGCGTATATGTGTCTAATTATTTCGCCGTATTTTTTTTTTTTCAAGGTATGTAAACAGAATGAGACTGTGTTGAAAAGATGACACCTCGGTATTTGCGTGTCAGGAGTTTTCGGTGTTTAACACCATGTTTATAGGCACAGCAACACAACTGTCTGCTTTATGACAAGTGCCTCATCCGCAGTACGACAACTGAAGCCGTATGTTTGAGCATTAATTGTCGTCTGCTTGAATAAACAATAATCAACAACACGTTTTTGGCGGGCTTGGTCTATAAATGATTTATTCGCAAAAAATGCATGTATCTTTATTCAAAGTAAACTGTCACTGAATCATAAATCACCGTCTGGGAACAAAAATATTTGAACAATCTATGTTTTAAATTTTCCCAAATGCTTTTAATAGTGCATACAATGCCGTTCAGTATCTATATCTGTCGACGGATGTTACGTTTACGACGTTTACGTGACGTGTAATTCCACTATTTCCACCTATAACGTTGTAGTTATAAAGATTTAATAATTTCTGTTTTTTAAGATATCCGAAAAATGCACAATATGTTGTGTTTATTTTAACATTGTTGTAAGAGACAACGTTTTAACGCGTATATAAGTACATCGTACGTCAAACGAGTTAATTATATGTACACACTTTGACGTGCACGTTTACGTAGATTCAAAATAAAAAGAAACTTTTGTAAAGAAATATCATATCATAAATTTAACTCCTTTAGTCTTTGCAATTTCAAAGTGATCACATAAATGCATTAAACTGTTAAAGAACGTGAAAAAGTATCGCTAATGTAATCAACTTTTTTTATTTTGTAATTTCCAACTATGCTTAAATCGACCACAATGCACTTTATTTTTAATTAGAGAGTACAAATCTTAATTATATTCATACTTCATTCTTAATTTCGTACGAGATTGTCTAAATGAAACATGTCACAATTTTCTATATATGGAACGCCATAGCTGAAGTACTCGTGAACTTTTGCTAAAATTGTCTTCTATTTAATTATTCGTGCCTGGCTATCTTCAACTCCTTAGTCTGAACTAATACAGGCAATATGTTCTCATGGATTTCTCTTATTTTCATGTACTATACCAGCTCCGAAATACTGAGCCATTTTTTCTCACACTGCTTAATAATGAGTTGAAATTTCAGAAAACACGTTTTTCGTACCATTCATATCCTTTTTGCATTATGTCAGTCAATATAATTATTATGTGCATAGTGTAAAAATACTTTTAAAAGGCCCATATACAGATACCTTTTTATATAAATATATTTTGTATGCTGAATGTATTTTATTCAAGTAAAATGCATAAAGCGCTATACCGAATATGTTTTCTTTGGTCTGTGAAGTCATTATGATTTTCAATAATTCTTCCCAAATTAATGTTTAAAAGATTGTCATCGACTGTATCAGATAACAATGAGAAATCAGAGAATTTATCCAGAATTTTATGTGATAGGCACATAATATAAACTGAATCGGGACTGTTTTCCACTGTGCACTTTGTTCGTAACACTGATACCGGAAATTAAAAATACATGATTATGCGCAGTTTCTGTTTTCTAATACACGTATAATGTTATCATGTATTGCATAATACACAAGTCACAAACTATTATCGGTCGTGAATAAAATGTGCTTTAAAGATAAAAGAAAAAGCTCCAGCAAATATTTTGTGAAACTGTGATGATACTTTTCAATAACGAATCCACCCGGTGAAACAGTCAGCAACGGCGTTCCATATGCTCAGATTATCGACATCATTCGGCACACATGTATCATCAAAATTTAGTTAAGTTTGATTATCTTATTTGCATAATTATAACACGAGATTAAACCATAGATATAGTCCATGTCAAGCATATATACAGTTTTTAATTGATAACGTCTTGCCACAGATGGTATGAAAGGTAAGGGTCTAAATATATGCGTGCACCTGGTCACTGGTAGTAAAATATATGACATATTCTTTTCTTGTGTATCAAATTTATAACTATATAAGATGGATTTGGGTCTCTGTCTCCGGATAACTGGACAACAAAAACAAATAAACTCATTTTAGATTTGTGTATCTATTCGTTGTTACTATTAAATATATATATTTACATTTAAGCATCAATTTCGCCAGACATCGGATATGAATAAAATTTTCTCTAGATGTAGGATATTTCACTAGATGAAAGCTATTTCACTAAGTGTATTTTATTTTACTAGATGAAGGCTTTTTCATTATATACATGTATATGGTATATCACTAGATAACGGATATTTCACTAGACCTGGGATATACCACTAGATATTGAACGTAGTGTATGCCACTAGGTGTAGGAAATTTCACTAGACCTAGGATATGTCACTAGATACGCCATTAACGGAAATCAAATGGAGAAAATTGTGTGATTTATTCCCTTGTCATATTTGTGCTTTTCATCACTATAATTGAGCCGCGTCACGACAAAACCAACATAATGGATTTGCGACCAGCATGGATCTAGACCAGCCTGCGCATCCGCGCAGTCTGATCAGGATCCATGCTGTTCGCTTGCCAACCCTATTACAAGTAGAGAAACTGATAGCGAACAGCATGGATCCTGATCAGACTGCGCGGATGCGCATGCTGGTCTGGATCCATGCTTGTCGCAAACGCACTATGTTGGTTTTGTCGTGACGCGGCTCATATTATTATAAAGAACTGGTAAAGGGAGGTAACTAGAATAGCATTGATAGGAGCCAGCGCCTTAAATGAGCAACCTGCAGCACATGTTTCAATGTTTGTATGGGTGGTTCATGACCATTTTCATGACGATTTTCAGGTCTTTTAAAAGTACAGGGTTTGAGATTTAAATCCCTGATATGATGATGGTATGGCAAATCAAACTACAATTCTTTCAGAACTTAATTGATCGAATATTTATATATAGGAGTTCATCCACACATCAAATTCACATTTGTGACATTTGAAAAGAATAATTATTTCTGGTTAAATTAACCTTTAAACAATTTTCTCTCAAAATGGCTACAAAATGTAAATTTTGGACACCCTCGTTGTGTTTATAAACTTAACAAAAGAAACTGGGTTGAAATATTCTTTTATCAAAGGTGTCATCTTTTTTATATTGAAATTTGTCGGACAATAAATTTATATCTAACCATCGAAACCGCTTCTGATGAACATCGAAACTGCTTTTGATCTTCATAAAATAAAATAAAATTTAAAAATTAATGTCCATCAAAATACATGTATAATAATGTTTCCTCCATGACAATTTACGAGTTGTCCGGGGGGAGTTTAATATCATTTATTTTCAAAATGGTTCTAATATTTGATATTCTAGTTTAACTATTCAACTATCCGAAGATTGACGGAAGGGCCGAAGAGTTGCGTTTGCACCATGCTAAGACGTGACTGGGGCTGAGATATTTGATAACATACTTTCATCCCAGGGCAGAGTAAATAATCGAACATATTTTACATAATTATATTCTTTTTCTTCTTTCGTAAGTTCATAATCATTTAGAAACAGTTCTTTGGTTTTGTGTGTGATAATCAAACTTTTATAATACATGTACTTCCATTTATTTTAAAAATGTCTGGTATTAGAGTCTGATAACAGATTTGAGGCTTTGCGTTGATTTGCTTAATCAAATTATAAAATACGTTTTTCTTACATGTAAATTTGGATATCCCAGCTTAAAGTAGACCTTCGTAAAGAATAGGTTTTCCTAATTTTTCCTAAAGCAGGGGAGGCAATTGCAAGCAGAAATGCCTTTTTTATCGTCACAGTTTCTCCCCCGGAATATACCATGCATTAGGCTGGTAAAGTCATGGTGATAAATATCGCTGTGCTTTAACTTAATATATATTTAATGTGTTTACTGTCAAATAATCATAATGGTAACCATGTGTTTTTACCATTATAAAATGGTTATCTGTTCTTTACAATTACACATGTACTATAGAAGCAGGGGAGACTATTGCGTACGAGCGCATTGCTTGATTCATTACGCTTGCTTCCCTTGAACACATATAAGAAAACAGTCAAATGTGCGGGCCGACAAGGTTGCTTACAGTGAACATCACGACCCTTGTTGTCGAGAGTTTCATAAACGTGGAAACTATTAAACTTTAAAACTGGAGGCCAGTAACTGTTGTTGTTGTTTTTTCTTGGTGTACTCTCTTGCCTAGATTAAGCATGAGTTGTCGCCTGCCGGTGTATCTTGTATAAAGTATACCAATCAGTGTGTCGGATAAATAAAGTGATTTAATGAATGAACATAATTATTCTGTATCTCGATGAAAACTTTATCTGATCTAGAACCGTTTGCAGGAAAATGTACAAATGCCATAACATGTACTAGCATTATAAAGTTAGCATTTTTCAGAAAATACCCGATCTACATCTACACGTATGTAGTACAGCCTCTGTTGAGCAACACAAAGTTTTTTGTTGCTGCTGAAAGGTGTGGCTCTACATAATTTAACTTAATTGTGAAGTCTTACTTTTTTAATAAAATGATCTGTTGTTGTTTTTGTTGTTGTTGTTGTTGTAAAGATGCGGATGTTTTACGGATGGTCACTCTGTCAAGGTTGTACTGTATATCATAAGAATAGTACTGAACTCATATCAGACTAAATCAATTTAGTTAATGGTCTTGCGTTATCCTCAGTTTCATTGCAGGAGCGTTGTATTACATCCAAACTAAACAGTTTCTAAAAATAATGAAAAATGTTCTACGTTGCATAGCATTCTTCGATTTTTGAAAAAAAAACAAGCATATTCTTAAGAACGGATATTTTTAGAAACTGTGTTTACCTTTCAGCTTTGTTTTGTACGATGCTTCTATAACGGAAGTGCCGAGGGCACTCATTTAAACAGATCAGAAAAAATATTGTAAAGCTTGCATCATGTGTCATTTGTGAACTCACATTGAGTAGGTTTTTTTTCATTCACGCCAGAACCTGAGGCGCTTGCAAAGGGTTCCAGCACCATTGGGAAGGGTTGTGAGAAATGACCAATGAAAATGTGAAATGACCAATGAAAATTCTTCTTATATTCAGTTCTTCTTCTTCAAATTTAACAGTAAGTCAAATCGTTCGCAGACGACATTTGGCCGAAAAATAAGTCATATACATGTGGAGATACGTACGTTATCTCACGAGGAATGTCGTTTATCGAGATAAAATATGGAGCACTGTCTTGTCAATAAATATCTACAGTGGCCAACATTATTTGAATAACGACACAGGTTACATTCAAAATGTCATATATCAATTTCTTGGCATCTTGCCGACCTTTTTTTTAAATTTAACATGTTTTTCTTGCTTACATTTAACATGATTTTTAATCCCTAATGCTACACGAAGTTTATTTGCACGTCAAGGTACATTATGCAGCTATAGACAGCGAGTATGTAACAACTCGTGTGCCCTTCAAGAGTTAATTTTGAAGCAGGGAATGGTGATTATTTACCTTCCGTGCAATTTCCACAGAGTATAAGCCAAATAATTAAATTTTGGGCTGTATTGCGGTCAATCTGTAAGGTAACACGAGACAATAATGGTAAGGTGTGGTAAATCTTATAAAGGCTGTTGGTGCCAAGCAAAGTGCGTCGTCTTTCAAGCCGTTACTACGTACTAGCAGCTTACGCACCCTAGTATCCTTCCTCATTGTAGAGCCACTCCCCTCGGATCAAGTCCGGACATCGGCAGCTAACGTCACACGAGCTTAGTCACGTGACCCAGAGCTGTAGAGGGCATGCAGACGTTACAGTGCATCTTTAATCATCTGCCGACGCCCCTTGCCTCATGACATAGTCAGGTGTGTGTGAGAGAGAGATAGTGATCTTGGTTTGCACCGGTCGCATAGATAAAATCACGGGATAAACAAACAACTACAAGGTGAATTTACGCTCGATCTATTTTCCAAAAAAATAATGTCAAAAAGTGCGCTGACATACATGTAAGTGAAAATGTGAAATATAACAAACATTCTGTGATGGTATAAAAATATTCGTAAAAGCACTTGACTAGAAGCTGAAATTCTTGCATTTCCACTGTGCATGAAACATTTTAAAGTACACAAGTCAAATAATTTCTCCAAATTAAAAAAAACATGTGATCTTAGTGAAAGGCAAAATAACTTTACATTTTGCAATTTTTTGTACATGTAATTGTTTCCAATTTTATATTTAACTATACAACAATACTCGATAATCCACTTGACCCACAGACATTTCTGTAAATAATCGTTAGGATGTTCAATTTTAAAAAGAGTAGGTAAGTCTGTCTATGATTTATATGATTCAGGTATGTCTGCTGCTTGGTATATAAGAGAAATACATATATAAAATGTATCACAACATTTAGTCTTATCACAAAATATAACAAAAAGGAAACAGTTGTTGCGGTCGAAGTCCGAACATGCGGCTCCAGCGACCAGTCTGTTTGAAGACCGGAAATGCGTTCATGGCCATAAGTTTCGAATTTCGTGCAAACAACATAAAATAGCACTAAATTTATAGAACAATATATGAAAAATAAACAATCAAACAGAAATTTTATTCTTAATGGAACTCTGAGATATGGCTCCTGCGATCGGACAACTGAAGACCGGCCGGCAATCATAGCCACTTCATCAGTTATTCAACAAAAAGAATAATAAATATTAGTAAATATGTTTACATAATAGCTACATGAATTAGTATACGATTACATGTAATCAGACGACATTTTCATAGATTTAAAGAAGTAGTAAATCGTTGTTAAAGCGAAAAATGAAATTTGATTATTAAATGCAAGAGCAGATACTTTTTCTAGGAAGCAAAGATATAAAATGTAACACAATATTAAATCTTATCACAAAATATAACAAAAAGGAAACAGTTGTTGCGGTCGAAGTCCGAACATGCGGCTCCAGCGACCAGTCAATGTGAAGACCGGAAATGCGTTCATGGCCATATGTTTCTAAGACCTTCTTGCAAACAACATAAAATAACACTTAATTTATGGAAAAAAATTTGAAAAATAAACAATCAAAAAGAAAGTTTTATTCTTAATGGAACTCTGAGATATGGCTCCTGGGACCGGACAGCTGAAGTCCAGCCGGCAATCATTGCCACTTCATCAGTTATTCAACAAAAAGAATACTAAATATTAGTAAATATGTTTACATAATAGCTACATTAATTGGCATACGATTACATGTTATCAGACGTTTTAAATCGTTGTTAAAGCGAAAAATGAATGTTTGATTATTAAATGCGAGAACAATGGTGTCTGCTTACGATTTGGAGAAAACAAAAAATTAAAATGTAACACAATATTAAATATTATCACAAAATATAACAAAAAGGAAACAGTTGTTGCGGTCAAAGTCCGAACATGCGGCTCCAGCGACCAGTCTGTTTGAAGACCGGAATTGCGTTCATGGCCATAGGTTTCGAATTTCTTGCAAACAACATAAAATAACACTAGCTAATAGTAAAAATAAACAATCAAACAGAAATTTTATTCTTAATGGAACTCTGAGATATGACTCCTGGGACCGGACAGCTGAAGACCGGCCGGCAATCATTGCCACTTCATCAGTTATTCAACAAAAAGAATAATAAATATTAGTAAATATGTTTACATAATACATGTAGCTACATTAATTGGCATACAATTACATGTTATCAGACGTTTTAAATCGTTGTTAAAGCGAAAAATGAATGTTTGATTATTAAATGCGAGAACAATGGTGTCTGCTTACGATTTGGAGAAAACAAAAAATTTAAAATTTTAACACAATATTAAATCTTATCACAAAATATAACAAAAAGGAAACAGTTGTTGCGGTCGAAGTCCGAACATGCAGCTCCAGCGACCAGTCTATGTGAAAACCGGAAATGCGTTCATGGCCATAGGTTTCGAATTTCTTGCAAACAACATAAAATAACACTAGATTTTTGGAACAATATTTGAAAAATTAACAATCAAACAGAAATTTTATTCTTAATGAAACTCTGAGATATGGCTCCTGGGACCGGACAGCTGAAGTCCAGCCGGCAATCATTGCCACTTCATCAGTTATTCAACAAAAAGAATAATAAATTGTAGGTGTACAAAAAATGCTACTACACTAATATACATGTATGGTACATTGTTACTCAAACGATAACTTATTTCCGTATTGTCTGCCGTACTTTGAGTTCCTGCGTCCAAGGCTTTGGAAGTCTGGTAAGCACGAATAGCTGCTATTCAAGATGGCAAACAGGGAAAAAACGCTCAAATACTCAAATTTACAATTATACATTACAATAAATACAGTTCCTGGCGATTAACATGACATGGTGTTCTGATCCTTTTGATAATGGCATACGATTTTGCGGCTCGTGCAACCATACATTTGATGTATGGCGGGCATTCATGGCCACCGCTCAAATAGCCAAAATTAGAAAGGACCACAGGCTGGTTAAAACTACGCATTTGATTTATCTTGTTGGTGAAAATAAATTGTGCTTTATTCAATTAATTACAATATGCTAGACTTTGAACTTTTAACTAGATTAAATTTGATCTAGTTGATCAATATGGTTTATACAACTGATTATAAACATAACTATTTATCTGAAAATAAACAATTAAACAGTAAAATTCGTACGATCATAATAAACTAAATAAATATTAAACTTTTTACGTTTGTTTTGTTATTTCTAGCTATTGATAAACAATTTCAGCTTGTTTTTTTATGGAATAATATTGAATTGAAAAAAATCGCTTTAAAATTTAAATATTTTTTGTTGAAAACATATCATTATATCATTGAATAATATGACTCTAAAAGAAAGATATACTGTCAAATGTTGCATGACTTCAATTAAGAGCATCTGCTGAAGAAGAATTTTACTCAAAAGCGTCTACATAGAATATGTTCTTTAAAAAGATAAATACATGTACTCGATATGAAATGGCTTCAATTTTAAAGAGTGTACATAAATATAATTAAGATTGAATTAATAGAAAAAAAGCACACATTTTTAGTTGCTTTTTCCTCCTCTGTTAAGCACTTTCTTTCTACAGGGATATTTCATTGTATCTTTCACACGAACACGCTGTTTTACGACGATAGATAAATGTACAAAAAAGAAAATGGAATTCGACATTCCCGATAAAAACAAACACCTTGTCCTTAATATGTGCACGTGCGCACGTTTCTCATATTCTTGTCTGTCATAAAATTATTACAAAATTTAACATATTTCACGCATCAATGAAAATGAATAAAATCAATTTTTATTGTTTAAATATGCGTGGAGCGGCCCTGAATACGTTCTTTAGATTTCTAAAAATAGATTCTTATTTTAATTACTTATAATATGACCTGCATTTCAGTTTAAAGACTAGCCACGAACAAAACAAAATAAAAAGGTTGACATGTTGGACACTGTTGTTATTATCTTTTAGAAGAGTTAAGAACTGTGCACACATACACAAAAATGTGTGTATGTATACATAAAACCTACATTTAATGACCTAGTTATCGGACCCTTATCAGAATGGAGAACTCACAAACTTGTACAAATTAACCAAATGATGTACAGGGAAAATAAACTTTCATAAACCAGACCCTAATCATTATCACAAATGTTGTCCATGCCAAAATCAAAATAATCAGTTAAGTTATGATATTATGACTACATGAATTTTGTCATCACGTGCATGTTTTAACCAGCCTAATCAATGAATTTCAACAAAAAAAATTATCCACTACAAATATTTGTGATAAACGCTTTCCATTGAGCCATTATCGTCTGCTTTTCCTTTCCCGCCAAAAATCTTTTCTCCGTATTTGTGATTCTTTCTTCGTAGTGTTCCGTGGAAACGATCAAACAATATTGTGTTGAAACCAAAATTACAATGAAAGTACCTGAGAAAGAAAATATATAATTTTCATCACACCATTATATTCAAGGAAAAAAAAATCACCTCAGTAACATATTTATAAAAGAAATAGCCCTGAACATACATGTTAAGAATTCTACGAAACAAGCCAACCTTTTGAAACCACCGAAATGAGAGTAAAACATTTGAAAATCTGATTAAATATAAATCTAAAGTAAGCCTATATGACAAGACTTTACATATTCACGACAAAACCTTTCTTCTTCCTCACCTATGATGGTCGTCATGGAACAAAGAGGATGGTTGCCAAGGCCAAATGGCGTCCATTTTGATACCCGAGTGATCCATCATTCCATAGTAATACCCGTATACGAGAATCACTACATATACAACTGAAATAAAATATTATTTGTAATAAGCAACTTTATTTTTATTTTATAAATCAAATGTGAAAGAGCCTTGATATCTACCTTCCGGTTTGGATTTTCTTCTTGAAATCAGTGTTAACGCTAAGCAATGTGTAATTGTAATTACTAAAGAATCAATTTCCGCTTACGTATTCTGTGTTTCAAGCAAAAGCTTTAAAAAGTTACTATAAAGGTTACTATATGTAAAAAGTCTATTAATTATGGTGGCGAAATATGACGACACACAGTACAGTCACTGTAACTAAAATCTTAAGGGTTGGCGGGGTTACACTAGTAATGGTCGGGTGTCCGAAACACGAGAGTTTTAGGCCGTATAAAGAAGTTAACTTCATACTCGTATCTTTAGCAAATTACAAAATGAAATATGTCATTAAAGACCATTCAATTGGCATTAAACATTGTGTACATTTCACTGACTTCCGGTTCTCAACTTCTGTCACTCCATTTTCATTTTACACCAAATGAAATGAAATGAAGCAAAACGACGAAAAAATGCTTTGGATAAACGGAAAGTAATATGTTACATAATTATAAAAAGAACAATGTCTTACCGGCATGAACTGGGACAGTGAAAATCGGAATAGCGAGAAATTTTGATAACATGATGAACCGGCCCGGGTGCTCCCGTACTGTAAAGGGTGGGGTGCCATTTCTATATATTTTTGAATTTTTGCGCCAAAGGGGGAAAAATTTTTTGGTGTAACTATTTGCTTTTTTGTAGAAAAAAAGGGCTGGGGTCACAAAGGAAATAGGTACCAAGCCTATGTTCATATCGTTTGTTTTTTCCCGAAATAAAAAAATATTCCTTTTCTATTTCCTTGCCGGGTTTTCTCCTGCCTTTATCTGTTACCTGTCAAAAATTCATATTGTACATTCAATTTTTTTAATGGTTTTGTGTATTTCGTATTTCCCCAACTTATTTGGCATCAGATTTGTTTGGAATTTTCCACTTCAGTTATGGTCAATCCCCCATTTCGAACGCCGGGTCCCCTTATCTGGTTACCATTCGGACTGAGTTACATTTTGTAAACCATGGCCCTAAAACCTTTCCGCCTTGCACAGAATAATTCTTATTGATGGTTTTGCCCAAAACACAATTAGCAGGCAAAACGAAAACTTCCGCATTTCCGTCAAACTTCAGATAAGATTTAATAGCCGAGGAGTTCCGATTGGCCATACAAGATCATGTTACATATGTAATTCTAGCTTACCTCCGTTCATTATGTAACATGACAGGAAGCCAGATATGACAGAGCCTACGAGCATGTTGGCAGAACCCAAGAAAAACTCGTGCCATTCATTTGTTTTTGTAAGCCAACGGTCTGGCTGGCACTTCCATTCTTTAGGCTGAATAGAACAAAGAGGTGTATAAGGCCATGTCTGATTTTAAAAGTGACATTTGCATACATCTATGTATATTTGTGTCCAAGGCTACTTACTGCACAACAAATATACAAAGAAGAAAACTGTCGTGCTTCAAGCATAACTAAAATCAAATCTAAACTCTTAGACGATAAGATTCTTATATGATTTCAAGAAATATATTCTATATCGGAAAATATTCACTTTAGTTTCTTATATTGTTAATTATTTTTTTATTTATTCCTTTACTAGATTTTGCACGAAAATCACGTATTTTACCTTGTCTTTTCTATTTTTGTAGAAGTATGTGTCAAAGGCGAGACCTATTCCCCAGAATGTACAGAACGACACGAGTACAGCAAAGCTTGTATAAATATGCAAATCTTTCAAATAAAATCTTTCGAGGGCACCACGTGTCTGGAGGGTGGAGTTAAGGGTAGCGTCCGTTGTTTGCAGAAATTCTCTCAGATAATCCTGACCAAGACATACTATAAATAGCAGCCAATCACCTGAAAAAAAGTGTATGAAGTTAAAACTCTGCGTTTTAAAAGCGCCACATGTTTATTTGTAAGAATCACCGATTGTCCTATGTGCCTTAAAATCGATGCAGAGTTACAGCCCTTTGTTTTACCAGCAAAACTAGAACGTCTCTATTTCAACTGTCATTCACTCCTCTGCAATACGATCACTATATTATGTAAGTTTTTGTTGTTTGTTATTATTATTTTACTTGCCTACAAATTGTTTAGCTTCTATTTATTGCAATACGTACATTGTATTCTTTCTATTAATATTAACCGAACATTACTGACAGATTATCGAATCTTTGCCAAAATATCCATTACGAGTACCTTGACCTTTGTAAAGACCTTGAAACAATCTATGTCACTCTGTGTGACTTTACTCTTTATGTTTCTATATTTGGCAAGCTTGATGCTATCTTTCAAACCTTAAAACACATCTTGTAAAGAAATTAAATAGGCTTTACCAAAACAAAGCATGTTTATTTTATTTTCTTAAATGTAGATCTAACCTAAATATCGTGCTTACGTATATACAATGGTTATCCCTATCGTCGGCCTGTAAGGCATTTGTTTCATGTACTTCTAAGGGAGGTTTGTTCACTTTTCACTTTTTTTTTCTCCAGGGGAAAAGTTCTATTTTAAGTGTGGACGAATACATAATATATTGTTTTAATATTCTTAGCGGCTCTAGAACTAGGCTATGACTAAAATATTAATGTATTGCAAAATTAACAGTATTACCAAAAACTACATAGGCCTAATAATTAATCTTTTCATTTTCACATTTTACGAGTGTTATACATAGGTTATTACATGTACATTTTTTACATTAGAATAAAAGTTGGTAATTAATTAATGCGGTGTGACGCAAGTTTGTAACGCAATAAATATTTGATAAGTCTTGCCCATTTAAAGGTGGTCGGTCTTATATCAAGTTGGCAGTGTGCTGTTAATAAAAACGTCTGCTAGGTACGTTTAATCAATCAAATGATTCCCTAACGAATGGGGGCGTATGTTAAAGCAGAACGTCATCAAAATTTCTAAACATTGAAAAAATGAAAAGCTAATTGATATTCAGTTAGGACTTATTTTGACTTATTTTTCTCTAAAATGGAGAATGGGATAAGGTTCGAATCAAGTCTAATATTTGTCATCTTGATTCATCTAAAATCCTTGACATTTCTTCTGTGCACATCCATCTATCAAAAGAGAAACAAAATATGTAACTTTTGATTACAATACATTTCAATTGTATGTATTCAAATTTTATATCCATACATTATATATTTACACACAACCCATAAATTAAGACGATTAGAAACGTCTTAAGAGCTTATTTTATGACAAAATAAGTACGTGGTGAGTCAAGAACAACTGGTTACATCTGGATCTAAAGCTTTAATATATCAAACTTGAAAACAATCGACTGGCAACCCTTAAGTATTCGACTTAGGCGAAATCCATTTAAAAGGCCTTATCTAGCCTTTATTGGTGAACAGATAGGCAACTTTCCAATATTGTATTAATATGTAAGGGAGAAAATTCTAAATCAATAAACATTTGGCTACCGGGGGCTTATTTAATAAAAAAAAGAATTACCATATATGTGGGTCGTATAACTTAAAAACAGATGAAATACCCACTCCGTTTTTTTAAAGAATTTGTTTGTAAAGAAAAAAATAAGCTGATGGACCGATCGTTTTTTTTTTCTTCAAATTTTCGCTTGATCTTTGTAACTTTGTAATATTATTCAAACTTATTTGTAGCAGCATAACTGAAAACTCATGCTAACTTTTTTTTTCATTAGTAAAATAATGTTAAAGCTAGCATTCGGCATTTACAATTAGAATTATATGCTATATGTTAACTAAAATAATGCCGATATATACACAAACACACAAACTAGCTGTTACTTCAACAGTGCAGAAATATGGAGATAAAATGTAAATCACGCCATGTTTTGCATAATTTATACGAATAGTTACTCGATCGGTATGTGATAAACTCGCAAAACATTTTCCTAAAATATGGTTTACTCCCAACTGGAAACAAGCAGCTGTAAAGCACTTACCATATACATGTATAATAATAAATCACTCTGATTGGTAAATTCTTATATAACATTGAAACTAAAAATCTTCCTTCATATACTTTATAATAATTACATGAATAATTATGCTAATAATTATATGTCACTTGATGTCATATTAAGGGTTTTGGTATCCATTTTAATTATGTTTGAAACTATTTATAGACCAATCTCGACTTCACAGTCGGTAAAACAATTCAATGTGTACCACGATAACAAGCATCTGCTACTTCAGATCGTATCTTTCTTGCCATCGTGGACCTGCTAATCTACACAATGTGTGCACTCCTGGTGAAATAAAAACGGTCGTGGTAGGCCTTTAATAATAGTGAGTAACACTAATTGTGGGCGTAGCCGTTTTCGCAATTTGTGCATGTATAAGAATTCATTAAATATGCGCCTTGTAAAACGTTTAATCATGATTAATTATACGGGAAAAAATGACCTACCTCTAACTGCTGTTGCAAGAAAGAAAACGCTTATCATTAATGCCCCCTTGCTGGCGATTTCATGTAAATTCCATGTCGATCCCATTGTGTGCCTGTTTTTCTTGTTTCAGTTATCCTTTGTCTTTCAGTTAACTACTCACTCCGTGTCAGCTCATACTGAAAATAGTCGATACTTCCGTGTTTTAATATTTCAAACTAAGCATAACATTAACAGTGAAATAAACCGTTTTTAACGGAAAAGTTCACTATGTAGAACGCGAAAAAAAAGTGGATACTGTACACAGTCGTGTACATCACTGTCTGATGATGCTATATAATGTTATACTAATAACATTCGAAGACGCTCGTGAACCGTCTCAAAGTATCGGAAAAATCACGCTACGATCTCGTATTAATTAACGTCTGCTGCAGAGATCACACGGTATTGGAACTTAGTCATTGTGAAGTCGAGGAAAGGTGTCCAAATACGTGACAAAAAAGATCAAATTATCATCTCGTGAATAATGATATTAATAATAATAATAATAATAATAATAATAATAATAATAATAATAATAATAATAATAATAGTAATATAATTAATAATAATAATAATAATAATAATAATATAATTATAATAATAATAATAATAATAATAATAATAATATTATTATTATTATTATTATTATTATTGATGATGATGATGACGATGATGATGATGAAAACAGCATCAAAAAACACAAATCATCCTCTCTTAAAAAAATAAAATAAAGAGCTTACCTATTTTAAGAGTCCGTTTCGATTTTGATAGCTTATTAGGCAATTGCTTTAATAATTGTCGAAAAAATGAATTACATGTATTTAAATAATCGGAAGGAAAATTAATATGTTTGTAAACATAAACTGTATTTATACCCTTGATAACTCGTACACTTGTTACATTAAACCGTTTATCTCACCTGGCCTAATTTCATTGATCGCAAATCCGGTCACAATGTTTGGTAAGGTCTTTAAGTTTGCGCCAAGTTAACGTATGGTGGTCGTTTTGAGCCATTATCTTTTATCGCAATGTTGATACTAATTTAATATTTAATAACTTAAACCATTGTCCTGCTTTGAATTTGGAGCTATATATTGCCGATTTTCGCAATATTTACCTCCCTTGCCAAATGTGGCAGCCATTTTTTTTCCAATATTCTATGTCCGACCAAAATTTCTTCTAGGGCAAACACTTAATTTAAAACAGGAGTACCGGAAGTGGAAGAACAGACTTATCTTTATAAGTATTTATTGATAATAACTTAGTGAAGTTTTAAGAACCAAAATCGTGGGCATGCGACATCCCTCAGCGTGAAATTGCACTCAAATATAATTATTTAATAATGAAAACCCATGGTCGCTCAATATAACACATTCTAGTAACTAAAGACACTCATAACAGTGCGGTGTTTCTTTTAATTTTGACAAGGGCTATAACACGGGTGGTAAACCCCATATGGCCATATGGATCTCAAAATTAAGCATCGGTAAGGAAAATATGTAAATTCCCGCTGATCTAGATGTGCACTATAGGGGGTGGGGGGGGGACTGTTACACGGGGGAATGAGGTTTTCTGATAAGTTGTCAGGAGTTCTTATGATAACTATAACGGAGTTCGTCGGAAAATTTCGGTCGTGGGTTCTGGTGTTTCCAAAAAAAAAAAAAAAAAATGCGTATGAAGAAAATGTCGCTTAACTGACTCTAAAAACACATTTTTTCACCAAACGATGTTAAACATACAACAAACCCTTACTGAAACATTTATTGAGATTTGAATCGCTGGTCAAAATTCCTTCTGAGCTCCATATGTGCTGAAGAGTTCCATAGGTGCATGCTATAAAATCAGTTCACTTCCATAAAAGCAATGTATGTTTTATTATTTTGTGTATCATTCTCTTATCAAAACTAATATCCCGAATAGACAGATTGTTCCAAGTCGAGCTTGAAAAACACCATCCATATAAAAATAAATAAAATACATTCAGCATACTAAAAGGCATTGATATGTTTAGAAGTCAATGATTATTTCAAACGTACACGTATGGGAGCTTCTATATTGTCCCTTATGCCGACAGTTGTAAATCAAAGCACAGAAGGCGCTGAATTTGTTTGGGTCTCAGAATGTCAGAAAGGTAATGGTTGTGAGATTATAAAACAATTTGTTTTTGTATAGTGCCACCAATGCTTTCCAGCGTTTTAATTGTAGTAGAATGGCTATAAGACTAATTGCAACACTGATATTCGATCCAGTGTTTATTTGACTTAATTAATTTGAAAAAAAAATGAGCTGCCTTAACTGGGATTTGAACTCCAGACATCTCGCTTCCTAAGCGAGCGCGCTAACCCCTCGGCCTGAAGAAAACCATATTATTCTAGTTAGGGTTTGTAACGACGCTAACTGTTGTTTAACACTTGTGTAAATAATCATGGCGCTTACTATAAGCATGTATATCTATAAAGAATAAAACAATATTAGAAATCTTCGACCATTCGGGAATTATTTTGCTTGAAAATTAATCCGCCTGTCATGTTACCATATTTACGCAGTGATCTCCCCTAAAGTGTTACATATAAAGGGAAGTAACCGCTTTAAAAAAGCGGACTACTTTCGGCACTTGCAATTAACAGCATTAGAGTCTGAAATTTCGCTACCATTATTTGTTTGGTCTGACGACCCAAACAAATAAAAATGAAGTTTGAGGAAGTAAAAATAACGCAATTTTGCAATTGTAGGCAGAAATATTTAATTTAAGGCCCAAAGCTGAATTCTTTTGTTTTGCATAGGTGCTTCTTGAAGATATTTTAAAGGCTTATGGTCTGTAAATGTAGTAAACTCTGCATTATGTTAGTAAATATTTTTTGTAACGCATAAAGAATACTGAATGCTTCTTTTTGCTATGGTACTGTACTTTCTTTGAGATTCATTTAATTTATGAGATAAGAAGTACATGTATATAGGTTTTTCTGTCACTTGTTTCATTAAAATAATTTCGAGTTATTTCACACTTTTACACAATATTAGTATTTAACATGGATCGTTGTCGCCATAGGGTAGCTTTAATTTTAAAAATAATAAATGAATACTTTTTACAAAAATCAAACTAAAACGGAAACAGAATACCGACTAGTGTAACACGTTCACACATGTCAATATAAATCACTTCAAAAATAGTATATCTTACCGATTATTATCGGCGCCGGCGGCGATATGTTGATTATAAACACTTCTAAATGCTTATGTAACAATTAATAACAATTAATAAAGTTAATGGATTTCTGTTCATGATTCTTCATTTACTAAATTTTCATACAAATATTCATTAGATTTCATGTTGTTTACTTGACACGAGAGGTGAATATTTCTTTTGAGGACAGCTTTTAAGTTTACATGCAGTTCACTGCATGACAATCATTGAGGAAATACTTGTCTCTGTGGTTGAAAATCTTTTTAATGTATACTCTTGTGGAATCTTACATTCTCCCCTGATGCATGTATGTGGTTGCATAATCAGTCGTGAAAAGTAATTTTGAACATTACTCAAAACATATTAAATACACACATCAAGAACACCACTATTAACATTGCTCAATTGACGACATGGGCATGACAAATTGTTCAATGCTTCAAACCATGAATATTATTTCAACCATTATGATATGCCCAAACATGAACATTTTTTCAACCATTATAATTTTGAACACCACTTGCACTCCCCCCCCCCCCCACACACACACACTTGTTATGAGCACTATTTATAAAAGTAACATGTATCATTCCATGGTCGGTATAATGCCATGCACACTTTCACGTCGTGAACATAAATCACGCCAGAAATACTACTCGTTTCATGAACACTATTCACGACATGAACATAAATCATGCTGGGATCACTTCTCAATCCACTGACACTTCTCATGACATTTATATAAATCACGCTAGGATCACTTCTCTTCTAAATCCATGGACAGTTTTCACGTCATTAACATTAATCACGCTAGGATCACTTCTCAATCCATCCTGATCCACACTACTCACGTCATTAACATAAATCACACTAGGATCACTTCTCAATCCATGGACACTTCTCACGTCATTAACATGAATCACGCTAGGATAACTTCTCAATCCATGCACACTTCTCACGTCATGAACATAAATCACGCCAGAAATACTACTCATTTCATGAATACTTCTCACGTCATGAACATAAATCACGCTGGGATCACTTTTCAATCAATGGACACTTCTCACGCCTTAAACATAAATCACACCAGGAATAATACTTATTTCATTGACACTTCTCACGTCATAAACATAAATGACGCCAGAAATACTTCTCATTTCATGAACACTTCTCATGTAATAAACATAAATGACGCTATGATCACTTTTCAATCCATGGACACTTAAATATTACTCATTCCATAGACATTTCTCACGTCTTGAACATAAATCACGTTGGGATCATTTCTTAATCCATGTCATGAATACTTCTCATGCCATGAACATTATTAACTCCATGAACATTTCTCACAACGAGAAAACTAACTCATCCTGTGAAATTTTCTCACTCACTTAATAAACATAACTCACTTAATGAACATTACTCACTTAATAAACATAACTCAACTCACCTAATGAACATAACTCACTTAATGAACATAACTCACTTAATGAACATAACTCACTCACTTAATGAACATAACTCACTTATGAACATAACTCAATGAATATAACTCACTTAATGAACATTACGTCATGAGCAAGTTACTCACGTCATAGCGTGAACACTTATCACTATCCATGCTACGAGAATAACTTATTAATATTTATAACTCTTAGACAAAGGGCAAAATGGCTTTACTCGGCTTCCATACCTTACTTAAAAATATCTAAACTTTCAAGTTTGAGGCTTGAATAAATGTAGAGCAAAGTACAAGTTTATCAGCACATGCTTGTTTAGATTATTTTTCACATTATTTCACATATTTATTACATGTACATGTACTAAATAATTTACTTTTACCTGACAAATGCCAGAACCAAAATATAGTGGTTAATGTATGTATTATACTAGGAAAAAAGTTTAGTTTTGTTTTTCATATTCTATAGGAGCAAATGATTTGTTCTTATATTGTATATTATACATGTATATGTGTTTGGTCACATAATTAAATAAATTAATGCTATTCATACAGTATGTTTTAATAAAATAGTTTTTTTTAAAAGTGTTCATACGTAACTATGAAACAAAACGCCCACAAGATAAGTCAAGACATGTATCTTCATTTTTTTAGGACCAAAAATGCTACTTTTTAGTAAATCAAGGGAAACTAGTATTGGTTTTATTTCACGGATGTGTTACTTCCCCTTGCATGAAACGAGCGGATCCATGCGTGGTTGTCGAGCTACAGTTGAGTTCACACTAAACTTTAAAACTTACACTAAGTGCACTTGGAGTGCACTACATGTGCACTTCTAGAGCACTTCAAAGTGCACTTTGACGTTCACTTATAGTGCACTAGACCATCAACAAATATCTTCGGTTTATGAATTTCACAAAAGTGAAAATAACACTTTAATCTGTTTCAAATTTTTACTTTTCTGTAATTAGTAAATTTTTGGATGTTTATACTTTTTTGTACTCTTTTTATGATTTAAGTATGAATGGTATGTAATACGTGGCTTTTCCAACCAAACTTACACATAGTCCTTCAAATGAGAGTTGAAAGTCAGGGTCCGGTGTATTTTTGAAACTGTTACAGATGATATAGAAAAAAATAGGCGATAAATAAATAGTCATTGTTTCCCTTTACAAATGTGGAATAAAGTCAGAATCAAAAGCCTCGATTTCTTTAATTAAACGTGAAATCTATGTCATTTTGCTTGATATATTAACATTTTGTATACCTGTTACAGTTCCTCCCAATATCTTACTAGTATTTTACATAAAAAATGGCATAAAGAATTCATTGTTCTTTACCTATAGTTACTGAATTACTGCCGATGGCTATATCGGAAATTTACTTTAATACACATTTTCAGATACATGCATAATCAAACAACGCGTGCCAAAAAAATGAAAAATATATATAAAACGCATAGTTCCAAAAACTTGCATAATCAAAAAACGTCCATAGATACCGAACAAACCAATAAAAAAGTTACTGTTACATTTTGGGCCCACCAACCTGTACCTTCCCCCAAAATGTACATACCAACAAAAGTGTGCAAAACCAAAAAATTTGGGACATACCAAAATCTTGAAAAATTTTAAAAATGGCATAATTAAAATAAAAACGTTCATTATAAAAAGACGTGTAAATAACAAAACATATGAACCAACAAAAACCGTGCACTCACCCGTGAAAACCGTGCATTACATAAAACTTCACATATCGAAAACATGTACAAGTTTACCTTCGAATACGTCAACTTAACACTACTGTAATGACGTGCATTAACCAAAAAGCGTGCACTACCAATAACGTGTAAATACCCAAAAATTTGAACTTACCACATGACAGCGTACACTTTCCAACACCAAGCACTGTTTACCAAAACCGTGTATGTCCAATATATAAAGTGTTACACTCGCACGCTTGCACACGCAGTCACGCACACAACACAAATAAGTTTACGTGGACTTAATTTAATTAACACGTGCACTTGCCAAACCAAAAATGCAAACGTTATCAGTTTTTCAGCATCTTTACAATAAAAATAAAATGAAAACACTTCATCATTTTAATGTCAACAAGTCGGGAATAATACAACTCTTGTTATTCTAAGAATTCAATGTTATCAAGAAATCAAAGACACTCAAGTGACTTAAATTGTATAGATTGAAGAAACCTTTTGTTCAATTTTAACGATTAAGGAAGATATTATTAAAGGAGTGGTTACATTAAAATATCCTTTCAAAAGTGACATTTGAGTATGTTGTGTATTAGCCTAATAAAGGTTTCGTGAGAAACAGTTGAGATTTGAAACGATTTTGAATACAAAGAACTTACATTACGAATTGAATAAAATGTGAAAATGTTAAGTGCTATGAAATAAAGCATTTGCGGTATTGTGAAATGATTTGAAGTAAGCGAGAAACGGAAATGAGAAATAATTCGAAGTACGCCAAATATTAAGATGAATTAATTATTAAGTACGCGGGTTGCGGAAATGTGGAGTACTTAGCGACCTTCAACATCACGCCCGTTTAACTCACAACGAGTGAAAAATGTCCATCGGTAAAAATGTTGTGAGCAACTTCCGTTCCTCGTTGTGAGCACCCATCTATGACGTGTGACACGATAAACAAGGTGAGTTTTTCATAATTTTTGATGATTACAGACATTTATGTAAAAATAGCAGAATGCAGTTAGCTAGCGATGTGTTTTCCGAGTATGCACATGTAAAGATATTGCCTGTTGGTGGACAATTTGATGGAAATATCGTGCGACGCAGTCACCCGGGGTAGCTGGAAAACTGGAGACAACTTCTCTTTGGACCTAATTTAACATTGAAAACGTCGATTCTGGTGACGTTTTGTGCATTCTAACCTAAAACAGATGCCCACAAGTCTTCAGCGTAAATTATTATCTTAAAGTCTTCGTAGAAACGAAGATATGCTCTTTTTTGCTTTAATCCTCGTTGTGAGCACCATAATCTCGTTGTGAGCAAGACAAGCGCAGTGCTTGTCTGGTTTTAATATGTAATTCAAATGGCAAGAATACAATTTTCAATCTACCAAAAGCAATCAAAACGTTTTTGTACAATAGTTTTTCTTTGCAATAGTTCTTCTTTTTCTTTTTTTGAAAATTATTCTTCATATTTACAAGTCATCAGATTCACAGAAGAACTAATCAGTGGAGGTAAATCAGGTATTTTATTTCGTATACTCTAGTGTGGCACGAGTGAACATCACGGGGTGTTTATGAATATTTCAACAATTTCACAATCTGTGTGATACACACATACATGTGTTTATCCTGAGCTGAAGACTGACCAAGTTATGTAAAACAAGAACTATCACGGTAAGTTGACAATGCCCCTGAAGTGGTGCTTTGTCCTTTGATTTATGGACCAGATAGATTATTTGTTTTTGGACAATTAGATCTTCAATGTGAAAGTAATTCAAGGTCAAGGTGAAATAAATATAGGTCAGTTGGAAGGTCTTGTCCTAAGGGGCATTGTGTCCAAATATGAATTAATTCCACTTACTTATAAAGAAGTTATGACCAATGTTAAAGTTTTTGGATGTTCTAGCTAGAAGGTCATTCACTTTACAAGGTAAAAAAAATACAGATCAGTTTGAAGGTCTTGCCTAAAGGGGTGTTGTTTCAAAATATGAGTAGAATCCGTATACTAATAAGGAAGTTATGACCAATTTTTAAGTTTTTGGACAATTTGGCCTTCAAGGTGAAGGTCATTCAGGGGTCAAGGTAAAAGAATATAGGATAGTTGAAAGGCCTTGTCCAAAGATGCGTTGTGCCTAAACATTATGCCAGGACATTATGGCCAATCTTAAATGTTTTTGGACAATTTGACCTTCAATGTAAAGGCCATTCAGGGATCAAGGTAAAAAAATTCAGGTCCATAGGAAGGTGCTAAGGGATGTTGTATTCAAATATGAATCAAATCCGTTTACTAATAAGGAAGTTATGGCCAATGTTAGTTTTCGGACAGATTGACGGACTGACAGACGGACAGTTCAAAACTAAAATGCCTCCCTTTGGGGTATGCACAACGTCTTGCAAAGAAATGCTGCTGTGCAAAAACGTTTTAATTGCTGTGGTAGATTGAAAATTATATTTTCACCATCTGAATTACATATTAAAACCATACACGCACTGCGCTTGTCTTGCTCACAACGAGGTTTTGGTGCTCACAACAAGGATTAAAGCAAAAAAGGGTATATCTTCGTTTCTACGAAGACTTTCAGATAATAATTTACGCTGAAGACTTGTGGGCATCTGTTTTAGGTTAGAATGCACAAAACGTCACCAGAATCGACGTTTTCAATGTTAAATTAGGTCCAAAGAGAAGTTGTCTCCAATTTTTCAGCTACCCCGAGTGACTGCGTCGCACGGTATTTCCATCAAATTGTCCACCAACAGGCAATATCTTTACATGTGCATACTCGGAAAACACATCGCTAGCTAACTGCATTTCGATATTTTTACATAAATGTCTGTAATCTTCAAAAATTATGAAAAACTCACCATGTTTATCGTGTCACACGTCAAAGATGGGTGCTCACAACGAGGAACGGAAGTTGCTCACAATATTTTTACCGATGGACATTTTTCACTCGTTGTGAGTTAAACGGGCGTGAACATTCTGTTGAACGTTATAATTTTTTTACGATTTTCTACATCCGTGTTGAAAAAAATAAATATACAAATTATTGTATGGGTAAATTATAAAAAAAATAAAAGTTTTTTATGAGAGGTCAATAATAAGTCTTAAACTTGCTGTACTGGCATGCGAGCAGTTCTCGTACAGAAGCAGTACCCGTATTTTTCATTTAAACGCTTGATTTTTACCTGCATTCTTCAAAAATTCATTTTAAATCAAGCAGATACATAAACGAGACAAAATCTAAGTGTCAGTTTGGCAGTACGTATAAAAAGTCTCATTTTAAATCACTTTCACCTGTGCGTCGTCAAAACGTGACCTTGTTTTCTCTGGGGGATTCCGTCATTGCGCGCATGCGCAAAAATACTTACACGTGAGGCTTGTTAAAGGGTTTTCCACTAATACCACCTGTTTACAAATAAGTAGGCAATGTGATGAAAACTTGTTTAATTATCAGAATTTTGACCAATATTACTATATAAAATAATTTTATGCCTTTGATGCGTAAAATATCATGCATACAAGCATGCTATTGCATGTGAATGCGTTGGGGTAACGGTACCGGGTAATAGATACCCGCGTTTAGTCTACGCTCTATTTCCTGAATTACATCTATTTATCTCTTAGATAATGGTCTGTTCAACAATTGTAAATGAAAAATAGGTCCGATATAATAAAATTGTATAATTATAATGGGTTAGATTTTATGTACGGGAACTACTTCTCTTCATACAAAATAATGGATAATTTCGGTACCCCATATGAGGCCTCATAAGTAAGGGTTATTCTATGTTTAGAACATGATGGAATTTCCATGATTTGTGTGACGAGCCGAATATTGATGTGTAACATTCAAATTTTGGTGAGTGAGCGTAATAAAAAATAATGTTTAAGTAACTATGATTTTTGTACGGGAACTGCTCGCATGCCAGTACAGACCTGAAAGTGCTTAACCTTTGCCGTCAGTATAGAGACAGGCAAGCATGCACATCCGAGCAGTCTGACAGGGCTCAATACTGTGGTAGCCCAAGTTTTTTTTATTTGTTTTTTTTTTCTTTTTTCCCATTTTATTTGTATTTAAATGCTACATTACCTAAATCTTTGAGTGGACTGTTCCAAAATCAAAGCAGGGCAAATCCATTACAGAAATTTGGCAGGTGAGTGGTTAAAATGCGGATGTATCGATCGATTTTTAATTCCAAGAATGTGTGCATGTAGATATGACGTTTAAGTTTTCTAAGAATTTAGAATTCAATTTTAACCAGGAAGAGTTGCAATGGTAGGATAATACGTCATCGCGCCCATTGTTGACTCAAAGATGAAATATGTTTTTATTCTAAGAAATCGTTAGAATATCAAACATTATTTTTTGAGATTGTAACGATTCTTAGAATAACATATTTTACCTTCGAGTCGATGGGATGGGATGTTTACAAAAAAAGAGTTCGAAAAAGAAGTTTGATATGAATGAATGATTTTCTTGTTATACACATAGGGGCCTACCAGTATAGGAATTTAAAAAAAACGCATTAAGGAGTAAATATAGATTATTAGAATTTTAACTTTAATTGGGAGACACAAAGCCTAATAATAAAGTATTTAAAGTTTTAAAAAGACTTATTAGGAGAAATAGAATCCTAATAAGTATAGTGTATTGTTTACAAACCTAAGAGTTCACTTAGCATTGTATTCTCCTAATTAGGACTAACACAGTCCTAATAAGGACCTATAAAGACCTAATTAAGATTTTATTTTTCAACTCCTAATTAGAACATACAAAGTCACTTCTCCTACTTAAGCTTTTAAACTCCTCATATAAAGCTTATTTCTGATAATGAGAACTTATTATGCCCCCACAAAGTGGGGAGCATATAGCATTGCACTTGTCCGTCCGTCCGTTCGTACGTTTGTCCGTCCGTCCGTACGTCCCGAAATCTTGTGAACGCAACTCCTCTTAAACCGGATGGCAGATTTTGCTTAAACTTCCAGGGATGAACAACCTTAATGTGTAGATGGTAGTAAAGGAAGGAATTTTCGCTGCGACCAAATTTAACAGAATTATGGCCTTTTGTTGATTTTTTCACTATATACCATATAAAAATTTTGTGAACGCAACTCCTCTTAAACCGGATGGCAGATTTTAATAAAAAGTTCCACATAAAAATCTTACATACAGATATGCAATGTGCGACCACATACACGCATCGAGGACTTATTGGAAGGAATGTGACCGTGCGACCACATACACGCATCACAGAATTCCCCTTCTCATACGAGAAAGGGACAAAGAACTGTCCGCCCATAAAGGGCAGACTTATAAATATGCTATTTCCTTACTGTTTTTATTAAGGAAACAAATTTACACAAGTTTGTCTCGAATTGGTATATATACAACTATAGTTACGCAAACCAAATGAAGATCAGTTGTTTTCGTCCTTTTAAGTTCGCAACGAAACTTTAAAAAGATCAAATGTAATTTATAGGAAAATATTGAGTTTACAGCTTTTTTCTACTCTCCATTCTATGTAAATAATAGAATTATATTATTTCTGCAAAACATGAACGTTTCAAAAACGTTTTATATGCATTAGATATATTGGAGATGATATATTTCACACATTGTTGGCAAACATTAACCTAAGGCATTTCTGCCAAAGTATGCATTAAATTTCTTTATTCGACTTGTACTACTTGTAATAGAAAAGGTAGGTAATGTGATGGGCTGCAAAGAAAACAAAAACCAGATCAAACTTGAGCAGCCGACACTGCTGACTGGTAAGGCTGAAAAAATTGCAAGCCTAATTCTAAAGAATACTTTGATCAAACTGGTCAGATTGCTGGCTGTGTTGGTTCAAGTCCCGTCAGGGGCATCTAATGGTTTCTTGAGCAAGACACTTTATATAATTATACTCATTGCTTAGTACATACCGTACTACCCAGTTTTCGCTTAAAGCAGCATGCCTACAGATTCATGCTAATTTTTAGGAAAATATTTTAAATGTTTTAAAAGTATAATATTGTCAAGTGAACAAAGGATTTTTCCAAGCTATCATTTTTAACCCGCTCAAAATAGTTTATGAAATGGGGAAACTTGTCCAAAACTCCCTATACCAGTATACAGTAAGTCTATAGCAATGAAATTAACCTTATTTGCGAAATAGACCGGTAAATATATCACGCAAGTTAGCAGTAAATTTAAGAATTTCAGTCACCACTGTACCAATCTGTCATCTCTGGCACCGGTAATACGGGGTGTATCTTATGTTTCAAGGAGGCCAATTAATAGAGTAAAATAATGGCATTTTGTCAAATAATTTAAGTATTGAAAATAAACAGTGGTTATTATAAAAACACCTGCACGCCGAAAGCACTTATTTAAGAAAGCATGAGAAAGTGCTATTTGAAAGTCTAGAATTTGTTATCAATATTTATGTCTAGAATTTGTTATCAATATTTATCTTTTTAAAATTTTAATTGTAAAGCAGACTGCGATAAAATTGTTTCATTCATATGCCTTTCAACATATGAAAATTTTCTTTTCCTCCGGCCCCTCGATAAGTGCACAATGCTACATATTTAATTATGTATGTCAACCACTACGCATAATCTGAAATACTTTTCGATGAAAGTAATACCTATTTATTTTAAATTACGATATTATTTTAATATGATACGTGTTATTCTACATGTACATGTATATAAAGGAGAAAACATGTGTAATTTTCTTCCTAAATGTTGTCCGGCAAGAAGCATGTCATGACATTCCGTGGCATACCGTGACATATCGTGACATATCGTGCCATGTAAGTAGCAATCTAACGGATAGATCACGAGCAAAAGTTATTTTAGTACCAGTCATTTTTCAAAGTTTGCCATGCAGCGCTGATGAAAGCGGGGTTGTACACATGTTCAATTTTCTTTTAATTATATTATACATGTAATATTGGAGCCAACTGAAATATTGAAATTCGTCCTCGAATTTCACAGAGTTACAGAGCACTGTAAATTAAACCCTGAGCTATATGCTACGGAACTATGAATGAATAAGGTTAGATAAAAGGTAATTTTGAAATTTCGGTCAAAATTTCGGTTCGCAATTCATTTCTTTGGCTGAAATTGCACAGAGGTAATTAAATTATCACCAATTTGTGCTTCAAATTTGCCCTTTATCTTCGCAAAATTTTCGCAACTCCTTGGCCCTTTCCGTCAAACTTCGGATAAGAACGAATAATAATTTGTTTGTAGGCAGGGACGACGAGAGAGGGTCGGTCCTAATGTGCATGAGTCTGTAGTACGCTGTTACTCGGTTTTGACTGCCCTCATCACGGCTACCTCCTTCGTTATTTTCACAGGTGACTCTGCGTTTAGGTGATCCTGTGAAAGTGTCAAAATTTCGGTTCGCAATTCATTTCTTTGGCTGAAATTGCACAGAGGTAATTAAATTATCATCAATTTGTGCTTCAAATTTGCCCTTCAAAATTTAACTCTATAGGGGTGTCACAGTTTAGAACTATTCATTTTTATTTAGGGGAAAAGATGTGTAAGTGACCAGATAGCTCAGTCGGTAGAGCCGCGGAACGGTATTCCGAGGGTTCCGAGTTCTGTAGCATATAGCTCAGGGTTTAATTTACAGTGCTCTGTAACTCTGTGAAATTCGAGGACGAATTTCAATATCACGGGGGAGGAACAGTTACACGAATGACGGAGTTCTTATGATAACTTGTCAGGAGTTTTTGTGATAACTGTCGCGAGTTCTTGTGATAACTGTTCGTCGGAAAACTTTTGTGTATACTACAAAAACACTCGTCTAAAATGCTAATTTTTATCTTTAAAAAGTGAGTTTTAGATACTAAATTAAACTTAAAAGATTAAGCTTGCCTTACATCTTGTTGTATGTGTCAAAAACTAATTCATAGGCCATTTTTCATCGCCTCTTGTTTAAAATCTGGTATAGTCTTGGGTAAAATTGCAAAATTATTTGCCAATTCGAACATATTGAACTGTTTATTTCTGGTCTTCATCCTTGCCATACATAATTACCTAATAGTAATGCAAAATTGCAAACATAAAGCCCCGGCTAACAAATTAATGCCCGATTTTTCAAATGTCCTGGACTTCATGTGAGTCGAGTCCCGGTCAGGCTGCACATTTTTCTCACCCTGTGACCAGGGTATGACTGGTAGCAAGCCCGGGCCCGTACATGGACCCTCACACAGCATATACTATAAACTTAAAAGTTATTAATGCCCGATTTTTCAAATGTCCTGGACTTCATGTGAGTCGAGTCCCGGTCAGGCTGCACATTTTTCTCACCCTGTGACCAGGGTATGACTGGTAGCAAGCCCGGGCCCGTACATGGACCCTCACACAGCATATACTATAAACTAAAAGTTATTAGTAGATAAGTCATCTGTAACATATAAATCTCTGAGTCGTGCTCTTATCTAGCCATATATATATATCTTCCATTTAGTCAACCCCTAGACTTTTAATTTTTCTTAATATGAACTTCTGCCAGTCGTTACAGGATATGTTTTTACCTGCTTTTTAAATTTGTCTAGTCCGTGATTTGCGGGCTTCATGAATAACCTCTCTAACTGATCCCCTTTTCGAAATTCCATTTTATTTAGTGTTGCCATTGTTTTTCCGTTTAGGGAACAAACATTCTTTTACACGGGACAATACTGTTTTTTTGTTGTTGTTTTTTTCCGTGCAATTAAATGATGACTGTCGTATAAATACATCTGTTGGGCGTTCTTTTGAGATTCCGTTTTCTCTATATTATCCTGATAATAACAGAACAAGCTTTGTTTATAAAAAAAAGGCATTATGCCATTTAAGTAAAAATGGTCGGTGTACAAGTCGAAGTCAATTAGATTTTGCCATAATTGTTTCTCTGAGTCATGTAGTTAAGTACATGTGTATAATCAATATATGTGTCTTATGGAATATTGAATTAATATCTTCTGGATGTATCATAAACGTTCAATTGATAAAAAGAATGGGATAGTCTTTATATATTTTAGACAGTTGTCATATTTATCCAATGTCAATTGATGGTGTAAAACTAGCCAATTTACCCCAACCCGACAGCGTAATGTAACTTTAAGTATAATTTGGTAAAAATGACAAATCATGTCATTATTACTTTAAAACTTTTTCTTTCAGAATAATTGACTTCAACTAAAGTAATCTATAAATCAATTTATTATTTACTCAAATTAGTAAAATATGAATTCAGTGACGACAACGACTTATTGCGTTAGCCAGAATTATTCGTGCTTTTCTTATAGTTCACATCACGTCCAGCGTTGTTTCACGAGATTACAATTTCTTGGTTTGTGTAACATTGCTGTTTTTCAGTCGGTAAACAAAGAACAAATATACTAGGAAGTAAGTATATAATCTTGTCATAAATAGTTCAACACATTGTTAACTTTATGTTTAACCAAAAAATTTATGTAATTTTAAGAATAATGAAATGAAACGGGAAAAAAATGGAAACACGTGTGACCAGCTTTTTTTTTTACAACTTTTTTTTAATTTTAGGAACTGACTCACGCTTTCATGATAATAATATTGAAACACGAAAGTTCACTTTGTATGTACTTAAAGACTTTTATTTCTAGACAGTAACAAGTCTAAATTTATCTTATTCATAGAAGATGGACTGAATTATGTTTATATTTTTTTAACCAAACTAAAAATTACACAGATACTTGGGGTTTGGAGCTCAAAACGCCTTTAAAATCCAAATAAAATGCATATTTGTCAATCCCAGGACATGTACTGATCATATATATCAAAAAATCTTAATATATGCCGTTTTAAAAAAAAATCATATTTCAACAACTATAATAATACACAAGATAAAAATGTTCGCCGGAAAAAATCCGCACCCCTACCGTCATAATCACCATGTATTTTATTCCATTTCCAATATTTTCACATAATCCTTTGGTCCATCGACACAGAAGATATAATTCTCCACGATGATGGTCAATTTTAAACTTCAACGGTAATATAAACAACGCAACAGCCGAATAAACATCAATATTCTCGCCGTTTTTTTCAACGACAAAATCTTTCGATAAATTCAATGGACCAGACGGCTATGAACGAAGCTATCCGATTATGTGGCCCAGCTTTGCCGTGTGCAAAATGCGCAGCGCTTTTAAGTTTGGGAACCACATAATCGGATAGCTTCGTTCATAGCCGTCTGGTCCATTGAATTTATCGAAAGATTTTGTCGTTGAAAAAAAAAAACGGCGAGAATATTGATGTTTATTTCGGCTGTTGCGTTGTTTATATTACCGTTGAAGTTTAAAATTGACCATCATCGTGAAGAATTATATCTTCTGTGTCGATGGACCAAAGGATTATGTGAAAATATTGGAAATGGAATAAAATACATGGTGATTATGACGGTAGGGGTGCGGATTTTTTCCGGCGAACATTTTTATCTTGTGTATTATTATAGTTGTTGAAATATGATTTTTTTTCAAAACGGCATATATTAAGATTTTTTGATATATATGATCAGTACATGTGCTGGGATTGACAAATATGCATTTTATTTGGATTTTAAAGGCGTTTTGAGCTCCAAACCCCAAGTGTCTGTGAAAAATTAGTCAATTCGCTTATTCTATATTCAACTTATTTTGAAAAAAAAAATATGATAATTTCACATAAACATGTTCATTTGGGAAGAAAAAGTGCAGGTGTTAGTCAAAATCAGAATTGATTAAGCAGTATGATGTAGATGAGGTGTAAGCCCAGATTTTTTTAGAAAGACAGCAAGATTTAGAAAAAAATTGATTGGGAAGAGCCTTTTAATTTTAATAGGCCTCTGTTTTATGGAATAATATGAAAAGAGCAAAGCCTCAAAGAGAGCTAGATTTACTTTTACCGTGAAAAAGTATAAAATAATTGTTAAAAGTATAAAATAATCGTTCATTTAATAATACATTTTTCGTTTTAAAATTGTCATTCGGTATTTTATACACTGCTTGCGTTTATTCTGGTTCCCATATAAGTTCCCAGGACACCAGTCTACCAGTCATTGAATTAAGCACGGGCCCGGTGGCCTGGGCCAGTGAATATTAGTTCGGGCCAGTGAAAATTTAAGAAAATTTAGTTAAATATGTAGTAGAATAAATTCAAAACTGGAATTCGGGTTAGTAAATTCAAAATCTTTAATTCATTGACTGATCTACGCTTCCGTTTTCAATCAGAATACATTGGTGTTAATTGTTATCTTGTAATTAGAAAATTGCGATGTGTCAATTTAATTCTTCGGACGAAAGTTTTCAAAACCATCACTATCTAGCAGGTACTCACATTACCGTAAAGCTCGCTATGCGAGCAGGCCCTTCAGGCCAGCTCTTCAAGCTCGCTATAAGACCTGTGCTGCTAGCCATATCTTTAAGCTTTATGTGCATCACATATTGCTAGGCTATCTACAGAGGCTAGTCATATAGCATTTTTCCAATGTCAATGATAAGTAAAAGGCAAAAATTTAGTCAGTATCTTGTGATTTTGATTACATTTTTGCATAAATATGAACATTATTACAGGACTTCCATTAATGGAAGTTTGGAAGTCATTTACACTCTGATTTTGGCTTGTGACTTCCAAAATCTGACACTTTTCCTTCTTTACCTATATAATGTGACTTCCAATATCAGAGATTTTGCAGTGTCGCGCTTCCAAATTTTAGAACTTAGTGGAAGCCCTGTTATTATCTTTTTTTCCGTAAATATTTGTATGGATGATGTTTGACCAATTGTAAAGAAGGATCTCGTATATATAATATTTTGAAGAATGAAAATACCAGTAATCTCTTAATAATTTTAACTTACTGCCCATTATGCTTATAATGAAGAGCATCATTAAGACATTATTGTAATACAGGGGTAACTGGCTCAATTATCAGGTATGATGAAATTTCTCATTGAAAATTGATTTTGGACGTAGAGTCTTGTGTTCATTTATTTTTCGTCACTTATTCAGAAATTATTTGGGATTGGTAGTTGGTTATAGCTAAGACATTTGTTATTCCTAGTTAGTTAAGCAGGAAAGACAGTTTAGTGGATAGATCGTCATGATATGACCAATACTTGTTAAAATCTGCTAAATAAGCAAACAAGCAATTTTTAACACAAAATTAGATTTAATTTTTATTACTTTTGCTGAATTTTTTTTTGATTTTGAATATAATTTTTTAACTCAGTGCCTAGAAACCTAGAAGCCACGAATGTAAAGCTTGACTAAATTTATGTCTTTATACATGTGTGGCTGTTTTCATTGCCAAGTATTAGTAAGGAGCTTTGACTTGAGGAAGAAAATGTAGATTGGGTTTAATAAAATTTGGAAGACTTACAATTTACAAAGACTTATTGATAATTGCTATTCACTAAAAGCATGTTTACTTTGTTTCAGGAGTTGATGAGTCAGAAAGTAGAAAAACCGTCACTGTCAGGCCAACGTCTGAAGACTAGGAAAAGGGGTAAACTGTCATGTTTAACTCTCGATAATAAATTAATATATATAAGGCCAATTACCTTGATGCTTCTACTGTTTGTAGATTTTAATAGGAAGCTATTTAAGACTAGTCCTTTACAAAAAACAAACCTTATATATGATTATATCTGAAAAGTTTTAGACTTGAAGTTTCATATTTACAGTTTATACATTATTACTAAATTATTTGGTAAAGTTTACTTTTTAGTCCCCTACCGGTTTAGGTTTACCCTCCGTCTGTCTGTCAGTCCGTCCGTCCGTCCACAAAACTGGATCCCGCGATAACGCAAAAAGTACTGAAAATATTTTTATGAAACTTGATATATGGATAGATGGCAGTATGGAGATTATGCACGTCTTTTTCTTTTCTTCCTATGTTGAAAATTCTGGTTGCTATGGCAACAAATAGTCTGAAAATATGGCAAATTTAACACATAAACTGGATCCAGCGATAACTCAAAAAGTACTAAAAATATTTTTATGAAACTTGAAATATGGGTAGATGGCAGTCTGGAGATTATGCACAGCTTTTTCTTTTCTTCCTATGTTAAAAATTCTGGTTGCTATGGCAACAAATAGCCTGAATTTCAAGATTTCTGATTTAAATTTTTCAGCTTTTTCACTATAAGTTCTTTATTTCTTAAGGTGTTTACTTCAAACTTTAAATATAAGTTTCTGGTCATCAACCACATCATATGTGACAAGGTTTACAACTCTAGCACAAAAATTATCAGTATTACCTCCCTTGAAGTTAGAATTTTATGAAAAAAAATGTTGTCTTTTTTAAATAACTTCTTTATTTCCTAATGTATCTACTTCAAACTTCATATATATGTTTCTTATTATCACTCAACATTTTTGAGGAGGTTAAATACTCTAGCAAGACTATTTCCAGGATTATGTCCCCCTTGAACTTAGATTTTTTTCGAGAAATTGGTATTTTTCACTCCAACTTCTTTATTCCTTATAGGATTTACTTTAAAATCCCACATTGTAATAATATGACAAGGTTGTATAAACATTATTTCCTTACTAGGCAGGGAAACTTAACACATTACTGTGATATAGACAAACTTAGAACTCAAAAGATTTATGTTCATTCATGTCATTCATTCACTGGTAAAATTGAATGGCCAATGGCCTATCAGAATGTTGCTTGGGTTCTAACCGGTAGGGGACTTATGGATTGCTTGCAATACTATGATAATTGCTTGTTTTGATCAGATGAACATCAAATTTTGGAGATGATAAGATATTTAGTAATAAAGTCTCTTAAAAAGGACAAAATTATCATTCACTAGTGCACTTGTACAAAGGACCTCCAAATCTGACTGGATATCATTTAAATTTTTCAGATGAAAAGGAAAAATACGATCCTTCAGCGTTCCGTGATGCTCTTATCCAGGGTATCAATGATACAGAAGGCGATCTAGAATTAGTGAGTACTAACATGTACCTTATTGTAGCAAAAATTTGATAATCTTTCATACTAAAGATTTCATTTGCAAGTTTTAGTTCTATAATGCATTTAAATTCCCTGTATTGTTAATTTAAGTTTAAAAAGTCAAATCTCTATATTTACTAGTTATAAAAGTGTTTTTAAAGTCTTATTGCCGCTTACATGTATGTTTCTTATTCATTACATGAATTTCAATATTTCAGGTTTCAAAATTTTTGGATGTCTCAAAATTAGACTACCGCCGATATGCAGATGTGCTTTTTGATGTTTTATTTGCTGGCGGACAATTAGGTATGTGTTTGGATTACTGTATTATGTTGGTTAACCCCTTCTTTACTACAGATACTGTTTCTCAATAATTTTCCTCGATATCAAACTTCAGCGGTGCAATAATTGTTAACATTGAAATTGGAGCTTTTTTATGAGGATATATACACCTGAAATTTATAATTTATTTCACCACATTTTTGTCCTTTTGTAAATTAAATTTGCTCTGTTTGCTTAAGATTATTTTATTTAATATTTTAAAAAAAAACCCACGAAATTAGATATAGTCACTTCAAACTTGAAATGATTATATAACCTTGAAATATAAATCAATGTTTAAAGGACAAGTTAATAAATAAATAAATAAATTTGGCACAGTTCTGCCCCTTTGCATCTGTATCAATAAGATTTGTTAACAACTAGTATTCAAAATAAACTATTAATTTCGTAATGTCGTATGACTGTTTTTATTTTTACAAACGGCTCTTTGTTAGTTGTTGAAGCAAGGAAATGGAGCAAAATACTTATTAAGCAGTAAAGCAAATTCTACTTCTTCGTCATTAAAATAACCAAATCACTTTACAAGTCAATAAGATTATTACAAAAGTGTGTCATCAAGTTTATTCATTGATTCAGTTTTCTTTAGAGATTCAGTACTCGGGGGATAATATAATTGAGTGGTTAAATATGGTGAAGAATTAGTTCATGATTCTTAAGATATAAAGATGAAATTTATAAAGAAAAACTTTGAACTATATTCAACAAAGTTCTATTCAATAAATATAACATGATATGCAGTGAATCAGTAGAATAAGCTGATAATAGAATTTCAGCATTCTTGAAGGCTATTTTAAAATGCTGTACAATTTGATGGAGCATATACTGACAGTTTGTCTATGCCACAATGTGCCAAATAGCACATTTGTCTATTGACTAATATTCAGTATGTTTGGAAATGTTAATCAAACACCCCTTATTTGATACTTTAGTTTGATTGGCTCATGGTTAAGGTCGCAAAATTAGATTTTCCTACCGGTCTTTATAGTAAAGCCATGCTGTAGAATTGCAGAATATTTTGAGTCTGGTCTCCTTTGTTTGAATGATGAAGATTGCTAATACAAGTTTTATTTAAAAAAAGAAAGAGAGAGAAATCAACTCAAAAGTAACAGGCATATTATTGTTGTAATTTCAGCTCCAGGGGGTTCTATAGTAGAAGACCCTGATCAGACCAAAGTGTCTAGGACAGACATATGTGTCTTTGGATGTGAGGAAGATAGAAACAAGCTCAAAGCTTATTTTGATGTAAGATTTCTTTTTGATGTACTTTTTCTTAGGATTCTTTATGAAAGACATTTGCTTATTAATTTGTAGATTATATTAAGAATGACTATATCTACTGGGAATCAACACACAATTTATTTTATCAAGCCAGTCTCGGCAAGAAATTCTAATCTTTATAGTTATAAAAAAGGTCTTGATACAGTAGGCAGCCCTTTTTAACTTTGTAGTGTTGATTCAAATTTATTTTCTATGAATTGTGTAACATTTGTAAATGTTATGTTCCTTTGTTACAGGTGTTTAACAAACTTCTTAGAAGATACAAGTATCTGGAGAAGTCCTTTGAAGAGTCCATTAAAAAGGTAAAATGAACATTAATAGCACATTATGTCTCAAATTAAAATAATATTTAAGCCGTGTCACGACAAAACCAACATAATGGGTTTGCCACCAGCAGCCACCAGCATGGATCCAGACCAGCCTCCGCGCATCCGCGCAGTCTGATCAGGATCCATGCTGTTCGCTATCAGTTTCTTTACTTGTTATAGGGTCTGTAAGCGCAGGCTGGTCTGGATCCATGCTGGTCGCAAACCCATTATGTTGGTTTTGTCGTGACGCGGCTCATTTAAATAATGGGTTTTATAGCATGTCAGATGCTTGTAACCTAAAGACAGTAGGGCTGAATGTGAAATTATTTGTTTAAAATGTGGCAAAATGTAAACAAAGTAGTATTTTGACTTCCATACAAAATACTTAATCATTATAACTGTACAAATTGCCGAAAGGCAACAGAGCAAAAGATTGTTCAGGTAATTGGTCCATGAGTTATAACTGGAAACTGTAATAGGACACCAAAAATAAAAAAGCTTTTGAGAAATAAAAATAAAAGCATTTCAGGGACATACTGGGCTTTTAATGTGTTGTAAAGAGAGGGAGAGAATATAACATCCCATCAGTTTAGTGCAGGATTAGTTCAGTAGGTGAAGCATTAGGCTTATTTAGGTGAACTTGAGTGACCATAGGGAAAATAATGTTTCTTACTGGTAATTACAACATTTCTAAAATAGTACCCCTTTTTTGTCTCGCTGGAAATCAAAAGTTAGATACTTGAAGTTACCGATTGAAATATTAAGTTATATTACAATTGTTTGTTTTTTAAATGGTTTTAAATAGTAGAAAGACGGAAAAAGAAATATGATAGGGGAATGGGTTAAGTTTTCAGCAATATCAAACATTGTTTGCAAGCAGAGTATCTGGTGTTTTTAGTTCCTTATTGATCATTTTTTGCCTGCACTGCATGCACTAGGTATTTATTGGTTTTCATTGCATTTCATATGATTCTCATACAATTGAACTCGGCCCTTCCCTATACAAGATTGGACATAAAACAGTAAATGTGCCTTTACACTAGCAAGTAATGGCAAAAAATCGTCATCTTTTTATTGTTGAATTAATATTGATTTAATATGCATAGCATGTGAAATGTTGAAATAATGACTCTCTGATATTTATTGACAAAACAATTTTGATCCATTACATGCATGTTTGATAATTATCCTGAATTATTGAAATTCCTCTTTTTTAAATACAATCTTCTCATATTCAATGTTCCCTGACAATTTTAGTAATTATATGAGTTTTTGTTATACATTTTGTAATTTAAAATAAACAACCTATGCCAATAAAGGTCAATTTGCCAAGTGTAAATATCAACAGATAAGCTTCTATATCCTCACCACAGGGGCGGAGCATTGCTTTCTTTTAACAATTTTATTGGATAATACACATCACGTGTATACATTATTTCATATGCATACAGTTGTGGTTTGGGTATTATAGTTTTTCACCCATGCATTTCGTTTTGATTGTAAACACTAGTTATAGAACGAGGTGACATTCTGTTAAAACACAAAAACTTGACTGGTTAAAAGTAGTCACTTGATGAAAAGATTGATTACAATTGGCTGAGTAATTAGTGGTTGATAATCTGAGGGAGTGGTCGCTATAGACAAAGGCGGCTTTTATCCGCATGGCCTCTTGTGCAAGTTGGACTTTAATTGTAGCATAGTTATATAGATTATTCACTTTATGTTAGGTCTGGTAAAGAATCCAGGAACAAGATTAAATCATTAAAGTATTATGCAGGCTATCCTACCTACAGTGTCAAATAATGTAATGTATGTTGTTTGTTTGACTTACAGATACTGGTGTTTCTGAAGGGCTTTAAGGAGGATGAACAGCGTAAGCTGGCCATTATTCTTGGCATCATCTTTGCCAATGGATTCTGTAAGGCTCAAGTGCTCTCTGGGGTGTTTGAGGAGCATTTGGTCAAGGAAGGTGAGTGATCTGTCTTGAATAAACCATTTATTGATTGTTCCTAGATATGTTTAGAATGATATAAAGACAGGACTGTCACAAACTGTTAATAGTTTACTCTTTTAAACCTGTCTGTCCCCATTTTGATTTCACATAAATTACTGAAGGGATTTACATGGGATTGATGTTGTTTTCTTTAACATTGTTTACATCACCTTTGTTAAATTCATTTAGACTTTGATACTTGTGTTTGATCTTACTACAACATGGAAATAATTGGTACATTTGTAAATTCATATCTTATGTCACATTAAAGAATTTTTACAATCTAATTGTTAAAGTTATCGTTATTTTTAAGGTATCTCGCTTCGTTTTGCAACGGTGATGTTCCGGTCCTGGTTGGAAGACAAGGACATTAACTCTGTGGTTAAGTCTTTAAAGACGGCCTCTATTGACTCGAGACTTCTAGAGTTGTTCCCCCTGAACAAGAGGAGTCAGGAGGCATTTGTTACCCATTTCAGGAAAGAAGGCTTAGATTCTATTGCCAACTTTCAGGTATGTGTACATCATGTTGATGTTAAGATAAAAACAATATGAAGCCTCTTGTTTGATTTAGAATATTTTTAAACCTGACTGTTGTAGATATAATTTGTAACAGGGCTGTTAGATTCACTTTTATGAGAAAACTATGCAGGGGAAAGATTCTACTATGGTGCCTGTTCAGTCCTTAATTGCTGAATAAATCTTGAAATCGCCATACTAACAAACCCTTTTTGTCGTGGCTGAAACTTTTACTTGGGAAAAAAACACTTTTGGTTGGTTACTGAAATTTTAATTTGTCAAATAGATAGAGGTAACTAATCTGTATTGAATTCATGCTAAAAGGGAGTGACAAAACTTCAAACTTATGTTTGGAAGCCAGAGCTGCATCAGTACTTAGGGTAGAGTACTTAAGTACCAGTACCAGTACTTGGCAAATTATGCAGTACCAGTACCAGTACTAGATTTTAGCTCGGTACTGCAGTACCAGTACTTTTTTTGGTGAAGTAATTTATTTTTAAATTAAGTATCAGTACCATTACTTTTATATATTCATCAAAGTTTGAATAAATACAGTGTCAAACAGATAATTGGAAATATTATTCAGCAAAGAAATAAAATCATAATTTACTTTAAAGCTGTGCATGCCTCCAGATGACCCACAATATTTCAAGAAAATTAAACTGGGAAAAAAATTACTAAAACTTTGAGAAAAGTAAACAAATTAAAGATTCAAGTGATAATTTATATCTTATGTGCAATTAATGACTGTATTTTGTAGTATTTATCACCATATTTTTACTGCGTTACTAACGCATTAGGGGCTATTTATGCATGTTTCAACCTTTTTTTTGGTAATTTACGTGGATTTTAAGTGCCGATTGTAACGTGTCAAGTACTTTCTTTGTTCATTTAACAATATTTTACCTTTAAATACATTTTCAAAATTTTCATGAAAATTAGGATGAATCTGGAGGAGTGCTGCTTTAAAGTTAACATAACATATTTACAACTTTATAGTTTTAACATACTTTTTACAAACAATATTTACAACATATATTCATGTCATATCTAATTGTTTAGTAACCAGTCAACTGTATAAATACAATGCAAACATCTTTCATTTAAATCACAACAGTCTTTTGTTGCCTTTCACACCTTCACACCTCTGTTCAATTTAATCCAAAGTAAATAATAACTTTTTATGGTGCTAACAATATTACTTTTTTCACTTGAAATGGGATTTTTTAGAATAAAAGAAATTAATTAATTAGTGTTTATTTTGCTCTTTTACTAGTAAATACAAAGTAATAAAAGATTTTAATAAGGATATTAAGGTAAAGAGTTATTGAGTCTGTTTATCTTAATTTAATTTTTACTTAAAGTATTTGGTGCTTTTTATGATGAATACTTTGTTAACATATGAAGGAACATTGCAGCAAATTATCTTTAGATTTGATAACTTCACAAAAATAAGATATAGTTAATGTAATTTACAGCTTTATTTTATGACAAAAATTGATGTTATTTTTAATTTTCATCAAAACCAAAAGTACTGGGTAATGCAGTAGCAGTACCACTTTTTAAGACAGTAATGCAGTACCAGTACCAGTAGTAGCAAAATTTTGTAAGAGTAATTCAGTATCAGTACCAGTACTTGCAAAATCGCTGCAGTACGTACTGCAGTACCAGTACCAGTACCAGTAATGCAGCTCTGTTGGAAGCTCACTGCTGTGGGTTTGAATCCTGACGGGGACTTTTGATTCTTTCATGTTAGGATGTTATCTAGCTAGCTTACGGAATGTCATCGGTTTAACTGGGGGGACCGTTTGTGCCTTAAATAATGCACAGAAGGGCACCTGAGATATTCCTCCACCAGTAAAGCTGGAACGTGTCTATATGACCTATACTGTATGGGTGTGATGTAAAACCCAATCAAACAAACAAACAAATGTTAAGAAGTTGAAAATTTATAGAATTTGAAAAAAGATGATTTTATAAGGCCCCATCTTAAATTAATTAGATATTAATGAGCTTTGAAGGCCAGTATGTATATATTTTTCAGTATCTTTATATTAAATATGATGATGTTTACAAATTTTGTGATTTTATGTACAGAATAAGCAGCAGTCTTTCGAGGTGAAAAAAGAATTACAGAACATTCTGTCAGAGATGATGAATGATGATGATAATCCGAAAGAGGTAATAACCGTTATTATTATACACTTATGATCTACACCTATATCATTATATATCCACCTTGCATATACAGGTCAGACTTCTAGTAATAAATATGGCAGTAATAAATGTCATCACTAGATGCACTATGTTTATATAGTCTGCCTATTTATCTTGTATTTTGTATATTGATAGTTTGGTTAAATTGATTACATATGTGTTTGTACAAAATCTGCCTACTATGTGTAAAGGATAATGCTGGGTGTCTATTCCGTCGATTATTGCATTTATCTAACCAGATAGATTTGTTAAAGGGACTCCACTAAGTTTTTTAGACATGACAGGTCTGGAAATAGTTTTCCGAGCTTTCTGTATGTTTTAATGTAGATTGGGATCTGTAACTTGTGTGCAAAATTTCATTTGATTGACTGATCCTGTTTTCATAGAATTTATGTTGTGGAAAATAGCCCAAATTTTTTTTAAAGCCCTACAATGCTTTTCACTCAAATCTGAAAAAAAAAATGGATTTTTGATTTCATTTCTTAGTATATTTCTTTATTATCATATTTGCTCTTTTTTTTAATTCAAGTGCTCCTCCACTATATGTTTGCAAACTTTTATACTTTTAGACCCTTGGATCTTAGTGGAGTTCTTTTAAAAATTAACAACAAAGGCTCCTGGATAGTGTACAAAACTGGGCACTGTCCCATAAAAATACTTTCAGTGTTAAAGGAATATTTAAAAAAAAATATATTTGAAAATGTCTTGGCCTATAAGTTTGTTTAGATAATGATTTATGCGTCTATTTTCAGATTGTGGCATATTTGGTGGAATATATGAAAAAGCAAGGCTTAGGTGACTCAGAAATTGTTATACACGTAAGTCAACTTGAATTTTATTGTCCATTTTGTGTTATATACATGAACAACATTTGTTCATCTTTGCAATGATTATGCTGCTTTGAATACAGACAATGCAATGTAACAATCATTTCATTATATATTCAGTATAAGAAATACCTATCCAGTGCTCTCCACTGGTAAAGCTGGACCGTCACCATTTGATCTATACTGTGTTGGTGTGACTTACAATGAAATTTAGAAAAAAATAGAAATAACCAAAATCAATTTCATTACAACATGACATGTCTGATTATAATGGCTTATTGCCGTTAAAAAAAGTTGAAATAAAATTAAAATGAATAAAAGAAATGTAGACGACCAATGCTTCTTATGTAGCTGAATATTCTTCATAAGGCAGGTGCAGACCCCTGTTGATAGACCCAAATCTATGTCCTAATTTATCAGCAGAAATAACTATTTATCTTTTCACACTGAATATAAACAATCATGAATGAAAAATGTAAGTCTCTGCAAAAAAACGAAAACATTTCTACTTGGTGATAATGATATCTGCAATTGTCTTGAGGTACTGCTCCAACACTGTACTGAGATAAATCTGTATTAATTATTACCATCTGTATTTTGTATGCAGGTTTGGAACACTATAATGGCCCAGGTTGAATGGAATAAGAAAGAAGAGCTGGTAGCTGAACAAGCCATCAAGCATTTAAAGAAATACTCGCTGGTAATGGCTGCCGTAGCAAAGTCGCTGGAGGCAGAAATCAAGCTGATCGTGAAAGTACAGGAATACTGCTATGAAAATATGGTCTTTATGAAAGTCTTTCAAAAGATTATTGTTCTGTTCTATAAAAGTAAGTGTGGCCTTCTGAATTATAGTGAAAAAGGTTTGGATATAATGAGACAGATTTTAAATCAGAATGTAAATTTTGTTTCTGAACAACCCTTCAGTAAACTTACTTATATAATGCCTAAGCATCAGAGATCTGTTGTAAATAAAAAATCTTGTTCGTTTTGATGCAAGATACAATTATAATTAACTTAGCACAAGGGGTGTCCATGACTGAGTGGTAAACGTCGTTGACTTTAAACCACTGTAGTCTGGAGTGGCGTAAGCGTTTAAGGATTCTTTAATATGAGAAAGCTATCAAGCTAGCTTATGGAACATCGGTGGTTTTACTTAGGTGCCTGTTTGTGCCTGAAATATTGTAGAGAGGGACCAAAAATAAAAAAAACAAAACTCTGAACACTAGCTGTTACAATTGTATATGTTGTGGCTTGTGTGAAAAAAAAACAAAAACTGTATGCAGTATGGTAACTTCTTATATCTTCCACTGAAACAAATTAATGAGCTGCGTCATGACAAAACCAACATAGTGCGTATGCGACCAGCATGGATCCAGACCAGTCTGTGCATCCGCGCAGTCTGATCAGGATCCATGCTGTTCGCTATCAGTTTCTCTACTTGTTATAGAGTTGGTAAGCGAACAGCATGGATCCTGATCAGACTGCGCGGATATGCAGGCTGGTATGGATCCATGCTGGTCGCAAACCCATTATGTTGGTTTTGTCGTGATGCGGCTCAAATGTCCTCTATGTAAAATGTACATCCATTAAACTGTTTGTTGTATTATAGATATTATAATAGTTGATGTTGTATTATGTTACAGCTGATGTATTGAGTGAGGACAGTATAATGAAGTGGTACAACGTATCTCACTCTACCAAAGGCAAGAGTGTGTTCCTTGAACAAATGAAGACATTTGTAGAATGGCTGCAAAATGCTGAAGAAGGTATTTACTTAGTTATGAACCCTTTTTCTATCAAATAAAGATGTTTGCTACTATATATTGATCTAGTTGGTTCGTGAATCAAAATCCTTTCTATGCAAGATTGTTTTTCTGCAGTTTGGCAGATTAATTCTAAAGTTAGTTTGATTCTTTGTGTTGACCAGATGAAGCTTTTTAGCTCGACTATACGAAGTATATGGAGAGCTGTCCTACTCGCCCCGGCGTCGGCGTCCGCGTCCAGATTTTAGATTAAAGTTTTGGTGCAGTAAAATATTTTTCACTATAACTTTGTCATTTCTTAAGGTATCAACTTCAAACTTCAAATATATGTTCCTTATCATCAACCACATCTTATGTGACAAGGTTCATAACTCTAGCACCAATATTTTCAGATTTATCTCCCCTTGAACTTAGAATTTTCCCTTAAAAAATACTATTTTTTACTGATACTTCTTTATTTCTTAAGGGATCTACCTCATACTTTAGTAAGGGATCTACCTCATACTTTAAATATATTAACGTTATCATCAACCACATCTTATGTGACAAGGTTCATAACTCTAGCACCAATATTATCAGATTAATCTCCCCTTGAACTTAGAATTTTCCTTAAAAAATACTATTTTTTACTGATACTTCTTTATTTCTTAAGGGATCAACCTCATACTTTAAATATATTAACGTTATCATCATCCCCATCTTATGTGACAAGGTTCATAACTCTAGCACCAATATTTTCAGATTTATCTCCCCTTGAACTTAGAATTTTCCTCAAAAAATACTATTTCTTACTGTTTCTTCTTTATTTCTTAAGGGATCAACCTCATACTTCAAATATATTTACGTTATCATCATCCCCATCTTATGTGACAAGGTTCATAACTCTAGCACCAATATTTTCAGATTTATCTCCCTTTGAACTTAGAATTTTCCATAAAAAATATTATTTTTGACTGTAACTTATTTATTTCTAAAGGGATCAACTTTATACTTCAAATGTATTTACGTTATCATAATCCACATGTTATGTGACAAGATTCATAACTCTAGCACCAATATTGCAAGAATTATCTCCCCATAAACTTAGATTTATTTACTAGAAAAATATTATTTTTAGCTCACCTGTCACAAAGTGACAGGGTGAGCTTTTGTGATCGCTTTTCGTCCGGCGTCCGGCGTCCGTCCGTCGTCCGTCCGTCGTCCGTCGTCCGTAAACTTTTACTTTAAATGACATCTCCTCATAAACCACAAGGCCAATTTCATCCAAACTTCACAGAAATGTTCCTTTGGTGGTCACCTTTAAAAATTGTTCAAAGAATTTAATTCCATGCAGAACTCTGGTTGCCATGGCAACCGAAAGAAAAAACTTTAAATATCTTCTTTTAAAAAACCATAAGAGCTAGAGCTTAGATATTTGGCATGAAACATCTTCTAGTGAGTGTCTACCAAGTTTGTTCAAATAAAAGCCCTGGGGTCAAAATTGGCCCCGCCCCGGGGGGTCATTGATTTTCCCTATATGCATATAGTAAAAACTTAAAAATCTTCTTTTAAAGAACTCAAAGAGCTATGGCTAAGATATTGAGCATCAAACATGTTCTAATAGGTGTCTACCAAGTTTGTTCAAAGAAAAGCCCTGGGGTCAAAATTGGCCCCGCCCCAGGGGGTCATTGATTTTCCCTATATGCATATAGTAAAAACTTAAAAAATCTTCTTTTAAAGAACCAAAAGAGTTAGAGCTAAGATATTTAGCATGAAACATGTTCTAATAAGTGTCTACCAAGTTTGTTCAAATAAAAGCCCTGGGGTCAAAATTGACCCCGCCCGGGGGGGTCATTGATTTTTCCCTATATATGCATATAGTAAAAACTTAAAAATCTTCTTTTAAAGAACTCAAAGAGCTTTGGTTAAGATATTTAGCATCAAACATGTTCTAATAGGTGTCTACCAAGTTTGTTCAAATAAAAGCCCTGGGGTCAAAATTGGCCCCGCCCCGGGGGTCATTGATTTTCCTTATATGTGTATAGCAAAAACTTAAAAAATCTTTTTTGAAAAAACCCAAATAGCTAGAGTTAAGATATTAAGCATGAAACATCTTTTAGTGAGTGTCTACAAAGTTTGTTCAAATAAAAGACCTGGGGTCAAAATTGGCCCTGCCCCGGGGTCATTGATTTTACTTATATGTGTATAGCAAAAACTTAAAATCTTCTTTGAAAAAACCCAAATAGCTAGAGTTTAGATATTAAGCATGAAACATATTCTAGTAAGTGTCTACAAAGTTTGTTCAAATAAAAACCCTGGGGTCATAACTGGCCCGGCCCCAGGCGTGTCATTGTTTTTAACTATATGTGTATAGTAAAAACTTTAAAAAAATCTTCTTTTAAATAGCCCAATGAGCTAGAGCTTAGATGTTTTAGCATGAAACATTTTCTTATGGGTGTCTACCAAGTTTGTGCAAATAAAAGCCCTTTGGTTAAATTGGCCTGCAATGTTTGGGGGGGGGGGGGTTGGGGAGGCCTATATACAGGTGAGCGACCTCAGGGCCATCATGGCCCTCTTGTTTATTTTAACTGTTTTATTTTTAAAGATATCTACCTCAAACTTCAAATACTTATTCCTTATCATCAATTACATTTTATGTGACAATGTTCATAAATCTTGAAGCAATATTTACAGATTTATCTCTCTTTGAACTTAGGTTTTCTTTAAGAAATATAATAACTTCTTTATTTTTTAAGGTATCTACTTCAAACTTCAAATATATATTTCTTATCATTACACAAATGTTGTGTGGTAAGGTCCATAACTCTAGCATGACTATTTCTAGAATTATTCCCCTTGATCTTGGAATTTATGTTAACAAATGTTATTTTTTTACTATAACTTAATACATAATTATACATAATTGATTTTTCTTTCATAGTTTTGTCCTCCTTACTGCGTCCAGTAGTTTATTAGTCGAGCTTCGCTGTCTCCTGTGACAGCTCTTGTTAGATTTGTTATCAGATGACCAGTGATTATTTCTAGCTGTTAAAGCAAACATACTCTTCATACACCAGTTGAAATAGACACTACAGCAATTACCAGTATCTACTGATATATAATGAAGTTTTATGACAGAAGTGTCTTAATTGTTCAATCAAGACGATGTTTTTGTTGTCAGTATCTTAATGTCCTACTTATTGAGAGTGAAATATCAAAGTCCTATTTTCGTTTTGGTTAAAATTCTTATATGTGCCTGCATGTGAAATTTGGAAGTTGACATGTTGTTAAAAATCTTTTATTGTGTCCGTGAGGTGAAATATATACAGGTACTCAATTTTGGTATATGTTATACTTAAAGCATTAGTTCATCTTAAAGATATATTGCGCTCAAATTTTAAAAGGACCAAAGTAACTTGACCGGTTACAGGGAATGCAGCCTCTTATTGAACACATTTTCTCATCCAAATTATTCAGTAAGAATTGACTAGATGTCAATAAATTTCGGCAATTAATGTCTGCATGTTGACATTTTGTTAAAGTAAATAATATTATATTTCATTATGATGATATCATATGATGATGTATTTTATTTTTACTTTATTTTCAGAATCTGATGAAGAAGATTAGAAAGGGGGCAGAACTCTCATTGTAGAATATTTGATGGTATGGAGTTGTCTCCCTTGGCCCATGTTATAATACGAACATTTAGAATGGAGTTGCATGCCTTTATTTAGCATAGTAATGACAACTGCCTACCTATATCAGGGACATAGATTGTCCCTTTCGGACTGTAAAAATAATAGATTTTTTTTTGTGTAAATAGTTTAAAAAATCCAAAAATTTCCTTACAGTGCATGTTCTCATTGTGTGTAACAATTTTTTATTACAAAACTTGTCATAAAGATATTTGTATGTATGATATTTGAGCGACTTTTGTAACTAACTCGATGTATTGTAAAGGATATATCTTCTTGAGACAAAATGTGCGTGCAATTTTGATACATTTTTGGATCAAAGTGCAGGCAGTTATATTTTGTACTCGGAAGAATTATTTATTACTGTATGTATTTTTACTTGGAATCAGGGGGAGAGTTTACAGGCCACAGATCAGATTGCTGTGTATAATAACTTTAAATTTTGCATTTTTATATTTAAAGGGAAGCATTTTTTTTGCGTGCTGTGAAGAAGTTTGTATCACTATCACACATCTTGTTTGTAAAAGTTCGCCTTGATCTCTTGTAGATTATGCTCGATAGTTTTTTTCTCAGTCGCTCGTAACCGTTCAATGAAATTTGTATGTATTGAAAAACAAAAATGGCGTAAAGGTGCATATGTATTAGTGAACTGACATTATAATTTGAATTTTATTTTGATGTGAGATTGGATGATTGGATTGGATGATCAGAAAAATGCATTTTTTTTTCTTCTAAGTAATTAGTAATTTATCATACATAGGTATATATATATTTTGCGATTTTTTTCCCTCTCTTCACAGTTCAGTATTGTGTTCTGTTTGATGAAATTAAATGACTTTCTATGAAAGTTTTTAGATTTATTAAAAAACGCTTTTGGCTTAAAGTGCTTCATTAAATATTCGGTGTTTACATATTTCTACGCCAAATATGGTGTATTGGTTTTATTGCTTATATGAATATATATATAGATATTTCATCTCTTGATTTTTTTTTTCTTCAATTTTTGTTTTTTTATTGTATTCATGAAATGTAATACATGAAATATACATGGCAGGTCATTTAAATATTGTTTTCTTTTTCACTGAGTGTTATTGGCTGGTGTATAAATGATAGGTGCTTGTATAAGTGGTAAGAATAAAATCAAAATATTATTACTTTATTGCCACTGACTCTTTACCTGAAGAATTTCAACCAAAACAAGAAATAAAATCGGATTTTTTGAAGTTTGTGAACTAATCTGTAAATACATAATAACCATTGGTTGATTTTAAATTCTTTCTCTAAGGCAACCAATGAAATCTCTCGATTTGCTGACTGGTTTACAAATGTATTCTGATGATTCTGAACTTGACTGTGCTAATTTCATAGAAGCATAACCCTGTCATTTTGTTTCACAAGTGCAATTAAAAGTTGATTCTCGAGGAATTTGCAGTGTTTAGATTGAATAATGAATGAAGTATTGCATTGATACGTTGCTGGCATTCTTTGAAATATATACATATTTTTATCTTCTAAAATTTCTGGTTAAGGTTTAAATTAGAAGTATTTGGACTTTGAAATAAGAAAGAAAGAAGATTCTTCTAAGTGAAAAGATTTCCTAAGCATTATCTATTTCCATAGATTCTAATTAATTTCTATTTTCCAGCGAGGGAATTGTATTTTTATAGATCATTTGTATAAAGTAGCAGTCATTTTGTAATATATATATACAGTAGATATACTATATATAGAAGTATGGACAGAGGCTTGTATTTTCACCGCAATACTGATTTTGTTTTCTTTTTTTTTTGTGATCAGGGAATTGACAAATTATCTACATATATATGATCATGTCATAAAATAATTGTGAAACCTCAAAATACATGACTCAGTGGGAATGAAATTGTTGTATTTCGTATTTTGTACCTTGTAAAAATATGTATCCAAAAAAAATTAAAAGACAGATTAAATGTTTCTTTTTATAAAGGGTTTTGTTTTCATGTATACATTGTATTTTTTCTATGTCACTGATTACAGTAGCCACCCATTTCACCCTATTTAAATATCCTAAATGGACTTGTCCATCTTTTTGAGAAGCAACCGTAAATCAAGGGATAATTTCAAAACATGAACTGAATGAATAGCAATCTAGTGCAGACTGGTTGCATAGGTAGAATTGGAAGCTGCTAGCACATTAAAAGTTCAGGTTTCTTGCTTAAAGGCTTGAAGAATAGATGGTTATCTTGTGTAATACAAGACTGCCGAAAGTTTTGTGCCGGCTTGAGACCATTGCCAGTGGATATTTATAATTGATAGGACAGGAGTTAAACTGTCACACAAGTACAGAATTGGCCTACAGGCATTGTTTTTGCTGAACAAGGGAGATTATAATATGGATACAGTATTGTATCAAAAACTGACTATTAAGTAAGTAATTGTATTTTCTAGCCTAGATTTCATGCATATGAAACCGCCTCCATGGTCGAGGGGTAAAGTCGATGACTAATAATCCAGTTACCTCTCTGGCGTGGGTTCGATCCCTGGGAGATGCTTTGGTAGTTTAGCACGGAGAAAGGTAGTCTAGTACTGGTGTAACTTTCCAGGAACGATGGTTAGGAAACTACCCGCCTATATGACAGAAATACTGTTGGGGGGGGGGGGGGGGGAAGGCGTAAAATGAAACAGACAAACATCATACATAAAATTATGATGTGGGATCTACACTTTTTATTCTCGTGGAGTCTCTTCATTTCACATATGGTGCAACAGATTTATTCTGTCCCAGGTTTTCATTAAGCAATGTAGTTTGTTTCTCACTGAAGGAAATAAGCATTGGACTTGTACCCATGACCTTTTGATCCCAAAGCATGTGACCAATGCTACTTGTACAGGTATCTTTGGTAAACTTAGGTTTGGTTTTATGTTGCACCAACACTGTCAAGGTCATATATCAACTACAGTTTTTTACTGGACCAGTGAAGGACAATCTTGAGCGTCCCTCCGTGCATTATTTCAGGCACCCAACCGGCACATGAGTAGAACCACTAACATTCTGTAAGCTAGCTAGATAGCTTTCACTAATAAAAGAATCATAAGTCCATGGTGAGGGGTAAATGGTTTGAATTCTTTGACCTTATTCATTCAGGGCCTCAGACGCCCCATTTTTCGAATGTATTATGGTATACATATTCTATAAATAGACTTTGAAAAAACAGTATTACTGGACCTGTTTGTCTTTCAAACTCCAAGATGTTACCCGTTTGTATTTTAAACTGCAAGAGACCGTTAATTTCTATGGAAAACTAAATGCATAGCCAACAGTGCAGACAAAGATCAGAGGGCACGGATATATCCACCTGATTTTGGTCTGCACTGGTTGCATGAGAAGAATAGCCATTACTTGTGGCTAGAAGGCAAAGGGTAAAATAACAAAGAAGATGATATATAAATTCAAAATAATATATTTATCATTAATATTTGGATCATCTGTATCACAACATATCTGCTTACCAAATTATGTACACGACTAGAGTTGTAACAAAAACACATTTACACCAGACTGTCTCATGGAAAATGTTCATGTTCTCAGTGAAAAAAGTTCAACATACTTGGACACAGTCTAAAATTTTGAAATGACCTTCCTGGCAAGGTGATAAGACTCGTATTGATACTATAAATAACTCCTTTTTTTTACGTCTGCTGCAAATTAAGATAGTGACATACATGTTTTTATGTTTACTTTTTTTGATGTAAGAATGATGTAAACATTTTATTTGAATTACTAAGTTGCCAAATTTATGAACAGGAACCAAAAGTTAGACAATTTGAAAATATGTTGCTTAAAATTTCAGTTTGGCATAAACACTAACTAACCCCAATGTTCCTGAATTTGTGTAATGGAATTGCCCTGCTTTTAATTTGGAACAGTCCGTATCACTACCAAAATAATAAAATTCAGTTGCCAATAGTGTAGTGCATGGTAAAACTGCAAAGATGTGCAAACTGGCGAGGCTCAAAACTGGTGGCAGACCCCTAGTCTGTTATTATTGTCATCACAACACATAGGCCATGAAGGTCAATCAAAATTTTCAGGCACACATGTAGCGATATAAAAAAAGATATGTTGTTATGAATATAATGTTGATGTAAAATTTACAATGTTTGTATTATGAAACAGGATGTTGTTATTACAAAAGAGAAAATACAGAAGGCTAAGTTATATTATATGAAATACGGTATTACCTCTTATAATTGCACCTATTACGAAAGTGCATGTCCAATAGTAATTTAAAATCGACCCTTTAAAGCATATTTATTAACATTCCCTTTTATTCCAGAAAAATGAAATGGCTGACTTAATTAATCATCACTGCAGATTCTTGTAGAGCATTCAATTAGAATATTTTTTTTAAAAAATCCCCAAAAAAAATTTCTGTATAAATTAAGATATTTTTGCTAAATAAATCTTTCCTTAGAGAATATATCTCCTTTTGAAAAAAATGAAATTGTGTGGAACTAATGTCACCAATTCTAACTTATAGAAATTTTTTGAAAAACAAATTGACTATTAATGTGATCAATAAATTAACTATGGAAAACTATAGAAAATAACATACAACTGAACAATGCTAGACTTTATAACTAGAAATCATATTAATGTATATAAATCTGTTAAAATTAACATGTACATTCATCTTTCCTTACTCAAAAACAAAACAAAATGTTTGGCTAACTATTGATTATTAAATGATAAAGATCAGGATACAAAAATTTAACATTAAACAAAAATGGATAACACTTATAAAAAGATAGCATATTTTTTGTTATATAACATACATAACTTGGAACATTATATGCAGTTGAACAAATTTCATTAAATCTATGAGACAGATCATATATACATTTATAAATTGTTTCTGTCTGTTAAAATTTAAACATGTTTCCAATCATATTAAATTTATTTTTTTCCTTAATTCAATTTTAGTTTATCAGGTAGTAAAAAGAATATATATCCAGTCTAAATCTAACAGTTTTCATTGGATAATTTTTAAAAACTTATTCACACATCAACCAATGAAATGTCAGAAATTTTAAAACCAGTCTGCAGAAGATGTGTTTTCATTGGTTCATTTCAAACTTATTTAATTTGGTGCTTATTTAATACAGATTTTTTCCCTTTCCAATTTGTTTGCCTATGAACATCCTTTTCAGACTCTCTGATAAAAAAATGGACACACTTCTGCAAAAGCTATTGGATAAAACCTGGGAAAACTTAAAAGACGTCCCAGATATAACTATATCAAGAAGATATTGGCAGCTGTAAAATAAACAAGATAAAACGAAAGAAAGTAAAACAATACATACATAAACAATAAAGTTTGATTACACTTACATGCAAATGAGGAACTTTTATTATTTATAAAATATTTGTATATACATGGGATGGATATGTAAATGATATAAAATAACAGAAATAATACCTTCGTCAACAACAAAATCTTAAAATAAAATTCAGTAAATACATAAAATTTCAGTAAAAAAAGGTCAACACAAAAAAAAATGATAGTAATGTAAAATGCTTTTCTGGGAAGACATAATTTGATATTCTTGCAAAAAAAAAACAACAACCAAAAAACACCTTATATAAGGAAAATATGTTTTAACATTAACCATTATATTAAAATAATCTTGCAAATTAAATAATAACTCACAAGTTCAATCTGGAAATGATAATGTAATGTTATAAACACCTTTGCTCAGATTTTTTTTACCTACTAGAGGGATTTTTAATAGATAGTGAAAAAAAACCCAAAGAAACCAAGACAATAGAAGCAGCATTGTTAGTTATTTTACAGGACATCTTTAATTGAATTTAAAAACAACTGGGACAATGTTAGTGAAGACTTATTTCTTTTTTTTTTTCATTCAAAGTTCAAGGACACCAGGTATGTAAAAATGACCTTGAACTTTGACCTGATTGTCTTTAAATGTCAACATGACTTGGTGTTAATACATGCTTGTAATCTTATAATGATTTTTGTCTTACTTGTAGTTTAAAACAAGATGTTATATATTTTCTCTCTCATACCATTTCTTTTCATATTCAAACAATTGATATTATAAAACAATTGATAAATAAAAAAGCTCAACTGATGAAGAATTTCATTCAATTCAGATTACTAAATTTTATGCAACTCAGTTTACAGCATTAAGAAAGCTACCCAAAACTTCACAAGTCTGATATATGCCAAATTCTTGAATGTAAAATTTAAAGATAAAACTGTAAAGCATCAAATTTGACACAATGACGGATTTGAAAATTAAAAATTTGACCTGATATGATCTAAAGATATGTGTATAGAGGCATTTCTTAAGTGTTGTGCAAAATAAACATTTGTACATATTATTTCTTATACATATTCATCAGGGTATCTAATATAGGGGATAAAAACATCGTAAAATAGTTTTGTGTGGATTTTTTTTAGGTTTTTAAAGAAAACATTTGCAAGAAATCTAAATACAGCTGTTTAAATTTATAACAAGAAAAATATTTCACATTCCTAAAATAAACTTCTCAGACTAAAAAAAAACTAACAAAATTCTGGAGAAATTACAAAGTAAGATATACATAGTATATCATATAAATTTACAAAGTGTATGACATATTTCCTACAACTTATTTTTTATCTTGTAAGCTGTGATAAATTTATACATTTAATATTTTTCTATGAATAATGGTGATGAACATTTGGATATGTATTTAAATTATAACTTAAAATAATTCTTGTGTGGTTATGCCCTTTGTTTACATTGAGATTTGCAAAAAATGTATGAACACAATTCATATTGGCACAATGCCTTCAAAAATGATTCTTGAACTTCACTAGCATCTATTATATGATTCATTAACTTCACTAACTTTTTTCATATGATTCATTAACTTCACTAGCTTTTGTTATATGATTCATGGACTTCACTAGCCTTTATTATATGATTCATGGACTTCACTAGCTTTTGTTATATGATTCATGGATTTCACTTGCCTTTATTATATGATTTTGAACTTCACTAGCTTTTATTATATGATTCATGAACTTCACTAGCTTTTGTTATATGATTGATGAACTTCACTAGCTTTTGTTATATGATTTATGGACTTCACTAGCCATAATTATGATTCATGAACTTCACTAGCTTTTGTTATATGATTCATGGACTTCACTAGCTTTTATTATATGATTCATGGACTTCACTAGCTTTTGTTATATAATTCATGGACTTCACTAGCTTTTGTTATATGATTCATGGATTTCACTTGCCTTTATTATATGATTTTGAACTTCACTAGCTTTTATTATATGATTCATGAACTTCACTAGCTTTTGTTATATGATTCATGGTCTTCACTAGCTTTTGTTATATGATTCATGAACTTCACTAGCTTTTATTATATGATTCATGGACTTCACATGCTTTTGTTATAAGTAAATGTGTGGAAATAAAATTAGGTTTCAGAAATTTAGTAAGATACAATATGTAATGTGTTTACACTATTTTTTCAGCATGAGAGCAACACATGAAATATTGTACTCACTTTAAATGCAATAAATAGGAAATCAAATTGACATGTTCAAATTTTATTCTTTGAAAATAATATGGTCATTTGGCAAGAATGCATGTTTAGTATTTTAAATAATGACAAAAATTTGAACAAATGATAATAAATAACTGAATTTATAATGAAATTATGGTAAAACCGGGGTACAAGACTACAAATACTAAGGAAAAAGACTGGTCCTAAATCCTAAATATTTGATTCGTTAATTTTCCGTACAATAAATTTGAATCAAACCAATCACAGGACAGCTTACACAAACAATGACCAATAGTAAAGCTGCCTACATTTAATTTTAGAAAAGTAAGTATTTGATGCCATCTTCCATGAAAACTTTCTTAAATAACCTTAGAAACCAACCAATCAAAATGCTTCTGATTTTTTTCAGACTGGTTCACAATCCAAGATTTATTTTTGGTTAAAAAGTCTGCTGCTGAAATTGAAATATGAACACAGTCACACAGTATGATACAAATGCTATCACATCTCTTATAAAACATCTGAGTATAACAGGGAATGGCTATCATTTTATATCTTGCTATATATAGCAAGAGTTCAATCATCTAATATCATTAAATATCAAACGCAATAATATCCTAAACATGCATACATACAAAAGATACATTTACAAAAATACAAAATTACAACCCAGCACATTTTCTATGGAATTCAAAATCCAGACTCTAAATAAATAAACTGGGACTTTCCCCGACAACAAGACTTTGGTGTGCTTATAACTCAGATACATGAATCCATATTAATCCATATTAAAGGAATATCACAACACTGTCTGATTTTGTTCATTAGATATACATGTTCATGCATACTGTTTTGTGCTGTTCTATTCCCTTCTTTAAAGTGTACAAAAATGATTTCTTGTATAAAAAATCGTACAAATAACATATAAAAATTGGTTTCTTTGGCATATGAAATAGGATGCAAGTTCCTTTTTTAGTGGGTCTTGATGGGTTTGAAGTCTTTTTTGACACTGCTAAGGTCACATGACAACTTTTCAGCTTTACTATTGGAGGAAAAGCCCAGAAACCCCACCTATTCATTATTTCAGTGAAGAGTGAGCAGTTTGGCATTATCAACAACTTCCAAATGTTAGCTGGATAGCTTCCTCACATGACCAACCCCTAACATCACTGGTGGAATTTGAACCTGAAGAGCGGCAAATGATTGGCAGTCAGTGGGCTTAACCACATCCCCATGTAGCCACTTGATTCATGTTACAATACTTGAATATCATGTACAAGTCCAAGAAAAACTTTCAAACCCTTAAAAATTAATTAAGGACAGAATAACCAGCTCAAGACTTCTGCCCAAAAGAAGTTATACACAAAAATTGTTAACAAAATGTGTACCACACAGTACTGTCCCTTTAAATTATAGCTTGTAACTAATATATTAACATAAAATGAATTATAACATAACAGGCAGAACAACATTTTGCCACCATCATAGTTTTACATTTGAACTCATAACTAAGATCAGAAAGTAAAATACTGCTTAAAACAGCCACTGGTTGTTGCCATGTTGCCACTTTTCATTTTGCTGATGTGTCCTTGGCAAAAGCATTTCTCTCCTCAGAAGTGGCTGATGTATGCCGGTTAAATGTTCCAAACATGGTCATCATAGGTAGACGTACTTGTAGGCAGACGTACTTCTTCTATTTATTGACAACAGTGTTGATATTGTCAGATAAATGTCTCTTTCACACTCATTCTTCACTTGTCCATGCATTCCCTACTTCCGAAGCACATTACAGCACCAAAGTATAGCTTTAAATTACTAATTTCTGTAATTATTATCTCTCCAAATTACTTATGTCCATAATAGAAATCTCTCAAAATGAGTAGTGTCTGTAATTAATATTTCTTTTAATTACTAATTTCAGTTATTAACATGTTTCATAATTACTTAATTTCTGTAATTAGCATATTTCTATACAACTAATTTCTGTAAATATACATTTTAATTACTAATTTCAGTAATAACAATACTCATATTTTGTAATTACTAAAAAGTAATTAATATCTCATCTTTCTTAATTACTAAATTCTGTAATAGTCAATGGTAGAAAAAACCCTCACATTTTCAGTTATATTCATGTACATATACTGTCAATGCAGATGAATTCTCAAAAAATGTATATTTCACCAATTTCCTGTGACTTGTAACTTACATTGTTTTACCATTGGCTTACACTAATAAGAGGTTATACAACCTTTTAACCTCTTTAATTACACATATGGTAGTTAGTGTAGGGAACTTATGGTTTCAATTTATTTCCAGCGCTTATTATGTATGTATTATTTTCAAATAATCACTTCTCCCTATGCATGCTTTTCAAGCATGTACCTAATTTCCGGTCCCCTCGAATAATTTAATAATGCTACTTTTCAATACATTGCACTTATTCCAAGTAATCTCGTGAAATCAACAAACAGATTCAAGTATTTAAACCAGTCTGTGAAAATCTGGCACAGTCTATCATACGAGATATCCTCGCATATCGTCGGTGGGGTCGGTTTGTCCTGGTGAGGGGGTTCTTCCCGACGGACCGTTATAATGAGGATTGTTAATCACATTAATGTTATTACCGAATGATGTTGATGAACCTAAAAATAGAAAAAAGCATTTTAATAAAATTAGTAGTGTCAATAATTAATTCTTGGGTTGGGTTTACGTTGCTTCAACACTGTAAATGTCATATGGCCCCTTTCCAGATTTTCTGGAGGAGGAAGACCTCCGGTGCCCCTTTCGTGCAAAAATAGGCTTAATCTCTTTGTAAAATAGAACAAATAGGATCATGCATGAACTACATGTACTGGGGTATGTATGCAGTTTTCCCAATTAAAAGGTTAAACTTTCATATGTTTTATCAAATGTATTCATTTAACACTTTTATTTAACTTCTTTTTGAACAAATTTCAAGCTTCCCTCTTTTTGAGACAATTGGCAAGACATTCTTTTCCCATTTCACATATTTGGGTTATTTCAGAAATGATAAGTAAAAGATCTGTTTTTATGTCATTTCTACTACCAGATTTACACTGGCAATAAAATAAATAATAATATAAAATATTGTAAGGTCAGTCTGCAGTGGAAGCCATTTTCATATAGTTATTATAAGGTACAAACCTGGTGGTGGTACATATCTAGGCTGGGGAATATCTTGAGACTCGTAGTTCCTGGCAGGTAGAGGTGGGATATCTGCCGCACCTTTACTGGAAGACCTCACTGGGGGAGGGGGTGGGGTCTTGTTTACCCCACGACTAGATGGTCTACTTGACCTTTCTGACAGCTCTGTTATACTCTAAAATATAATTTAGAAAAAGATTAACCATCTTCCCTCTCTAAATGTATATCACTGCCATGGCTTCCTTTTTTTCTGTTTAGACATAAAAAAAATCTTTATTCAATATTTATTTCAAGTAGTGATTTTCCCTAGATTAAATTCTAAATGTTTTTTTTTTCTTAACAGACTTTTCTACTTTCGATCTTAAAACTATTTCTTTGTAAAAATGTTAAATCTTAAAATTAATTTCTTTCATAACTGAAAAATATAAATAGACTGTACAATAAATATTTGAAGTCATCAATATGATGAAACAATAAATGTTAATACCTTAGGTCTTGTACCCCCAGCATGACCATTAGGTTCATATTGAGGTCCAGAATAATCCTTGCCCCTGTCAGGATAATCAGTGTCAAATGTCCCTTTTCCACGATATACTTTACTAGTGTATGGATCTAGAAAAAAAAGTATGTAGTTTATTTTAGAATGTATCATCAATTATTGTAACATACACAGAGCTACATTATAAAGACATGCCCATATTGTAATCAGCCCACATTGGAATAAGGTCACATTGCAGCAAGTCCACATTGCAGTATGTCCACAATGCAGTGGGCCAACATTACAGCATGCCCGCATTGCAGTAAGTCCACACTGCAGTAAGTCCACATTGTAATAAACACACGTTAAAGTACCATAAGCCGACATTGCAATAAACCCACATTGCAATAAGTTCACAAATGAGGTAGGAATTTCTTGAAATCACGCAATAAGAAATAAGTGTTATTGGTACTACTTATATTATACTTTATGATTTGTAGGTTTATATATACTCTATGTTTTCCACTGGATTGTATTAGAATTGATAATTCTTTTAGAGAAAGGTTCATCATTTTAAGTATTATTCCCTGAGCTCTCTTTATCTTTGATACTAAAACATTTAGAGTGAAGAAAACCATACTAGAAATGTGTCCATATGACATGGATACTCCCACTTTCAACTGTTTTGTCAGTCTACAGACAGACAGTGGGGTCGTAAGTCAAACAAGGCCCTATAACCTCTTCCCGCTTAATAGCGCGGGAGTTGGGTGATGTGGTGGTGGCAGGGAGGGGCATAAAAACCATACAGAATGACACATACCTTCATAAGTCCATGGTGACTTCCTACAAGAATCTGTATCACTAGGTGTGTATGCGTGCTTCGGTTCTGTATGTAACGGATGCCGATGATCAAATGTTGGCGAATCAAGTTTATTATGAGAATAAGTTACGCCCCCGTACTCTGGGGGAGGAAGGAAAACCCTTTTCAAATCTTCATCCTGAAAAACCATATCAAATTTATATAAAAATGTCACAACTTTTTTATTAATCAAAATTAATAACCCAAAAAATCCAACAAACTCAATTTTGCATTGCAATTTTCATGCAAATTTTATAAGCAAACTAAATTTATCTGCTACCGAAAAATCATAAGTTAATAATGCAATATAGAAACCATACTTTTAAATAACAAGGCTGTAGCATTTTAACAAGACACTTTCAGGCAAAACATGCCAGCAAAAGTTCATGCTATATGTAAATGTAATGTCTTAAAAAAATAAAATATATAACTCTATGAAGTGCATGACAGAGTATCTAATAAAAGGTCAAATTTTGACTGCTAACTAAATACAGTTTACAAAGACAATATCTTGAATGTTAAGCAAATTATGAACTATATCTACTTTAGAAAGCTTTACATTCAGAAAATAAAATTAATGTAAGGGCAATAACTCTTGTTGTTTTAGCTGAATAAACGCCTTTAAAAATAAAACAGTCCAATCTAGTTGTTGGAAAGTTTTACACCAAAGAGAAAAGCACAAACAAATATTGTAAAATAAGCATAAAATTGTCTGTTTAAATCATAAAACTATTACCTCCCTTTAATAAGTAATAATAATAATATTATTTCCCTTTAATCATTTACATTCAAAGTATTTAAACGAAATTTGTAACAAAAGATATGTATGAGTAAAGCAACTTTCAACTTAATAAGTAATTATTCAATTTTGTAGACCTGAATTTACAATCTCTGATTTTTTTTCATCTAAAATAATCATGCAAAAATAGATAATGAAGCATAAATTAGCAATCTTTAGAGAAGAAACATAAATAAAACTTTAAAAATGAATTAATATGCTACAAAATGAAACTAATGCAATGTTAATCAAATAAGAAAAGTTAGAAAACTTCTGTTTGAAAAAGCAGAAAAAAAGGCTAGTGTCAAGCAAACAAGATTAGATAAGAAAAAAAATATATAAAATGAATTAGTCAAAAAGAACAAAAAAATAAAGTATAAATAAACATGTGCATGAAAGGAAAGAGATTTTAAATCCATTATCATCAACATTAGAAATGAGGTGTTCCTATAAATTATAGAGAATGATGTAAGAACCATGAACCTATGGTAAAAATAAACGATACACTGCAATACTGAGCTTTAGATACTTAATATAAAACTGCACAATGAAAAAAACAACAACTTTTTTTCGTTCAGTTTATGAAATTTACAAATTTTTTAAGATTTTATTAAAATGTACATAATAATGTAACAAAATTATGATAATAATTACAAAATTGCTTGAAATGCAGTTTTAACAGTTTCACTCTCACTGATAAAAATAAAGCATTTTATTGATATAAAAATTTCCAAATTTGACAAAATACATATAAATATATACGATTCAAAATTAAAGAAACATGTGTATACATGTCAACAAAATGTTTGTCTTGGTTGTGAATTATTTTGAAATTTAAAGAAAATAAAGTAAAGTGAAAGAAAAAGAAGCAAAGAGAAATTCTGTTCCTATGACATTTAACATGAAACATTTACACTGTGTTATGTTATTACAGAATAGTGCAACATTTATCGTGTAAGTTAGAATGCATACCATGTGACTGAGTGACGTATTTTTGAAATTCACTTAAAAATGATGTTTTTTTTTTAAATTCTTTAGTTTCAGAATGAAACTATTAATTATATTTGTATCTTTGACCTTCACCTCTGACCTTGCTGGTGACCTTTCTAATCTTATACCGATACCTAATCATAGATGGTGACCTTGACATTAAACTTTTTAAACAATAAGAAATTCACAAATCTAATTTTTCATCATTGAATTCATTATAGAAATTCTTTATACAAGTTTCTTCTCATAAAGTAACAAGCCACCTATGACCTTGACTTTTGACCTACTCTGCTAAACATTTGTTTCAAAAGAAGTGAAACAAAATGCAAAATTCATTATTTAATTTCCAATAAGCCACTTATTATCAATTTTATTATCAGTTTTAGGTTTTTATAAAGTGTTTTTTTTACATAAAAAAGAACCACTAGGTCCGTCAAATTGGTCCTTGACTTTTTCATGAAGAAAAACTATATCTCATAAAATGTTATCCACATGAAAATCAAAATTTTATTCCAATTAAAAATTTCTCAATAATCCGCATATAAGAAATGTGACATAGTAAAGTAAGTGTGTAACAGTTGGATAAGTTTGCATATGCCCTGTGTATTGTGTAATATATAACATATAAAGCATTTTACTTTGTAGTGTCCTCATATATTATAGGACTCTATATAAGCACTACAAGACATAAATCTACCAGCAGGCTACAAGATTGCTAGCCATATGTACCCACCCCCGGGTCAAAACAGCAATTATCTTTCCACGTTGTCGTTTTCCCGAGACATAGGCAGTCATCCATGGACACACATTTGTGTTGTCGTTGTTGCTGCTGCTGCTGTAAACACGGGATCATGCATAGCATACAGTAACATATGGGTGCATATGTGTAATGATATATGTATGTATATTGCGTTTTAAGTTATTTATAGACTGGCAACTATAACATAAACATTTTTCACCTCCATTCTGTATAAAGGAAGTGGGGAAAAGTAGGCTGTAGAGGTCACTTAAGTTAATTTATAGATCCTGTGCTCCAAGAAACAAGAAAAGTCTCTTATTAAATTGTGAAAGAAAAACCTTAACTTCAGGTATTCTGACATTTATGCATAATTAATCCAACATGCTTTTACCTTAAAGAATATGTCAAATATTTCCATCTTTTCCATTAAAAAAAAAAGGTTTGATTAAATGTCAAGAACTGATTTGTAAAAAAATTAAAAACAAATCTTAATGGGAAACCTCTCGTGTTAATTTAATACCAGCATCTCAATTTAAACCAAGAAAATTAAGCATGCATGATATTATGAAAATAATTTTTTTCCCAGGACAGTTTTTGTTGTTGTTTTTTTTAAATCAAACATGGCCTATCAACATCGGGCATTGTATACTGTATTCATACCCTTAAATGTAATGATAAATGGTAACAAATATAGGGTACAACATGACATCCTTAAGAGCATGAGCGGCACTTACCACTAGTCCTAGCAACTGGTATTAAACCGGACAAACCTTTGTAACACTAGCTCCTCAAGTTACATGTGTTATAACCCTTACCAACCTAAATATCTTAAATCGACAAATCCATCCTTCAAATCTGGACAAAACCATTCATTTTTTAGGGGAAATTTTAATAATTGCTTTTACTGAAAAGCAAACAGCACTAACCATGATCAGATAGCATAGGAGTGTCGGACAATCTTGGTATACAATGGTTCCATGGCTAGAATCAGTTGCCACCAGAAGCCTTAGCCTTATTTTAATATTGAAATCTTGTTTTAATATTGAAATTGCAAAAATGGAAAGTTGTGGAATTTAAATCTCAATGTTCACTGCACAGCTAAGTGCAACAGGTATTGAAAATGCTGAGTTGAACCCTATATTTGTAGATTATGTATATATCTGATAACAAAATCAGTTTATGCGGGACGGTTACTGTATGTTCAGGATAGATGCATGCTTTATACATGTATAATTCACGATGCTTTAGTCACAACTACTCAACAAGACAAACTAAGACCACATACGTCACAAAACTCTTCAACGAAAAACACTGTCATAACCTTTTTAGTGAATTTTCAGTGCGGTTATGATGGTGTAATATTGAATTCTATGTAAGTATATTTACTAGACATATTTTGTAACAATACAACATTTTATATATATTTTTTTTTCCAGTGAAATAAAATACCAGCAATAAATTAAAGCAATTTTTAAACAAGTTGTCAGACCTTGCAACAAAAATACCCGCAGCTAGCTACGATCAGTACATTAGAAAAGCTTTCTATGTGACAAACTTCACCATTCACACCCCACAGGACCACACAAAAGCATAACAAAAAGTGTATCCTTCAACCCAAAAACATATTGCCAGCTTTGTGCAAATGTGTTATTTTTACTTCATTGTTACAAATAGCAGTAATAGATATTTGGCACAAATCCCTAAAGTTAATCCCTCATTCTAAAATCTAAATTGAACCCAAACCTTAACTATGGTCCTTAAATCACAATTGCTTTGAATATCAAAAGCTTTTGAGAAATAAAAGATATATTGTTCTAACAATGGTTATATTTGAAATATTGAAAACCATAATTAAGTTTTACGTTTGATCAAAATTTAAATTGTTTTTCTAAATCATAAAGAGAAACCTTTGAATTCACCACATTAAAATATACAGATTATAATAATTCTGTCTAAGAATATATTTTCAGCCATCAAATCCACTTCTATCAATTACTGAAAAAAAATCAAAAGAATCAAACCTAAAAATTTCAGACTGGCCTAAAAATATATCTCGGAGGAAAAAAAAAAGAAAATGAAGAAATGAAAATCAAATTCTTTAATTATACCTCGTAAGATTTATAATCGTCTGAGAAATCGTCATCATTTTTATCGTAAGTGCCGTAGCTCCTTGACTCGTCCGATGGGGTCATTGGGTACAATTGCGTTTCTTTATTCGGACCGTACAGCTCTATTGTATTGGTATGACTAGTTGTGTCGCTGCCATCTAGGAAAGAAAATTTGTAACAAAAGAATTTTGCCTAAACAATAAAATTTTAGCATATTGTACACAATCATAAGACTTGATATTTTTAAAACTTACCTGTTTGAAAGTGAAGCAGACGAATCTCACACACAAAAATATTTTCATGCACAAAATTTATGCCCTCCATAAAACAGCATGTTTGACTATTCTAAGTGCTTGCCAGTAAGAAAAGGGATATAATAGTAAAAAGGTTACTCAGAGTTATGGGACCTGTGCCCATTATGTTAGATAGTTATAGAGAACAAGTGTGCAATGTTTCAATCTATTCCCTTACAGTAGTTTTGGAGATACCAATTTTCACCAAAAACCTGACCAAAGTATGATTGCCATGCTGATACTGGGACGCGTACAATGGCTTTTCATATTCTTTGAATTATCAAGCAAAAAACTAACTAAAATTAGTATTTAAAACATTATTGCAGAACTTTTAATGATTCAAATATTAAATGATTTACTCACAGTAATGAGCTGAACATGTCATATATTGGCAATAATAAGAGACCTAATATTAGTTATTTCAACAGGAGAAAGTAGCTTATGGAGTTATAAACCTACTTTCCATTCTTTTCTTCCTTCTTCTAACGAAGAACAGTATGAGTCCGATATTGAGGGCGAGCAGGAAGATCCCGACTACACAGACGACCAGGATTATAATAACGGGCATATCTTCTGCTTTCTCCTCCTCCTTCTTCACATCAGACGTTGGCTTCAAATCTGTAATTGTAATTGAAGGTGCAATTGTAATCAAAATAGTGAATGTAATGAAACTTATTAATGTAATTGAAAAAGTAATTGTAATGTAAAAAATTTTTTTTTTTTTGACAAAGTCCTTATTTACACTTATATTTGTCACATCTATGGACGCTCCCCTATGTCTCTTCGACAAAAACTTTAAGATAAAGAACATTAGGAAAAGCTATTTTCAGCCAAAATGACCTTGACCTAATTCCAATAGACTTACTCCCCATTTAAGAATATTTTGGGTTTTCCAAGCTAATCCAGGGGCACAAACAAACATTTACAGTTATAGCTTCGAAAAAAAAGCGCAACAGGTTGTCAAATCTATAGTGTCTGGTAGTATACTGTGAAGCTTTAATGGTAAAAGTTTGTTTGTACCGGGGAATAAGCCTGGAAAAACCTACATTTGCCGAGTTCCCGATAATATCTTTTGGCTTGAAATGTCACCAAAGGGTTAATGTTCATACGGGTTACAAACATAGCAAACTTCTAAGATAGGAGTTAACAAGAACGTTTGTACAAGAAACTGAAGTCAAGCTTGAAATGAAAACAGAAGAAAAGATAAACTAAAAACTATATGCTGTGTTTGTTTTTCAAAAAAGTTTTGGAAAACTAATTTTCTTTACAAAATACCACATGGAGTATCTAATAAAGCTGATCTTTTCATCTGTAGTGTAATTAATCAGCAATTAAATTGTAAAAGTAAAGGCCTTTTAGACATAAATAAATTTAACAAAAACATACAATTTGGTAACATTTCAAAAATTTTAAATTGAAAACATAAAAAGTTGTGCTTTGTTAAATTTGTTATAATTAATTAAGAGCAATAAGTATGAAACTGAAAAAAAATAACAATGTCTTAACTGTTTGAGAGTTATTAGCATTATAAATTGCACAGCCTAGCAGTGTGGATCCAGGCTACCCAGCATATATATACTATCACAGCACAAAAGTATCAACGCATGTTCCCTGATCTTGCTTTGACAAAGCTGAAGACATTGTGCATAATTATATCACTCATCAAACAATAAGAACATTTCAGTTAAGTCCAGTACAAAAATATCACTAAAATCTGCATAGATTTTAGATGTAAACATAAGAAACCTTGACCTAATTGACCAAAAATCCCATCCAATGATAAATGGCCAAACACCAAATATATGATGACATCAGTCAATAACTGAACATGCTAAAAGAAAACATAAGAGGAACAGACAGAAGGAAGGACAAACCGTCGCATAAGCGCTGTCAGCATAATTATGTTAAAATATTTCTAAGTAAGATAACAAACATCAAAACTATGATTTTATTCAAATTTACAAAGAGATCACAGCTGACTTGAATTAAAACCACACATCAATGATTAATCTGACATAAGCTCATATCAGATCTACATGTGTATTACATGTACATTGGGACAGGCTTTATTCTGATTGGTACCACACAAACAGGTGCGACCCAACTCTCATGAGTGACCTTGTGAGTGACCATGACATTAGTAAGGTAAAGTCATTGTGCATATTACACACAAACAATTTCAAGACTGCAGTTAAGTTTGAGTAAAAAAAACAAAACACTAAAATCTGTAACTTCCAGACTCAAAAAGCAGAAAATCTCTTGTGTAAGTTATATCACTACCTGATTTCTCAATGAAATGTATGATTCAAATCTAATTTAAAATATCTAATTAAAAGTATCAAATCAATCAAACAAGCAGCACGCAATTCATATATTCATAAAAGCAAAGCTACATTCTTTAAAAGAACTGCAAGATATTGCAACCTCTCCCAATATTCTTTATCAAAATTACATTTCAAAGCATTTCAATGCAAACGTTTCCCATTTCCTATTTTTTTAAGATTTATATTTCAAAGCAATTCAATGCAAACCTATCCAGTTCCAAAAAATGATTATATAATAAAATAATAATATTATAAATAAAAATAATATAAAGATCATAATATTAATGCAATAATAATAATATAACAACAACAACAACAAGTAGAGTTGAATAGAAATGGGTGTGAAGTTAATAAATTAGTGCTCTAAAATTCAAAGTCGCACCTCAAAGGGTTAAGTGGAAAAGTGGGTTGGTACGACAGATTTTGTATAAATTCTAAGATTACTTTGTCAAAATTTATGGCAGTAATGTACTCTTGCCTACATGGCTGTGGAGGTGGAGATGATTCAAAGCAATAACTCAAAGGGTTCTTTGAAAAGCAAGAGGTTGTAAAACAATTAAATTGGAAATTCTGGTGAGGAAAAAAAAAACATCAATTTTTCAAAGACAAAGACAAAACGTCAATAGCCAAAGAAAAGCATTTGTTTTTATTGAATTGATTATATAAGTTTACATAAAGAAATAATCTATGATTAGAGTTTTAGGACAGTATTATACTAAGTATGAGTTTTTAGCTTTGTAAAGACGGGTGTTACAAAAAAATGAAGGTGTGATGCTGACAATGATGCAGGCACACGGGTAAGTATGACAGATTTCCCCTACATATAGTTATATATAGTTGAGATAATAAAACACAATGTGATAATAATATAACATTTATAAAAACTAAATCACAGATAAAGTATATGTACATGATTTTATAATTATATTTTATAACAAGCTTGTAATATTTCAACAATCATTCTATGCTGTGTGCAAATTTATGAAATACCACTTCACATAGGAAGAGTATCATTTATTTCAAATAGTGGTCTTAAATACATATATACAAGCTTTTACCGCAAGCAATAACACCTTGTTCAATTTTTACCTTCTAATCTATGACAAACTATGCCTAAATCTGTTGCACAAGAAAGTATATTAACATAAAATCAATTGACAAAATTAACATAGATTATAAGCATCAGAGACGGCACATTGAAAAACATAAACAATGTCTTCCTACTGAACCCCTAATTTTATATAATGGACTTGTCCTACTTTGAATTCAGAACAGTCCATTGTTGATTTTTCAAGGGTGTAGGTATAAAAATTTAAGCAGACGACATATCACAACAGTGTAGCGCCCCCCTGGTCTCGCAACTGCATGGATCAGGATGAACACACTGGCCAGGCTCAATTATCTTTGTAAGCAATCTAACCCTCACTAAATATCATAAATGGACTTGTCCATCTTTCAGTCTAGACAAAACCATTTATCATTTTTAGGGTAATTTTCAAATAGCAAACAGCGCAGACCATAATCAGATGGCATGGACATGCAGGTTTATCCTGGTCTGCACTGGTCACATGGGTAGACTCTGTTGCCACTAGCAGACAAAGGGTTACTCGTCTGGTATAAAATTTTAAGGATCTTAAACTCAGAATATTATTTTTACCCTAATTAAGCCATCTTCACAAATGCAAAAAAATACAGAAGCGTAAGTTTTTTTTTTTATTTCCATGCTGATGAAATTAGAACAAATTCTTAATTGTTACTATAACTAACAAAAACAATTATATTTTTAGTAACTAAGACCTTGACCTATAACATAAACAAAAGCAAACATAGGATATTTAGTATGTTTACTTTAAAATGTCTATAAATATACATATCAAAATATAACAACTGGTTTTAAACTAACAACTGTTCATTTTGTACAAATGAGCCGTGTCACGACAAAACCAACATAATGGCTTTGCGACCAGCATGGATCCAGACCAGCCTGCGCATCCGCGCAGTCTGATCAGGATCCATGCTGTTCGCTTACAAACTCTATTACAAGTAGAGAAACTGATAGCGAACAGCATGGATCCTGATCAGACTGCGCGGATGCGCAGGCTGGTCTGGATCCATGCTGGTCGCAAAGCCATTATGTTGGTTTTGTCGTGACGCGGCTCAAATGTTATGTCATTGTATATACAACAAAACTTTTCAGATTTCAGACAAATCAATTAAATTACCATTGAAAAAAAAAATCAAATTATCCACTAGCTATTCTAATGTTCTAGACATCGAAGGTAGCTTGTATTACAAAGGTAAGATTTATTTAAAACCAACTTACTTGAAGTTTTTGCAACAACAACTTCCACAGAATAATCGCTGTCGCCTATATCATTATACGCCATCACACTCATCTCATACTCTGTGCCGAGCGCCAGACCTACAAATATCGGAAGTAATAGGTTCAAGTCAATACTGATGATTTAACAATGTGTTATCAGCAACTTCTTATTCCTTACCACACTTAATATTTTAAATGGACTTGCCTGTCTTTCAATCTGGACAAAACCATTAATTATTTTTAGGGATAATTTTAAAATAAGTACCGACTGAATTACGGAACATTGCAGACCATGATCATATGGCACGGATGTTCCGGCTAATCTTGATATACACTGGTTGCTGTCATAAGATTAAGGGTTAACTTAGGGTTAACTAAGTTATAAATGTAAGACAACAATTCGTAGACACTTCGCAACATTCATAAATCAGAATATATAAGTGCAGTTATGCTAATCATAGGACTCTATTTAAACAGTCAAATAAATATTACGATTTATGAAAATTCTACACAGTATACTGTTTCTTTCGTAAAAAAATAATATATGGCACCTATACCTCTAACAGTAAACACTGTACTGGTCTTTGGTTGCACATCAACTTGTGTATAGCCCTGTGAACCTTGTGCCATCTTGTATCGTACCCTGTAATGCTGAACCAAACCTCCGCTAAATCCAGCATTCCATTTTAACGTTACGCTGTTATGTGTAAAATTTACTATCTCTATACTGTCCGGAGGGTCAGGCTTTGCTGAAATCATAAAAATAAAATAATCGTAAGTTTAGTATTTTTTTATTTAAACTTTTAAGTGTGCCTTTCTTGTTGTTGTTTTCTTATACTCCAGAAGTAATTTCACTACTGTTACAAAAATTACTAAAAGTTTTTTCAGCATGATTTTGAACACAAGTCCTGTATTATGAATTCACATTGATATTTTTCACCAGAAAAGAAAGTTGGTGTAGACAATAAATTCAGGGGAAGTAACTTTAAGTTCCCAACTACTCATAAAATTCTGGACTTGCATGTTAGATATTCAATTTACTTCCTTGTGAAAGTCTCCTGTGAAGTTGTTTTACATAAGTCTATAAATAAATTTTTATGAAAGGAAAGAAAATGAAAACAAATTAACAATAAGCATTGGTAAAACACAAATATTCCATTTTCCAAATCAGTTCATAAATAAGAAATTTATGTTTTCTTGTTGTAATTTTTTCAATTATCAAAAATCTAATCTGGAATGTTTTACAATATGTTTTTGTTTACATAGGAATAAAATTATGCAACAAAAAATTCACTACTGAGAAGTTACATACTACATCTGCAATTCTACACAGAGTGAAACCTGATTTCCCAAAGTCCCCAAAATATAGAAAAGATCTATTTGATTTGTGATCTACCAATGAAAATTAAAATCTAGTGAAAGTCAACAGTGTAAAAAAAAATTAAGTTTTGAAATAGCTAGTTTTACCTGGTCTATCATCTAAAATATAAAAAAGAAAATTTGTTTCATTTTTCTGATTTTTTTTTGGTCATAATTCTTTTGGCAGTTTTATCAAAACTTGTAACCACAACATTAAGTCTATCCTATTGGCAACAGTAGTTTACATTTCTAACGTACTTGTAACAACCAAGTTTACAAAATCCAATTTTCTTTTAACAGCAAATCTTACAGATCTTACTTATTTGTAACAGCAAAGTTTACAGATCTACCTTACTTGCAACAGCAAAGTTTACCTATCTAACTCACTTGAAATAGCAAAGTTTACAGATTTTAGTTATTTGTAACAGCAAAGTTTACAGACCTGGCTTATTTGTAACATCTAACTTACTTGTAACACCAAAGTTTACCTATCTAACTTATTTGCAACAGCAATGTTTAGAGATCTAACTTATTTGTAAGAGCAAATATTACAGATCTAATTTATTTATAACAGCAAATATTACAGATTTAACTTATCTATAACAGCAAATCTAACTTACTTGTATCAGCAAAGTTTACAGCCAGCCTATCTTCCCCTTTTTCATTGGTGACAATACACTGGTATATCCCATAATCACTTTTCACAACATTTTTTATTGACAAGATATTCTCATAGTTGATTTCCTCAGTCACCTTTTCACGTATCACATATTTCACATCATCTGATACAATATCCACGCCATCCTATCAAAAGTATAACAAAATAAGTACTTTAGAAAACAACGGTCTGATTCCTTACATTTTATCATTTAAAAGAAATATTGCCAAAGCATAGCCCTAAAAATAAATCTAGCCGTATATACTTATTAAAGAAAATTAGAAAAATTTAAATTTCTTTTTGACATCTAGAAAACCATATTGACAAAACTAAAAAAAAAAATTCAATATGTGACTTAAATTTGTATAATTTATGATATTAAAGTTACTTTCATTAAAGGGACTCCACTGAGGTTTAAAAGCCTTAAAACATAACATTTGAATTTCTTACATAAATAAGCTGGGGCACTTTAAACAGAAATATATGCATTATGCAAAGATAGTTAAGAAATATACTTTGAAATAAATTGAAAATTGTATTTTTATGCTTTTCTTAGACCAATTTGAGTGAAAAGCATTTGAACACTTTTTATTTTGAGTCATTTTTTACAAAATTTGAATAATTATTCTGGAAAGACAAAGTGCGCAAATGATCTGAAATTTTGCACAAAGATTAGTAGTCTTAACCAATATCAAATAGTACATTTATCTGGAAAAAATATTTTCAGTCCCATCATGTAAAAAATCCTCAGTGGAGTCCCTTTAAGTTTTCCATGTGTGAACAATGCTTCAAAGTTTTTCAACATGACCTATTGTACTAAATGGGTTTCTTGGACACTTTTAGCATCAACATAGATAATGATGGATAGAGCTAGGCTATTCCTTACAGTAAAACATAAGTTCATAGACAATTTATTTAAGTTTGTTTATGAAGGAAGCTTTAATTTTTATAAAAAACACTCTCTAGTTGGTTTCTTGAACCAACTAATAATGAACAATGAGTGTATCGTTTCTTGCTTAAGGAAACAATGACTTGCCCCTGATGGGGTTTGAACTTTTCAGTAAGTGATCCGTAGATTAACTAGTACATTGTGCTAACCATTTTAACCAAACTTTGATAGGTTAATTCTAACTCAGGAAATAGATTGTCAAAAAATTCAACTCCATTGCAAAATTCAAGCGGGGAGGGGGACTTAAAAGTGAATTATTGCTAAGAATAAGTGAATAATTGTCTCACCTTTTGCCATTTAAATGATACGGTAGGAGCTCCCTGGGCGTAACATTCTAACTTTCCCACTTTTCCCATCTCACTTGCTGCCTTGCTGTATTTAGGGGCCTTGTCAATCACTGGAACAACTGTAATGGCAGGAAAAAAGAAACCATAATACAAAAATAATTAAATTTCTGTGAAAAATACCAAAAACTGCATGTTTTAAGTTTATCATTGAACCTCCCCTAAATTTTCCAAATCAATTTTTTTTTATATACCATGATTAAATAATATTGTGCTGGATTTGTGCAAGGTCGCTCAGCAACGGCTTATTAAATATTGGCAAAAATGTTTTGAGTATTTGTATTTAAATGTTGTTGTCTATGACTTATCGTATATGTAGCATCGCTACAGTAAAATTGAATTAAAAAAATATCATTCAATTCATAATATGAACGAAAATTGATATAAAAGATGATGGAATGATCTTATTATATTTATAAAGGAAACCATTTCATTTTGCAGTCTCCGCAGAAAAAAACCCAAATTAATTTGACTTCAAAGTTATAAATATACATAAACATCAATAATTATGAACCGAATTTCCCTTCAAGCTGGTTTCGTAGACATCTGATGTAAATCAATCAAAATTCAATTTTTCAACCAGTCGTACAGATTCTTATTCCACATTGGATTTTTGACGTATTACATAACGGTCTGGTAAAGTTAATAATAAGCTCTTGAACAAACAAGACAAAAGCACATATCAGGAACAATATCAAAGTAAAAACAAACAAACCCTGGCGCCAATATTTTTTTCCCGATGAATTTTTATTGAATTCAATCATATATAAATAGATTCTGTCTCTTCAATTTGTTATGAATTGTTGAAAAATTTCCCATGTTATGTAATATGGAATATCAATTGAAGAACAAAATATATGACCGAGCTAAATTGTGCGGTTCCCGCGAATATTGTTACAATATAACTGAAAGCTTATATAGATACAGGACTTCATTTACGTAACTTTTTATTAAAAGGTGAAAATAATATGCTAGTTTCACAGTTTAACTATTAGTAATAGAGCATAGTAACACATATTATCCCCTATAAGTAAGTTCATCTAGTTATATTCTGTGAAATTGCCTTAATATTTTTCAACAAACATAATAACGCTACCAAGCTAGTAGGCTGTTTCCTAAACCTTTCACATGACAAAACAGGCTATATAAAAGCTTTTACCTTAGTCCATATTAAAATGTTAATGTAAAAATGTTAAAGGATTTTAAATTGTGTTATGCAAACCAATGACGAAAAACTTACATTTGACAGTCAGTTCTATTGTTTGTTGGGTAGATTCGCCTATTCCATTATGTGCTAAACAAGTAAATGTTCCCGAATCTGTTTTCTCTACATTTTCTATAATCAAAGTGCCGACGCCCTCGGCATATGAAGGTAACGCACGTGTCATGTCAAACCCGTCCCTCTTCCACGTCACCATGTCAGGTACCATCGGGTTCCCACGCACGAGACATTTCAACTCCACAGAAGTTCCCGCATCAGCTGTGACAGGGTTTGACTCGTAGATTTCTGCCGGATCTATAATGACAGGTTTGAAAGCAAAATCAATTGACAGTTACTGACAGAAATTAATTTATTTTCACCTAAAATTTAATGATTAAACCTTGCTAAAAAGAAAAGTCTTCCCAACCTGTCGGTTGATATGAAATATTTACGAATACTAGTGGTTTTTTGACAGACTCTTATATATTGCGGTACCTATTTTCATACACAAACATGTTATATTTATCATATGATTTCACCTTTACAAGGTAGTCTAGTACTGGTGTAACTCTCCAGGAATGATGGTTAGGAAACTACCTGCCTATATGACTGAAATACTGTGGAGAAAGGCGTAAAATGAAACAAACAAACACCTTTAGAATAATCATGATGCAATTAACATCTTAATCATCATCTGTAACAATTGTTTCTGATAAGATTATATAAACCTGAATGACTGATATAACTGTAACTAGTTTTATTTATATGTTCCCCTCTTTTCAAAAAACATATAACAAATTATTTTCAAGGTCTTTTCTGCAAGAAATATGTCTATCTAATACCTATTCTCAGAAAATCAAATTAATATGAGAAATATGTGAGGGGAAAAACCAAAGAAAGACAAACTCAACAAAAAATAAATTCAAAGAAAGTTGCCTACTGCTTTAATTCATGTGTACCAGTACATCATATAAATTGGTAAATTAAATTTTTTCTCCCCAAATTTCATTTTATTTCCATCATGTCTCCAGCTATAATGTGCAAACAACAATTTCTATATTGGTCATTATTTTGAAATATTTCATCGATGTGAAAAAATCCAATTTCCACGAGCTGATTTTCCCTTCAAAATGCCAGCCAGACTGACAAAACTACAATGATACTTGCCCCAGATAATTTCTAGAATCACTCAAAATTTTACCTATCTCTCAAATCACTGCATGTTTAGAAAATCTGTCTCATACCCTGCTGGCTTAAATTGAAAACCTAAACTGTGGTTATCGATGATTTATTCAGAATATCTCATCTTAAAGTCAGAAAACCTGATAACTTTTTTAACATTGTCTGTCAACAGGAACTGGGCAATATACATCATACCAAGGCATGTTCCAAATATTTATATACAATTTTATCATCTCACATGTCATTCTATTTGCTAAATTATCTTGTATTTATCATAATTTGTTCTTTTTTCTTTTTTTTTACAGGATTTTTTTGTACAAAAGAACATTTCTAGATATATATGCATCAGTTTTAGTTTTTTTGTATTTGGTAAACAATTCATCAAGATAGTACTTTTTCAAGCCTCATCATCATCCTTTTTATTTTTATATTTTTTATTTAGCATATGTTCACTTTCTAGTCTTTGGTACACACTTTTTAGATAATATACTTTTTCAAGCTGTATCCTATTTCTGTTTAATTGTACAGTTTTTTAATTTTATTAAACAGTTTCTTTCAGACCAAAGACATTGTGAAACTGATGGAAAACATTTGTGTGAGGAATACCTGAAATATTGCCTCAAGCTCAAAGAATTGAACTTCAAGCATTTTGACGAGATAATTTTTTTTCTAAAAACAAACTTAAAAATATCATACAACTTACATAACACATCCAAAGTGAAATCGAACGAAGTGCTGCCCATTACATTTGTACATGTGACCGTATACGTCCCAGAATCCTCTTTCGATACTGCTGAAATCGTTAAAGCCCCTTCCTCGAAAGAAAAACTTATGACGTCCCCAGCTTTAATAACTGTTTCTCCACGTTTTAACACATATGTGCCATTGACTGGGTTAGCTGTAGCCGTCAGATTAAGGATCCTACTTTCTCCGGCAGTAATTTGAACAGTATCATCTTTATCTCTAAACTCGGGTTTAACTGAAAGACCAAAAAAAAACATTGAAATTACTACAAAATAGGTATTTAAAAATAATAAAATTAACACAATGCTCTTATTCAAAGAATATTTTTATATACAATGCTTTTAAGATGCGATGTTTTAATGGAAACTTTTCGGAAAAAAAAAACAGTTAGTGAAATGCTAAATTTCAAACTTACATAAGACATTTAATGTAATAGCATCGTGTATAGTCTCTTGTAGAACCAAGTTGGTTGCCCGGCAACCGTATGCCGAGTTGTGATCAGCAGACGTCGGAATAATTTCTAACTGGTTCTTCGATATTTTCCCGCCATTTACTCCACTGGTCATTCCAATGTTGGTACCAGTCAATTTATGGTTGTCATGCATCCAGGTTATCTCCGCGGCCGGGTTACTGGACGCAGACGTGCACGTGAGCCTTAGGCGATGACCTGCACGAGCTACCACTGGATCACTCGATATATTCACCTTGGCTGGTGGGACTAAGATGAGAAAACAATTGGCGACTTCATTATGTGAAATATCCATTATTTCTAAGAAACTTTATTAGTTAATGATTATCGAATTGTTCAGACATCAAGACAACATTCATCATTAGAATATTATCTTAAGGCAGTGTTATTTTTCTATCTTGCATTTGATATTTTAGGAGCTTCAATACATACTAAATGTAAATGCTAAATTATCGTTTACATCCATTTACCAAACCGACTTCTAAACTAAGGGGCATAACTGCCAGAAATTTACAAAAAAATGAAATGTATTAAGAATAGTTAACTCACATATGAATCACTAATAACACAGAGACTAAAAAAAGCTTTAATTTCAAATAAACATTAGCTTATGCTATTACATAGTACAATGATGTCTTTCTATATAGAAATATTAGGAATTCAAATTAAATATTTACAGTGCACTGTCAGTTTTCGTAGTGCTACAAGAGGACTGTCTGTAGCCTTGTTCGACGCTTCACACCTATAGATGGCACCATTGTCGTCTGCCTTGGTTACTATGGCAACCTCCAAATTTGGAATATTTCCTGCTGACAAGTCATTGACTTCTGTAACTTCTTGATCTCCTGAAAAACACAAAACAAAAAAGCTCAATTATTGTCAATTACACAATAAATCCTGTACTCAACTTTTGACTCCATTTTTTTATGCCAATTTTAACTTTGGGGAGGGGCTTATATTCACTGCCTTAACACTCACATGTTACAGTTCTGGGAATGATTCTTATTTTTCAAATGGACTGTCAATATATTTTTTTTCAAGTTTCAATATCAAAAAAGCTAAAATTAAGCACCCAACTGTATAGGGAAACAAGCTGCTGACTGTGTAGAAAAACCTTTTGTGTAGAGGAGCCAACCATGTGGAGCAGCAAACTTTGTATAGCAGTCAAACTGTGTAGAACAACCAACTAAGTAATGCTGCAAACTGCGTAGAGAAACCAGCTGTGTAGAGCAGCTAACTGTGTTAAAGCAGCCAACTGTGTAGAGCTTCTGACTGTGTAGAGCAACCGAGTAGAGCAGTAAACGTAGTAGAGCTGCCAACTGAACAGAGCAGCCAACTGTGTAGAGCTTCCAACTTAGTAGAGCTGCCAACTGAACAGAGCAGCCAACTGTGTAGAGCTTCCAACTTAGTAGAGCTGCCAACTGAACAGAGCAGCCAACTGTGTAGAGCTTCCAACTTAGTAGAGCTGCCAACTGAACAGAGCAGCCAACTGTGTAGAGCAGCTAACTTAGTAGAGCTGCCAACTGAACAGAGCAGCCAACTGTGTAGAGCTTCCAACTTAGTAGAGCAGCCAACTGTGTAGAGCAGCCAACTGTGTAGAGCTTCCAACTGAGTAGAGCTGTCAAGTGGGTAAAGCAGCCAATTGTGTAGAGCTGATGAACAGACTGCATTCCCTTTATACTGTTGACATAGGTAATGAAATAAGATTTACCAAATTGTAACAACTTACCTTTGAACCATTTCAGTGTGGCAGGGGGATTTCCTCTCATAGCTGTACATCTCAGCTTGACTAGATCACCAGCACGAATAGACTCACCCTCAATGTACCCAGTTATCACAGGCGCTTCTGGGGGATCTAAAAATATAACAATATTAACAAACTCATTAATTTATACACTGTTTAAGATTTATTGTATCCATTTATATTTGAATTTACAATTTATATGACAAATTATTTCACATTCAGCATTACATTTTACTTTCATCAAGTGATTATTATAAAACAAGCACAAATCAATTATTAAACAGTATAAAACACATAATTGCCCTTTGTACAGAAATCAGAATGTATTCACCTCTAAGGCTTCATGTTCCTTTAATAACGACCATTTTGATATAATTGACTTACATAGAACACCAACGGTGGCCGTATCAGCTACTGTAATCCCAAGCTGTCGGTTTTCAGCGGAGCACGTGTATATTGCACTAGTCTGCGTGTTAGACAACGTAATGTCTATCTCTGATATAGTAATATATCCACCATTTGGAGACACTTCAGTCCTCGACCGAATATTTGCTCCAGTCTCTTTCCGAGGTATCCATTCAATGATGGCTTCCGGGTTACTGTTTGAAGTCGTACAAGTCAACGTCAACGTCTCACCCGCCTTCGCTTCTCGTGTACCGGTAATAGTGGCCGTCTTTGGTGCAACTGCATAAAACAACATTTGTATCAGTTTTTACAACAGACAAATTTTTGGATTTCTGCATGCAGAAGTAAATCAATTGTGTTAAAAGACCATTGTGTTAAAAGGCCATTGTGTTAAAAGGTCATTATAAATATTTTTGGTAATTCAATCAAGACTATGCAGATCATCTTTCGACCATTCATAAAGGCATACTGGTAGTTTAATACTGTAGGATGTCTTTATTACCAGCAGATCAAAGCCACAATTAGCACTAAACAATCATGCCGTAATAATGCATGCATTAATTTGTTGTTATCATAAAATCTACTTCTTTTGAAGATTTATGCATGTCCCTTTAGAGCTGTCATTGATTCAGTGCAAAGCATATCAACGATATATCGATATCAAGTGACTAAAATCAACGATACACCGATATATCGATAATATCCTATACTCACTTGTCTGTCATTCACTTTCATACCTGTTTCAATGATTTCAGTCAAAAACATGTTCTGTACAGTGTCTTGTCCACTGCATGATTTTTTCCAGACAATATTTTTTGTCACCATTGCTATGAAATAATTCCACTATATAACCAAAGCATAACGTTAGATATAAATAACTGCTTCTGTATATATTTTGAGTGAATTTTATAATTTCTAGACATTTAATTTATATGTCAAAAGTATCGATTTTTTAAAATGTGTATCGATTATTGATCGGCAAAAAAAATATCAACGATACATCGATATTGTCGATATCGATGACAGCTCTATGTCCCTTGAAAAAAAACAACAGTGCATCAAATTGTGTCATTGGAAATTTGTGTAAAAAATCCTAAAGGCTAAAAATACTCGGAAGTTATGAGTTTTTCTCCTGATTTTTTTATTCAATAAAATTATTTAATCAATATTTACAAAACAAAACTAAAAGTTTTAGTCTTTTTCCCCAGAATTTTCAAGTTTTGTTGTTTTAAGCCATTTCTACACTCTCTTTTCCCAGAGTTTTAAGGTTTCGATCTTTTATTCATAGAACAGCCATAAAACAAAATAAATGTGTATTTCAAAAAAATTCATTTATTCGAAACAAAAGTGAATGAAAAACGAGCAACTTTCCATCACTCATCTATCATACAGTGAAAATGACATACTCAAATTCAATAAAATATTCATCAGTGTTTAAATCAAAACTATTACGTGCCAGAAAAAAATGACAGACGCGTATTTATTCTAATATACCGATTCTGCACCTAGCGTTATTAATGTTACCCCCGAGACCTCACAATCTTACATCGGTAATCTCAGCACATCAATAACGAGACGAGTATTCAAGACGTTAGGATTACAAAAGGCAATTTGAGTATCTCTCATTCCGTGAAAGGAAGTCTTTCGCAAATCCATTTCAGCCTAATGCCTTGCCAATACTTTAATTCTTTTGGCAAGACCGCTCTGTTTCTATTCTCGAATTATTAAAACTCTCACTCGTGGAACTAACTGATTGATGAAGCTCGACTCAGACGACTCAAAAAGGCACATTAACACAGACTTTGCGCAGATATTTTGGTCAGATTGCCATACTGTAGCTGTCAATTCACCATTTATTTATACCTCTTTATTCGTATTAAAGGCAGCCAACGTCTGTCTCAGTCGTATATTGTAAATAAATACTTTCATAAGAAATCCAGTGTATATATAAAAAATCTCAGTGACCATGTTGAAATGATATGGCAGACATAGTAATCTTAAGACTTTTGAAATTGCTTGGTCTATCTAGACTTAGGACATAGCCAAGTTTATCGAGACTTAGAACATCGCCAAGTCTATTGAGTCTTATTATATAAATGTTACACGCTTATAATATCAATATATGTATATTAATATATAAGTTGCATTATAAAATGCTACAGTCAAATAAAGTTTTTCATACACATACATTTAAACCCCTTCACTGCCAATATAAAATCCCTTAAATATTTGAACCCTTAGAGCATAAAGTAATATATACTCACAGTAAACTACAAGTTTCCGGGTCACCATCAGAGGTTGTTCAAAGTTGACGCTATTCCACGCCTCACATCTGTACTCGGCATCATTGTCCGACCTTTCCGCGGTAATTATCAGCTCGTTTTCAGCTTTGTTGTCACGCTGGCTGTATGAGAAATCGACCTGAGCATTGTTCCTGAACCAGGCTATCTGGGCAAGTGGGTTGCCACCCTCGGAAGTACACATGAGTTGAACTGTGTCATTTACTCGTATAACTTGATCAGTTTTATATCCGGTTATCTTAGGTGGAGATGGTGGATCTGAAGTGACAAATAAGAAAAGGTAAACAAGATAAGTATTAATTTTTTTTTTTTTTTTTCTTTCTGCTTTTGGATTTTAAGTCCAACCAACACTGTTGAGATCAAAACAGCAACATTCCACCTAACTTAGTGGTGGAAGACCTAAGATGTCCCCTCTGTGCATTATTTCAGGCATTAGAATGCACCTGAGCAGTACATTGGTCCTCCAGAGCAAACAATATCCTAAACTTAGTTACACTGAGATACACACTTTTCCATAGCTTTCTAATGATTTTTTTTTTCTCAAAATCGCTGTACTTCACTATCTAAATTGACCATGAGGATTCTTTTTGCTCTAATAAAGAAATACAACTTAAAAAAAACTTTGAACACTTTGAAATTTTATTTGTTCATTTTGTGTCATGAACAGACATTCTTTAGGAAAAAAGGCATAAAAAAAACCCATCTTAACAAATTAGTAGGAAAGTAATACAGTATGTGCGTGTGTTTAATGTATTAGGATAAACGGAGTTCATTTCCTCTCTGACACCATTAACAGAACAAATAAAATAACATTCTATTGATCTTAATGGATGATAGAAGAAATTTGTCTACATCTTCTATTGTCCACATGCAACTGAATAGACCAAAACTCAAACTACCAATTCCAGAGATAAAGTTGTTGCCTGTTAACAAAATTAATGAATCTGGTTTTAAAAAAAAAAGCATTGTTATAAAAAGAATATATCCTGGAAATAGTCTTCAAAATATGATGTTATGTGGAAGTCAGAAGGTGAATATTGTGTTTTAAGGAGCTTGTCTATATTTAAAAAAAAAAATCCTCATAAAGTTTGTTTTTCCCCCTTCAGTTTTTTTTCTCAAAAATGATTTTGACTTATATTTCATATTTTTATCTTCTACCTTTTTTTGAATGATATGGACTAATCTTGCTATAAGTTTGGAACAGTTTGTTGTACACTTTTTTTTTATCTCTAAATAACTGATGACTTATGAGATGCTTAAACTTCTTTTTAATATACATTGTATATTTATTTCCTTTTATTATTTAAAGGAGCTCAACGCAAAAAGCCTTAAAGCATAAACAAATTATTTTTTACATAAATCAAGTGAAACACTTAGAATGAAAAAAATCTGCAAAGGATAATATTATTAAAAACATATACTCAGAATTAAATTGAAAATTTATAGTAAGTGCAATTCTCAGCCAAATTTGAGTTAAAAGTGTTAACACTTTCATTTTTGGCTCATTTTGCGCAATATAAAACTTCAATCATTATTCTGCAAAAACAGGGCCAGGGAATGGTCTGAAAATTCCCACACAATTACATCAAGCCGTACACAAATCCTAAGGTACACAAATCCCGAAAAAATATTTCCAGCCATATCATGTCAAAAAACCAATGTCAAATGGAGTCCCATTAATTATGACTAAGAAGCTTCAATTGGACATTAATTCAATATAATTGCATACACATACACATTCATTATTTTTATTTTGTATTTTTTTTAAAACAAAGCTTGTATCTATCAAGCATAATCCGAAGTGAACCAAATATCATTTATTTGTCAAAATAGATAATTCTAATCTATTTTTTTTCCTACAGAACCAACACATTTATTACTGTTGTATCTACAATTCCCGAAACTATCATGAAATTTGATAGAATAGACAATAAGACTGCCAAATTCTCGACATAAATCTTGTAATATCTTTACTTATACTCCATACATTCCCAGACATTTGCTGAGTTTCATTTCCTACTATGTTGCTTTGATTGAGCTGTCTTAATATCTCTCTCAATAATAGTCAATACAATGACTGTTAACTAACTATTCTATAAAAAAAATCAGAAAAAAAAATTTTGGATTTCTTTTTCAAATTCTTTATTTGATAATTATTTTACAGGTAAATAATACTTGGTTGATGTTAGCCATTATGCGATAATGGCCTAAGGATGTCGATAATGGCCTAAGGATGTCCAAAATGGCCGGAGGGCCACATCCCCGTAAGTCCTTATTGAGTCGTGCATCAAAGCTATGAAAATGCATTAATAACCTAGATCTTGCCATGATGGTCCTGAAATACCCTAAATTTTGTTACTTTATATAGTTATATTAGTATCAATATCACCTAACTCTATGCTTCAATTATGTTATGGCTTTATATCCTATTGTAAAGTTGGAGCTGTCTTAGAAGGATTCGAATAAAACTTCTAAGAAATATGTTTCCATAGGACATGGGTGTCTCCACTTTCCAGTTTTGTAACTCTACAAGCAGTGTGACAGACGCAGGTGCAATTCATATACCTGAATCCCAAGAAGTAGTGAACTAAAAACAGTACAATAAAATGAAGCAGACTACAGGACAGAACCTCAGTTTGCACTGACATGCAGGCTGGCCTGGCCCTTTTAATAGGCACAGCAATTATGTAATTATGTCAACATCTATGAAAGCATTCACAAGCTAAAAGAAAACAAAACCGTTTATGATAAACATTCATACCATGTAGACATTCAAAAATATTTGGCATTTAAGATTGTTGCATTACAATAGTTAATAGGAAAATCTCAGCTTTAAGAATACTGTGTTTCACAAAAGATTTACTGGGTTTTCTGAGCGAGACAATTTTCTCCACACAAGTTAGTATTCCATGTGCCTTCCAATAACATTACGGAACAATGGAATAAGGAAAATTTGTTACAGTTGTGCTCGCGTTTAACATATTCCAATACTCAACGAGTGTCAATGTCATGAAATTTTGGTGGCAATGGCAAAAGGACTTAGTTGAAGAGGCTATTGCCACTCATTGCTTCTCATGAAATTTTTATCTCGCTAATCAATGCATTGGAGGACTGCTCAAAGCATTCAACATTTAAGTCTATTTCTGAAATTTTAACAGAAATTTCAACAAGCAAGTCATGTTCGGATATCAATTTCTTTATTAGATTCCTCACTCAATATAAATTCAATTCTCTTGCATCAATTATTTGAGCCGCGTCACGACAAAACCAACATAGTGCGTTTGCGACCAGCATGGATCCAGACCAGCCTGCGCATCCGCGTAGTCTGATCAGGATCCATGCTGTTAGCTTACAATCCCTATTACAAGTAGAGAAACTGATAGCAAACAGCATGGATCCAGATCAGACTGCGTGGATGCGCAGGCTGGTCTGGATCCATGCTGGTCGCAAACCCATTATGTTGGTTTTGTCGTGACGCATCAATTATTTTATTATTGTCATTCGAGTCATTGATGCCAGTAATTGAGATTACTACAATGCATGTTGTTTTATTTTGTTTTGACTTTTACTCGGAAAATAAATCAATTTGTAACAGATATAAAAGGACATGACAGACAATTTACATACAATTTCCATTACAGGAATTATTTTAAAACTAATTTAATCATATATATATGTATGTAATAACAGATAAACTCTGAGGTTACTTTACAGCCTTTACTGAAGCCAGGCCAGCCTGCACATTCATGAAGTTTGACCAAACTCCTTACCATTGCCTTCTTAATCTGCTAGTATCCTGATGTCAATTATGTCCCTAACATAAACAATGGGCCATTTTAAGTTCAAAACTGGACAAGTTCATTATAGAAATTTAGTGAGGTAAGGTTAAATGAATTGTTGTTTAACTCCTTGCCAAAGCGTTTCTGATTTATATAAGCTAAGGGCAGCTCTGAGCTGCTCTTGAAAATAATCTGGCAACCGTCAGAGAAAATATTATACATTGTATTGGGTTATAATACAGTTATTAGTTATACATGAGCAATTTGTGAGTCAATTTTGTTCGCATCAGTGGAAATTCCATGTGTGTTCTGCCAGTGGCATTAATTCAAGATTTCATTTCTTCCATATTGATCTGACATGGAATTAATGAAAAGCTTAAGTTTCACAGTCTTTGATTAAACATGCTCTTACTAAGGTTATATATAATCACCGTCCCTGTTCTAAATTCTGCATATAATCATGGTCCCTATTCTAAATTCTGAATAAGATCAAGATCCCTGTTCTAAATTCTGCATATAATCATGGTCCCTGTTCTAATATGTTCTGAATATAATCATGGTCCCTGTTCTAAATTCTGCATATAATCATGGTCCCTGTTCTAAATTCTGCATATAATCATGGTCCCTATTCTTATTTCTGAATACAATCATGGTCCCTGTTCTAAACTCTGAATATAATCATGGTCCCAGTTTTAAATTCTGAATATAATCATGGTCCCTGTCCTAAATTCTGTATATAATCATGGTCCCTGTTCTAATATGTTCTGAATATAATCACTGTCCCTGTCCTAAATTCTGTATATAATCATGGTCCCTGTTCTAATATGTTCTGAATATAATCACTATCCCTGTTCTTAATTCTGAATATAATCATGGTCCCTGTTCTAAATTCTGAATATAATCATGGTCCCTGTTCTTAATTCTGAATATAATCATGGTCCCTGTTCTTAATTCTGAATATAATCATGGTCCCTACATGTTCTAAATATAATCATGGTCCCTGTTCTAAATTCTGAATATAATCATGGTCCCTGTTCTAAATTCTGAATATAATCATGGTCCCTGTTCTAAATTCTGAATATAATCATGGTCCCTGTTCTTAATTCTGAATATAATCATGGTCCCTACATGTTCTAAATATAATCATGGTCCCTGTTCTAAATTCTGAATATAATCATGGTCCCTGTTCTAAATTCTGAATACAATCATGGTCCCTGTTCTAAACTCTGAATACGATCAGTCCCTGTTCTATATTCTGAATACAATCACGGTCCCTGTTTTAAATTCTGATTACAATCACAGTCCTTGTTCTAAATTCTGATCAGTTTTCCCAACAGTCTCTGTTGTCCATTGTTATCAAAACAGAACTCTGACTTCAGAGCCTTATGCTGACATCGGCCCAGAGTTCAAGAAAAACATGAAAACTCTGAACCAATCAGAGACTCTTGTAAATTAAATGTTCATCTCAAGTACTCACCC